GCCTGCCTGCTCGCCGAGCACTTCCGGTCAGCAGATTTATCCGCATTCTGCATCGTGTCATGCGTGTTTTCTTTTCTGCTGAGTCTTCCCTTTAAGCGTCGCACCTAGACGGGCACGTTGTCGCTAGCTTCGGCATCTCACCGGGTTCTACCGCATCGTACGCCAACCCTATTGCACGATGGCAGCGGCAAGGGGCTGAAGACAACGGTGATCGTGTGCCCCAAGACCATCGACGGTGATCTGCTATGATCACACCTCGTGCCTCTTACGGCGTGTTACCTCATCCACCCCACCCCACCCCACCCCACCCCACCCCACCCCACCCCACCCCACCTCTATTGCACGATGGCAGTGGCAAGGGGCTGAAGACGAAGGTGATCGGGTGCCCCAAGACCATCGACGGCGATCTCAAGGCCGCTCAAGTGCCCATCAGCTTCGGCTTCGACACCGCCTGCAAGGTGAATAAGAGTGCATGCAGGAAGAGGAGTGAGCATGTCAGAGCAAGGCGGCGCAAGTCCCCATCAGCTTCGGCTTTGACACTGCGAGCAAGGTGCGTGTGTGTGGGGGGTAGACCGCTATGTGAGGTAGAGACTGCTCCACCACCCCTGGTTCTCGTTTCGGATGTTGTCGGGGGTAGAAGCAAACTGCGTCAGTAGCTTTTGCAATGTCCACACGATTCACAATCTCGATATGAATTAGATTGAGAATGTTTCAGCCTACCAGCCAGCTTTGCGTTTCGTAGCTCCGATTCGCCGAGTATATTCCTCAGCGCAAATGCCTCGCTTATGCCTTCTTCCTCTGCACCCGTCTTCACTTCCGTGTGCGTACCCGGTTTCCCGTGCAGATCTACTCCGAGACCATCGGGAATGTCATGACTGACGCGCGGTCTGGCGGCAAGTACTATCACTGTGAGTGGATCGAAAGGGGGGAAGAGAGAAAGGGAAGGAAGGAATGGCGAACGTCAAAGGGTATAGAAGGAGAAAGGGAGGGGGGCAAGGAAGGTAGGGCAGGGATGAGTGGAGAGATGGCGGGTTGGTCTGTTCGGCGTTTCTGCATTTCGCGCTCCCATAGACGCGGGACGCACGATGAATGCTTTGGATCGAATCAGGTCTTTTTGTTTCTTAGAAGAGCTTGCTCTAATGTCACGTTCTATCTCCCACCCTGTTTCGTCCCTTCGCTCTCTTCCCTTTCCCCAAACCTCCGCCTTTCAACGATGGCGTGTGGATGCGTGCGTATGGCGTTTGGGTGATGTTGGTCCACGTGGCGACGTGGGATGGGCGCATGGGACGTAACTTTGTCCACGTGGCGGCACGGCAGTCGTGCGGCTGATGGGCCGGGCGGCGTCGCACATCACCCTCGAGTGCGCGCTGCAGACGCACCCCAACATCACGCTTGTTGGCGAGGAGGTCAGTGCGGTTAAATGCGGTGGGGTTAGGATGCTTTGTGGTTAGGTGTGGTGCGGTTGGATGCGGTGTGCGCAGAGTGCGCGCAGCAGACGCACACCAACATCACGCTCGTTGGCAAGGAGGTCAGTGGAAGAATGCGGAATGGTTGGGATGCGGTTTCTGTGTTTTATGCTGTTGTAGGATGCGGTGGGTCTAGATGAGTTGTGGTTGGATGCGGTTAGGCTAGATGCTCTTGATGAGTTCGCTCTGCAGACGCACCCCGACATCGCCCTCGCCCGCTATCTGTTTCCCAATGACGGTCTCCCTCTCCCTCGGTGTCTCAGTCTCTGTTTGCTGTGGCCGTGCCTCTAGAGGTGGCCATCCGTTTGACTCTCTCCTCTGCATCTTTCTGCTCTCACTTTCGCCCTATTTCGCTCACTTTCGCTCCCTCTCGCCCTGCTATTTCATCCCGCCAGGTGTTCGAAAAGAAAATGACGCTGGGCCAGGTCACTAGCCACATCGCTGACGTCATCTGCCAGCGCGCCGAGGCGGGCAAGAACTTCGGCGTGGTGCTCATTCCCGAAGGGCTCATCGACTTCATTCCCGAGGTGAGGGGAGGGGCTCATCAACGTCATTCCCGAGGTACTTTCTACCAACTATTTCGGAGTACTGTGAGGGTGATCGTGTTTGCTTTATCGCCGTCTTTCCTTGGGCGTGGTGCTCATTTCCGAGGGACTCATCGACTGCATCCCTCCATCCATCCCTTCTCTCTCCTCCCACGGCTTGCAGATCAACGAGCTCATCGCCCAGCTGAACGAGATTCTGGCGAAAGCGGCGGTTGATGCCGAGGGCACGTCGAGTGGAAGGAGGGGCTGCAGCCCAATACAGAAGGCACCAAGCCGTTGCATCACATTCCCCCCCCCCCCCCCCTCCCCTTCCCTTCCCCGTCTCTTCAACCCGTCTCTCCCCCCACGGCTTGCAGATCAACGAGCTCATCGCTCAGCTGAACGAGATTCTGGCGAAGGCGGCGGTGGACGCGGAGGGCATGTACGAGTGGAAGGAGGGGCTGCAGCCCAACACGCGCACGCTGTTTGACTCCCTGCCCAAGGACATTCAGGACCAGCTGCTGCTCGAGCGAGACCCCCATGGCAATGTTCAGGTTAGTTCCTGTAACTCGTATGTGCTTACAGCGAGTATGAAGGGGTGTTGGAAGGGGTGAGTGAGAGCCCAACACGCGCACGCTGTTCGAATTGCTGCCCAAGGACATGCAGGACCAGCTGCTGCTCGAGCGAGATCCGCATTGCAATACTCAAGTTATTTCAGCGCTTGCAGCGCGTGGCGTCCAAGCACAGGAGTAGAGAATGTACTGTCGGAGCACGAAATGCGCACATTCGTCTTCCTTCCTGATTCCACATCCCCCCTTGGCCATCACGTAGTATCCCTGACCTCCACTTCACGACGTAACCCTCCCCACCCCATCCCCCGCTCCCCCGCCACCCCCGTTACCCCCCCCCCCCCCCCAGGTGGCGCGCATAGAGCATGGTTGAGGAGGAGCTGGGTCGACGGGCATGCAGCCGCTCAATGCCTGACTTTCCCTTCATTTCCTCTCTCTCCTTCCCCTCTTTCCTTCCTCCCACGCCAATCCCTCTCTGTTCAGGTGGCGCGCATAGAGACGGAGAAGATGCTGATCAGCATGGTGGAGGAGGAGTTGGGGCGGCGGGCCAAGGCGGGGCAGTACAAGGGCGCCTTTGAGGGGCGCTCGCACTTCTGCGGGTGAGTCTGAGGGCCACGGTTCGAGTACGGGTTTTTGTTCGGTGAAATGAGGTGAGGAGAGGTGAACAGATATCAGATTGCTGTGCTGTGTAGTGGCAGTAGGATAGCGGGATTATTGTCCTCGTCCGCTGTCTGGTGGTGTACGTGTGCATGTTGGCCAGTCATCTCTCATTTCACTATCTATTAGTCCCGATCTCTCCCCAAATGGGAGTAACTCAATTCCACCTCTCTTTTCCCTTCATGGCTACCCTGTTCTACCTGACAGCTACGAGGGGCGGTGTGGCATGCCCACTCTCTTTGACGCCACCTACTGCTATGCCCTTGGCTCCGTAGCAGCGGCCCTGTTGCAGGCAGGGGAGACGGGGCTCATTGCGTCTGTGGGGAACCTGACGGCTCCTCCCCAGGAGTGGACCGTTGGCGGCACTGCTCTCACTGAGCTCATGGTGGTGGAGAGGCGCAAGGGTGAGTTGCGGGGATGAGGAAGGGGAGCTAGGTTGAGTGCCTGGGGATGGGGGAGGCAGTGAGAAGGCAGTGAGAAGGGAGAGGGATTGGACCGTTGGCAGCACTGTGCTCACTGAGCTCATGGTCATGGTGAGGCGCAAGGGTGAGTGGTGGGGAGGAGAGGAGAGAGTGAGGAGGAGAGGACAGGAGAGGGGAGCAGGGTGTGCTGTGAGAGTTGGAGTTGTGGATCGTGAGGGGCACTGCACTCACTGAAATCATGGTGGTGGAGAGGCGCGAGGGACAGTGGTGGGGAGGAGAGGAAAGGGGAGAGAAGTCTCACTGTGTCTTCGTCTCCAGGTTGTTTGCAGCACCAGCCTCTCACGCTTAGAGTTTTCACTCGTCCTGCGGCTCATGCTGCTGCGTGTTTTGCTGCATGTGTGCATGTGAGCAGGCAAGAACAAGCCTGTGATCAAGAAGGCCATGGTTGAATTTGAGGGTGCGCCCTTCAAGAAGTTTGTCTCTGTCCGTGATGACTGGGCTCTCAATGACCGTTACAGAAGCCCAGGTGCGCCCTTCCCTTCCCTCTCCTCTCCCCACTCCACCCCCCCTCCTCACCTCCCTCGTCTTCCACCCTCTTTGTCCCTCACTCTTTCATCTTCCTTCCCTGTACTCCCATCAGTCTGACCTGCTCGCATGATGTTGCCATTTCTGCTGTTCACTCCAATTTGCGAGTCATGCCTGAAACTTAAGAATCCATTCGCGGTTCCATATATTCAACTGTCCCTCTGCTCCTCCCTTCTGCGTTGTGCAGGCCCCATCCAATTCGAGGGCCCGACTGCTTCCCAGCCCAACCTCACACTGCTGCTTGAGCAAGGCGTGTCCATCTAGATTTAGGAGCTTGTTATACTCTAGAGAAAGAACCCTTACTGTTGTGGAAGTCTGGAATCATCTGTTTTGTTTGGGAATGTTTTGTTAGGCTTGCCATGGCATGGCAATATTAGTGGACTGCTGGCTGTGGAGCATCTGATGGTGACACGAAGAAGGGATGTCATTTCACGCTCTGACAATTTACCGTTGCAAACACATTTCGAGTGTTCTGAAAATCCGCATTCCGTAACTTTTCGTTGGACGCGCTGTAAACACCGACCAACCCGCGAACCGCTCTAGGTTCTCCCTCGAGATGCGTGGCTCAACTGAAGTCTGCTTTGAAATTCGGACGAGAGCTTGCAGAATCTGAGTTACAGAAGCGAAAGTGAAGCGGACGTCAGTCATAAATTCGTCTGCGTCTCAAAATTCATACCTCGGAGAAACAGCACCCTGTCACTGACCAGCCCTGACTGTACTTACAGATTGACCGGCCTAGGGAATATCCGCTTCACCATTCGATTCCAGGCGTCCGCCATGGAAGCCACCAGCGTGCCCGCGGCCCCGAGCTTCGACTTGAATGTGCGTTGGTAGAACCATAAACGGTTTTAACTGGTAGATCCTGTTACTGGAAATCCACGTTAATGTGCGTTGGTCAATCGCTGCAAGACTACCAACTTAGCGTCATTCATTCCAGTTTCCCGTTCCAGGTAGTAAGAAAGTAAGCGTCATGTCCGTACTCTCCTGTGCTCGCCTCTGTCCACACCGTAGCAGGACTAAGATGTTATTGTCAATTGTTTTTGAGACGTCTCAATTCCGACGTGTAGTTTTTTGTCGCAGGTAGCAAGGAAAAGCGCATCAAGACCTGGGTCCTCTGTTCCCGTTTCCCCCTTGTTCCGACGACTAACAGCCAAGGCCCAGCGAGCCCTTCTTCCTTATAGCGGGGCCGAACGTGATTGAATCAGAGCAGCACACACTGCACATGGCACGGGCTATCAAGGAGGTCGCTGACAGGTGGGTGGGAAGGTGCTCGGGGGAAGCTTGGGGGAAGCTGTTGAAGGGGGAAGTGTTGAAATCATTTTTGAGAATTCTCAAAAGTGATTTCAAGATGTTGAAGGGGGAAGTGGTGATGGTGGGATGGGGTGGAGCACGGAGCTGGAATGACTTGAGCAAATGGGAGCAGCACACGCTGCACGTGCTGAGGGCTGTCAAGGAGGTCGCTGACAGGTGGGAGAAAGGCCTGGACTAGGGTTGGGACAGGCTGGGCTGAGGCTTGGGGAGAGGCTTGGGGAGAGGCTTGGGGAGAGGCTTGGGGAGTAAGGGGTGAAGGGGGAGGTGGGAGAGAATGGAGGGGGGGTTGAAAGGGGAAGGAGGGTGCTTGGGTTGGGGGAGGGAAGGTTCCGGAAAATGGGGCGTCTGTGATGGCAGAAGCCCTTGTTGTGGATGGCAGGTGGTTTTTAAGTCGACTCAAAAGGTATTGCGGATTCTGAGAAACCTCTGGGTTCAGGTTTTGGAAGGAAAAGCACTTGTTGTGCATGGGAAAATCTAAGTCTTTGTTGAGAATTCTCGTTAGAGACCCCAAACGCTGAGAGAACTCATTCGCTCTTCTTTCTCTGTTCCCTCGCTTCCCGTCTATCCCAGCCTGGGTCTAAGGTTCGTGTTCAAGGCCAGCTTTGACAAGGCCAATCGTACATCAGTGAATGCTTTCAGAGGGCCGGGCATGGAGGAAGGGCTTAAGGTGAGGCGAGGACGAGGAGCGATCAATTCCAGTTGCATGTCCTTTCTTAGTCGCTTTGTTTTGTTTGATCCTAATCGCATTTTCTCTTATGTAACCCTCCGTTGTTCTGCTCATATCATACATCCTCCTGCTCGTCTCTCGCCAACCTCTGCATAGCCCGTTCTGCAACCCCATTTCGCCCCTTGGGTCATTGCGTGGTCTCTACCTCTAAGTGGTGCAACAGATTTTCGAGCAAGTGAGGCAGCAGGCCCATGTGCCACTACTCCCTTCCTTCCCCATTCCTTCATAAAAGCTCCGCTTTCTTTCCTCCTCTACCCTCCCCTCCCGCCCCCCATCCCCTTGCGTGCTGTGTCTGGGAGTGACGCAACAGATTCTGGAGCAAGTGAGGCAGCAGGTGCACGTGCCAGTGCTCGCTGACGTACATGAAACGAGCCAGGTGATTTGAAACGAGCCAGGTGAGTTGAAACGAGCCAGGTGAGTTGAAACGAGCCAGGTGAGATGAGATGAAAAGAGCCAGGTGATATAAGATGAAACGAGCCAGGTGAGCCAGGTAGGTGAATTGGGCAACTGTAGTCCCAGTTGTCACCATTGAATGAAAGTTAGATGAAATAGCGAAAACGTATGGTGGGCGTTATTTAATTCCCGGGTTTTATTTTCTTTGCTTTCCTTTCCATTCTCTTTCATTCGTTTCCTTTCCTTATAATTTCCTTTCTCTCCTTGCCTTCTTCGCAAACATACACACACAGTGCGGGCCAATAACTGAAGTGGTCCTTGTCATTCAGACTCCAGAAATTTTCCCCTTCCGACTCCCCCCTCCAATGCAGTGCGAGCCAGTGGCCAGGGTGGTAGACGTCATTCAGATTCCAGCTTTTCTCTGCAGGCAGGTGAGTGTTCAGGTGTTCTACCAGGTGTTCTTTGTCATGTGTTCGTGATCAGGTGTTCATATGTTGGGAAGAGTGTGTCTCCTGCATTTCGTAGAGCTGTTTCTTGTGGTGCTTGCCACCGCGATTCTGGTGCGCACAGCGAAGAAGTTCCACCAATAGCCATGCATATCTGACATCTCCTGTTTATTTTGTTTTGGCATCTTCTCTCATCCCCCCTAGTCTTCCTATTGACTGCATCGTACATGTCTGTGCCTTTCCATTGCCATCGAAAATATCCGTTGAAAGTTGTTTTTCTCTTACCTCATCCCCCTTTTCTCTAATTATATTTCACATGCCATTGTTGTGACACCCCATTGCTGTGCCAAACCCCTCCCTCCTCCTCCCTCTGCTGCAGTAGACGGATCTGCTGACAGCGGCAGCTCGCACGGGGCGACCCATCCACATCAAGAAGGGACAGATGTGCAGCGCTGAGGTGAGATGCGGTGAGGTGAGGTGAGGTGTGGCAAAGTGAGGTTAGGTCAGACAGTGCAATGATTGATCCTTTTTCCTTTCACTCATACATGCCTTTCACTCATACATGCATACATATGTATACACTCCCCACACAGACGCCAGCTGGGGGTGGCAGCAGCCGAGACGGGGAGGGCAACCGACAATGCCCATGAGTGCTTGAACGCACACACCCATAAATGCATTCTCTAATGAATTCTTTAGTGAATTCTTTCGTTCATGCATGCATGCATGCATGCATGCATGCATCCATTGCACCCCTCCCACACACACACACTAGGTGGTGGTCTTAGCAGCGGAGAAGGTGAGGGTGGCGGGAAGGGCAATCCTCATGAGTGTTTGGACGCACACACATGGATGCATCTATCGTTCATTCTTTCCATCCACTTTAGCAAGGCATCCATCCAATCCAACCATCCCTCACACCACACACACGCCAGGTGGTGGTGGCAGCAGCAGAGAAGGCGATAGCAGCCGGCAGATCCCATGAGTGCCCGGACATAAATACACACAACCATTCTCTCTTCTACCCGATCTCCCTTCATCCATATATGCATCCCACACACACGCCAAGTGGTGGTGGCACCAGCAGAGAAGGTGAGGGCAGCCGGCAATCCCCATGTGATGGTTGTGTGAACGAGGCACCATGTTCACTTCTGCTCAATCCGCCCATCCACACATGCATGCATGCACACACACACACACACACACACACACACACACACATCAGGTGGCAGTGGCAACAGCAGAGAAAGTGAGGGCGGCCGATGTTTGCCATAATTGCGTGGACTCACACACATGTGCATGTATTCATGCACCCACCCACCCACGCACACGCACCAGGTAATGGTGGCAGCAGCAGAGAAGGTGCTGGCGGCCGGCAATCCCCATGTGATGGTGTGTGAGCGCGGCACCATGTTTGGATACGGAGATCTGATCCTGGATCCGCGCAATCTGGTCCAGATGCGGGCGGCAAACTGCCCTGTGGTTGCTGACGTCACCCACTCCCTGCAGCAACCGGCTCAGCGGCAGGTATGGCCTCCAATGGTGGACTGACATGTGTCTACAGCGTCTGAAACGTGTTGACTATGAATGACTCCCATTGACTCTTGCAGACTTGCTGACTCGATTAATGTGGATTTGCCAAGCCTCAATTTGACTCGAGTCGCTTTTTCGTGCGTTGACTTGGTTCGTGTTGCTCGTGTTGACTCGGTTTGTGCTGACTCGCATTGACTTCCGTTGACTCGCAGCTGCCAGAGGGGGGAATGGCGAGTGGAGGGCAGAGGCACCTCATCCCTGCTGACTCTTATTGACTGCAATTGACTTGCGTTGACTTCCCTTAACATGCAGCTGCCAGGGGGAGGCCTGGCAAGTGGAGGACAAAGGCATCTCATTCCGGCTGTGGCGCGGGCGTGTGTGGCGGTGGGGGTGGATGGCATTTTCATGGAGGTGAGCTCAAATATGTTTTTCAGGTACGAAGGTGCTATGCATGCATGCATGCGAGCGTGAATGCACATGTGAGCATGTGTGGCGGTGGGGGTGGATGGCATTTTCATGGAGGTGGGTATTGTGATGCATTATGAGAAGGTAGTGACGGCTAATTAAAAATGGTACAGATGTTGCGCTGGTGCGGTGTTTTTCTGAGCCTATCAAAAGGTCACATGCATCTGTGGCATAAATCTTGTGCCTTCACCCTCCTCTCTGCCGCCCACCGCTGACATCTTTGCTGCCCATCGCTGAGATCTTTGCCGCCCGTCGCCTCCCTCTGTGTGGCATACGGCAGGTTCACGACAATCCCGAGGCTGCTCCTGTGGATGGTCCTACCCAGTGGGTGAGTGGAGGAGTGGAAGGGTGCGGTGAAATCAGGGAAGCTGAGAGTGGGGTTGAAAGGGAAAGGAGGGGAGGGAAAAAAAGGGTGAGAGGAGGGAGCAAAGGGCGAGATGAAGAGCGAGTGAGGAAAGAGAGGAAGGAGGTTGTGGAGAGGAGTGAGGCAGAGAGGTGGATGGGATAAGAGGGGATTAGCAAGACTGGAGAGTTCCGGGAAAGTTAGTTACGGAATTTCTGTTTTGAACGGGAAAACCAGCAGAAAGATTCGTTCCTTTCGCACTCATACCTCTCTGCATCACGTGTTCCCTGTGTCTCTCGTGTGTTGCCAGCCCCTTCATCTGCTGCGGCCACTGTTGTCAGAACTTATCGCCATTGCTGTAAGTCTGATTCCACGTTCGTGTCAAAGCATTCAGGTGCACTTTCGAGACCGGTCATACCATGTGTTTGCATTTCTTGCGCAGCAGACGGTTATTCTGTGGATTTTGTCATGTGGTGCAGGGGGTGAGCAAAGGGAGAGAAACATCATACTTGTGAGATTAATTCATTAGCTTACAGACTACATCTGCCATCGTGATTGATTCTGTGGAGTGGTTGAAAGTGTGCAGATGTCAGTGGTACATGCTGAACAAGGATGTGGATAATGTGTTTGTTTGGATATGTTTGTTTGGATATGTTTGTTTGGGTTGGGGGAAAGTATACTGTACGGTATGCAAGTGGAAAGGCAACAATATTTGCAATTGATTCTAGAGGTACTAGGTGTAAACCACGCCGCAATTATGCAGACACGCAAGGGGATCTGAGGTTCAAGTGCCTAAAACTTCTAATAGCAAGGTTGAATTTGTCATATTGCATTTGTTTCACTTTAGCTTTCTGTTCTTCGTTGCTGGTTTGTGATAGTGTAGCTTGATAACATGGTAACCAATCCCAGCTGTCCAACTCCCTGAATTGCAGGTTCAGCGCAGCGGTTCGTATCTTGCCTATCGTTGGAGGAACTTGTTTCGCACACCGTTTCGCTAAAGCATCACTTCCCGATCGCACCGCATCCTTACGACAGGTCTGTCGGTCTGGTTGGGTGGGCCTGCGCGAAGCGCCTCCCCCTTGCGGTAGGCGCCTGTCACCTTGCGGCAAGGCGCCTCCCCCTCCAGAAATGTCGGTTGCCGCCAAAACGCAAGTTAGGGTTCACCAACCTGGAGATCATTCTCGAGCGTGTCATCCAAACCTGGGGTGCGATCCGAGGTCAGTTTGGTGTCATTTCGGAACTTACATCCACTCTTCGCCACTTCCATGTTACTTTCCAGATCAACTACAATACCCTGCCACGGGCCCCTAGGATTCGGGTTCAAGGTTCGGGTTGCAATTTTGAAGGGAGCAGTGGGTACACGCGGTAGGGTGTTACTGATGTCTAGTCTCTCTCTTCTACCCTCACCACCTGCCACTTCCTTTCACTCCGCTTCACCTCGATTCAACGTCATTGACTATTCTGAACCTCTCATCACCTCCCTTCACCTCCACCTGCCACCAGTTCGTGAACCGTTTTGCCCTCCCCAAGAAAGAAACACCGACATAGTTGTCAACGGAAGGTCGACGCTTTTACTTTTGATTCGAGAGCTTCAGCGTTTTGTCGCGCCGCGATGGCAGTTCTCTCCTGAGCTCCTCCTCCTGGCCTGATTTTTCTTCGACATCTGCTAACTTCTCTATTCGTCCCTGACTAATTATCAATCCTCGATAGCTTTGTCATGCGTTTCCGAGCTGTTTGATTGCTCTTGGACTCCGCGTTTGAAGCAATCAGAGGCTATCGGTCGGGTTGACTTTCAGTCGGATTGTGAATTCTAAGCAACCAAGTTCTTTTTCATATCCAAAGGTTGATAAGGTGACACCTTTGTCGATTTAGTATACGAGGCTTCGCGAAAGCTAGCCGTGAATCTTTCGTAGCTGTATACGCATGTTTAGGTAACCCTAGAAGGCGAATTGGCTGCGCAGGGGTCTGCGAAAACAAATTTCAGCGATAGAAATGGCGAGGCTACGCGTGCAAGCTCCACCGAGACTCTTCCTGATCGTTCTCACCGCGATAATTCTATGCAATTACCACTCTGGTCGACCTTGTAAGTTTCTGCCCTCCTTTCGAGGTTCCTAAGAACGCGTTCCGCTGAGACTGTTCGTATTCGGTCTCCTGCGACTTTGCTCATACGTGAAAGGTCTGACACACCGCCAAAGTTCACTCACGCTTATTTCATTCGCTCGGATGAGAGCGGCAGCGCGAATGTAGTCATTGTATGTGCGAACCACGGTGCGCAACGGTTGTGTTTGCCCCGTTGCAACTTTTGAGTCGGCTCGGTCGAATAGACCAGCTAGTGCAGCTGCACTGCCTTGTCACCTCCCATACATTCCTACTGTACCTTCTTCGCGTACCTTCCTCCCATCCTTCCTCCCGTAACTTCCTCCCGTACCTTCCTTTCGTACCTTCCTTCCGTACCTTCCTTCCGTACCTTCCTCCCGTACCTTCTTCCCGTACCTTCCTTCCGTACCTTCCTCCCGTACCTTCCTCCCGTACCTTCCTTCCGTACCTTCCTCCCGTACCTTCCTCCCGTACCTTCCTTCCGTACCTTCCTCCCGTACCTTCCTCCCGTACCTTCCTCCCGTACCTTCCTTCCGTACCTTCCTCCCGTACCTTCCTCCCGTACCTTCTTCCCGTACCTTCCTTCCGTACCCTCCTCCTTTATCTTCCTCCCGTACCTTCCTTCTCTCCCTCTTTTCTCTCTCCCCTTTCTCTCCCTTTCCTTCCTCCCCGCCGTGGCTATAGCCCAAATCTGCGATTGCGTGGATGATTTATGGCCCTCAGGCCTTTGCTAGAAAGCCATTTGCCAGCCTTGTCAATCGCCTACATTTGCGAATGCGTGCGTAAGCTATTTCAGAAAGAGGCATTTGGTAGCAACCTCCTACCTATTTACCTATTACTACCGATTACCTATTTACCTATTACCTATTTACCTATTACCTTTCCCATTTTGTTTGCTTCACTCCCTCCTTCGCAGCCCTCCTCACCACCTAACTCGTTTCTCAATAACCCCCCCTTCCCTCCCCCCAACCCTCTCCCACTCCCCCACACCTCTCCTTCCCCCCGAACCCCCGTTACTGTCCCCCCGCGGACCCTGTTCTCCGCGCAGCGAACGCGTTTTGAGACGTCTCAAAACTCCCGCCCTTACCGCCCCCCCCGTCCCTAACTTCCTCGTCCCTCCTATCTCCTCCCCGCGCCCCCTGTTCTCCCCGCGCCCCCTGTTCTCCCCGCGCCCCCTGTTCTCCCCGCGCCCCCTGTTCTCCCCGCGCCCCCTGTTCTCCCCGCGCTTCAGGTCTGGTTACCCCAGCGCACTCGTTTCAAGTCGACCTGGCGAAAACGAGGTTACCACTATCTCCGTGGGAGCAGGCTCGCGCGGCGATCAACCTCGCGAAATCTAAGCTACCCAAGTTACCACGATCATCGCCGTACGAGCGCGAGTGGGCGAAATATCGCCAGCGCGACGGGCTGCTGTCGCTGGACTATGTGAAGTCGCTGGCGAGGGCGAGTGCAGCCAAAAAAAAGAGCGGCGCCAGCGACGTCTTTAAAGTCGTCTTTGTACGTAACCACCGCACCACAGCGCAATGTAACGCACTGTACCGCACCACGCCCTCTCTTTGCTCCTTTTGTTTCTTTCTTGCCCTTCTACATTGCGACATCCTCCACTTCCTACCCCCTCCCTCCCCATTCGCCATTCACCCCCTTTCTTCCCACCCACGCCCTCTTCCCCCTCTCCCCTCCTTCCCTCTCCCTCGTCCTTTTCTATCTCCTCCCCCTCCTCGCTCCTCAAATCTCCCTCACTACCACTCCCCCCGCCCAAGGGAGCAACCTCATAGTCAACTCCAGCATAGACCTGGGCACTGGCACCACCGGCCTGGCAGGGCTTTGGTTGATTTCTCCTCTTCCTCCCGTCACCCTCCTTCCCTTCTCCCGCTTCCCCTCACCCTCGTCCATTTCCCTGCCCCCCAGTGTTCCAACACGCCCACGCCCCCCGCCCAAGAAGGAAACCTGATCGTCAACCCCAGCATAGGGAACGGCACCACGGGCTGGCAGGGCTTTGGGTACGCGCCGATTAAAGCCGTGGTCAATGCAACAGCAGGCACGCCCTACTCGTACCTGGTGGCGTACAACCGCTCGTACACGTATGCGGGGCCAAAGCAGAGCTTGAAGGACGTGCCTGCGGCGGCTTATGAGCTGGCTATCTGGGTGAAGCTGGATGCGGGCGACCGGCAGTATGTGACTGCATCGGCCAAGATCAACAACAAGTGAGTTTGTCCCAGGTGCAGCAGCGCAGCTTACCGTCGGCGATACGGTACAGCAGAAGGCACAGCCCTTTTCGTACCTGTTGGTATTCAACCGCTCGTACACGTATGCGGGGCCAAAACAGGGAGCGAGGGATGTGGCGGCTGCGGCTTGTGAGCTGGCGGTGTGGGTGAGGCTGGATGCGGGGGAGCGGCCCGGCAGTATCAGTATGTGACTGCAACAGTGAAGATTAACAAGTGAGTGTGATACATGCACTTGTGAGCTTGTGTGCTGGCGTACGAACCTATGAGCTATGAGCTATGGCTGGCCAGGTGGGTCAAGCTGATGAGCTGGCGGTGTGGGTGAGGCCGGACGCGGGTAATTGGCAGTATGTCACTGCCACAGCTGTGATCAATGACGTCTGAGGGTGAGATGACTTTGAGTTGGCTCGTTGGGTTTGATACAGCGATTTTTAAGTCGACTAAAACATCGACTTATCGGCAGTATGTCACTGCCACGGCTACGATCAACAACTACGAAGGGTGAGAGATGGCTTCGAGTTGGCTCATTGGGTTTGATACAGGCGATATTGATTTGGCTTATGGCATATCCCACAACATACTCTTACCTATTGGCCTACACCTGCTCGTGCTCGGTAGCCATCGCGAAATCCAAATTCAAAAACAAATGAGTGGCGATACAGGCACCTGTGTGCTTGTTGTGAAAAGAGAGGCTTGTGGTCTGGCTGTGTGGGTGGGAGTGGGAGTGCAGCAGTGATCATGTCTAAGGCTGATTTGCATGGCATGTTGCGACTGTTTGTCTGTGATTGTTTGTTTCCGGGCAGGTATCTGTGCATTGGAGGGGCGAACGCTCGGTCCACGTGCTGGACGAAATTAACAGGGGGGTTTACCCTGCACGAGCCGGCCGCTGAGGTGGCAGTGTACGTGCAGGGTGCAGCGGTGGGGACGGAGATCTGGGTGACGTCAGCGTCGCTTCTGAAAGTGGATATGAGCATGTGGCGGAGCCGACAGAACGAGAACATCAAGAAGGTGAGGCGACGAGGAAGTGGTCTTGTGTTGAATTCATGTGTCTGAATTAAAAGAGCATGTGTTGACTCTTTTAATCCATCTGAAATTGAGTATGGATGAGCATGTGGTGGTGGAGCAGGCGGAATGAGAACATTAAGAAGGTGAGAAGGGGGGAAAGGCGCAGGCAGGCAGGCAGTTATGGGCAGAGCAAAGAACGTGTAAACATGCATGCACCCCATTCATCCTATTCATTCATTCATCCCATGCTCCCCATGCTCCCCATGCTCCCCATGCTCCCCATGCTCCCCATGCTCCCCATGCTCCCCATGCTCCCCATTCACTCCTCGCTCTCCATGCTCTTCTTTTCATGATGCCTCTATGCATGATCCCTTCCACCTCCGCAGTACCGCATGCGGCCTGTGCGGCTGACCATCCAAGGGCTGGGGCTCAGCCTGGTGCCGGCACGTGCATTTGGACCAACTCCACCGCATATGCCTCACCTCCCCATGCAGTGTACCTCATGTCCCATCCCATGCCCCCCCCTTCCACCACCACAGTATCGCATGCAGCCCGTGCGGCTGACCATCCAAGGGCTGAGGCTCTGCCTGATACTTTCACGCGTGCAGATCGACTCACTACACTCCCCTTGCCCCCCATGTTCCCCTTGCCCCCCATGTTCCCCTTGCCCCCCATGCCCCCCATGCACCACATGCAATATCCCCCCTCCGCCACAGTACCGCATGCGGCCTGTGCGGCTGTCAATTCAAGGGCTGGGGCTTGGCCTGATACCGGCGCGCGTGCAGATCAACTCACCAGATGCGTCATCCCCCACCTCCTTCCCACATCACAGTACCGCATGCGGCCAGTGCGGCTGTCAATTCAAGGGCCTGATACTTTCACGCGTGCAGATCGATTCACTACACTCCCCATGCACCACATGCCCCCCATGCCCCCCATGCACCACATGCCCCCCATGCCCCCCATGCACCACATGCCCCCCATGCCCCCCATGCCCCCTTGCCCCCCATGCACTATCCCCCCTTTCCCACATCGCAGTACCGCATGCGGCCTGTGCGGCTGTCAATCCAAGGGCTGGGGCTCGGCCTGATACCGGCACGCGTGCAGATCGACCAGGTCTCATCAGATTTCCCCTTTGGCGCCAATGTGAACGGCGCTATTCTATATGACACGGCTTACCAGGAGGTGCGGTGCAGTGAAGGGGTGTGAAGAGGTGAGGTGAATGGGGTATGAAGCGGTTCGATTTGTTTTGAAGAGAGGAGAGCACAGATCGACCAGGTCTCATCAGACTTCCCCTTGGGCGCCAATTCTATATGATACGGCATTCCAAGAGGTGAGGTGAAGGGGTATGAAGGGGTATGAAGGAGTGGGGTTTGTTTCTAACTGAGGAGAGCACAGATGGACCAGGTCTCATCAGATTCCCACTGCAGCGCTCAACACGAGAGCAAGTGATATTTCAAGGAGCGGAGGGAGGGAGCAGAGGACTGCAATGTGACGGTTGTGCTGGTGGAGTAGTTCACTCCTTTCAACCCCCTTTCCACTCCTTGCCACCCCGTGCCACCCCTTTCCACCCCCTTCCTTTCCTTCCAGTGGTTTCTCAGCAGGTTCAAGTGGGCAGTGTTCAACAACAAGGGCAAGTGGTATTTCAACGGAAGGATGGAAGACCTCCAACCGCATGCCACCCCTTCCCACCCCTGTCCATCCCTCCAGTGGTTCTTGAACAGGTTCAACTGGGCGGTCTTTAACAACGAGGGCAAGTGGTATTTCAACGAGCGGAGGGAGGAAGTGGAGAACTACACTGTGACGGATGCCCTGGTGGATTGGTTCACACAGAGGAACGTGAGCGTGCGCGGGCACAACATATTCTGGGCCGTTGAGAAGTTTGTCCAGACGTGGGTCAAGGTGAGCGAACGTGGGTCAACGCTGGTCAAGGTGAGCCAACACAGGTCAAGGAAACCGATGCTGTGATGCTGGTTTAGGTGAGTCAATGCTGGTCGGACTGTTACAACAATTTCCAGTTTGTTTACCCCTTTGCCCCTTCTCCCCTTCCCTTTCCCCAGAACCTGAACGACACTGCGCTATGGGCGGCAATGCAAAGACGTATGAACAGTGCAGTGACGCGTTGTGAAGGCAAGGTGCAGCACTGGGATGTCATCAACGAGCCTCATTGCCCCCTTATCCATTCGCCCCCCCTTCCCCCCTTCCTCTCCCCCAGAACCTGAACGACACTGCGCTATGGGCGGCAATGCAAAGGCGCATGGCCAGTGCAGTGGCGCGCAACAGAGGCAAGGTGCATCAACAAGCCTCTTCGCCTCTTTGTCCCTCCCTCCGCCTCTTTGCCCCTTCGTTATCTTCTCTTCCTCTCCCCCAGAATCTTAATGACACTGCATTGTGGGCAGCCATGCAAAGACGCATGAACAGTGCAGTGACGCGCTACACGGGCAAGGTGCAGCACTGGGATGTCATCAACGAGCCTCTGCATGGCAACTACTACGGGCAGCGCCTGGGCGAGGACATTCACTCGTGGATGTTCAAGGCCGCCCGGGCGATCGATCCCAATGTGCGGCTGTTTTTGAATGATTATAACACGGTGGAGCAGTGCGATCGAGGGGCCAACCCAGAGGTCTACCTAGAGGTGAGATGTGGTTCAGTGCGGTGAGAGGCGGTTGAGTGCAGTGAGAGGCGATGGATCCCAATGTGCGGCTGTTTCTGAATGGCTACAACACGGTGGAGCAGTGTGACCGAGGGGCCAACCCGGAGGTCTACCTGGAGGTGGGTGGGGGGAGGAAGGTAGATGCAGTGCGGTGGTGTGTGGCGAGTGTCCTCTGGTGTTTGGGGAATGGTATACACTCATTGATGTTCAAGGCTGCCCGGACAATCGATCCCAACGTGCGGTTTTTTCTGAATGATTACAACACGGTGGAGCAGTGTGACCGAGGGGCCAACCCAGAGGTGTACCTCGAGGTGAGATGCAGTTCAGTGCGGTGGGAGGCGATCGATCCCAACGTGCGGCTGTTTCTGAATGACTACAACACGGTGGAGCTGTGCGACCGAGGGGCCAACCCGGAGGTGTACCTGGAGGTGAGAGGCGGTTTACTTAGGTCCAGCGCATGCGAAAGGGCGTGCGGTGTGAGTGGGGAAGGGCGTGTGGTGTGAGTGGGGAAAGGCGTGTGGTGTGAGTGGGGAAGGGCGTGTGCTGTGAGTGAGTGGGGAAGGGCGTGTGCTGTGAGTGGGAGAGGGCGTGCATTCGTGGATGTGCAACCAACTATCCCTTTTTTCCCTCTGTCCTCTACCTCTCTCCCTCCTCTTACTCTTTCCCCTTGTCACCCAAGAGCAGAAGGTGTGGAATCTTTTGAGTCGACTCAAAAGTCAACTCTACCTCCTCTAACTCTTTCCCCTTGGCACCCAAGAGCAGGTGTAGAATCTTTTGAGTCGACTCAAAAGTCAACTCTCCCTCCTCTAACTCTTTCCCCTTGGCACCCAAGAGCAGAAGGTGTGGAATCTTTTGAGTCGAGTCAAAAGTCAACTCTCCCTCCTCTAACTCTTTCCCCTTGGCACCCAAGAGCAGAAGGTGTGGACTCTCAACGCAACAGGGGCGCCGGTGACGGGCATAGGCGTGGAGGCTCATTACAGTGGGGAGCCGCAGCTGGTGAGTTGATATGTTGGGGATGAGTAAGTGAGAGACTGTGAAACGAAAGACTGTGAGAGTGTGCTGGTGAGTGAGAGAGTGGGAAACGAAAGACTGCAGTGCAACACTGTGGAGTAACGGGCATTGGCGTGGAGGCACACTACAGTGAGGAGCCGCAGCTGGTGAGTTGATATGCTGGGCATAGGGAGAGTGGGGTGAGAGGGAATGAGTTCGCAAGGGGTGAAGGAGTTTGGCACAACCGAGTGACAGGGATGGGCGTGGATGCGCGCTACAGTGAGGAGCGGCAGCTGGTGAGTTGATATGCTGGGCATAAGGAGAGTGGGGAGAGGGAAAGAGTTCGCAAGGGGTGAAGGAGTTTGGCACAACCGAGTGACAGGGGTGGGCGTGGATGCGCACTACAGTGAGGAGCGGCAGCTGGTGAGTTGATATGCTGGGCATAAGGAGAGTGGGGAGAGGGAATGAGTTCGCAAGGGGTGAAGGAGTTTGGCACAACCGAGTGACAGGGATGGGCGTGGATGCGCACTACAGTGAGGAGCGGCAGCTGGTGAGTTGATATGCTGGGCATAAGGAGAGTGGAGAAAGGGAATGAGTTCGCAAGGGGTGAAGGAGTTTAGCACAACCGAGTGTCAGGGATAGGCGTGGATGTGCACTAGAGAGGGGAGCCGCAGCTGTTGAGTTGAGAGAATTTGGGTGTTGGGGGGGGGGGGGGGGGGGGGGGGTTGCAGGGCACACTAGAGGGATGGGAAAGCTGTGAAGGGGCGTGGAGGCACATGAGGAGTTGGTCAGAAGCGGGTGGTGAGAAGCAGGTGGTGAGAAGCAGGTGGTGAGAAGCAGGTGGTGAGAAGCAATCTCAGGTCTCTTTACCCTTCGCCCTTCAGGTCCGTCTGAAGCACGATCTGAATCGGCTTGCCAAGCTCCCCATCTGGCTGACGGAGCTCGATTTCAGTGAAGTGGAGTCGGATGAGCAAACAGCTGGCCCTTTGAATCACCATGCCATTCTTCCTCTGTACCCATTCCTTCAGGTGCGCTTAAAGCACGATTTGAACCGCCTGGCGATGGCCAAGCTGCCCATATGGCTGACGGAGCTCGATTTCAGTGAAATGGAGGTGGATGAGCAAAGGGCCAACCCTTTGAGTCACCATGCCAGGTTTCCTCCGTACCCCTGCCTTCAGGTTCGGTTGAAGCACGACCTTAACCGCCTGGCGATGGCCAAGCTGCCCATCTGGCTGACGGAGCTCGACTTTAGTGAAGTGGATTCAGATGAGCAAAGAGCCGACTATCTCGAGGCGGTGATGCGAGAGGCCTTCTCGCATCCCTCGGTGGCTGGCATGGTGTTGTGGTCGGCTGGGAGGTCCACGTGCGAGTTTTATAAAGATATTGACTCGGGCATGTGCAACGCGTGTGATGCTTGCCTGGCGGATTCGAGCTTCAGGGATAACGAGGCGGGGAAAAGGTGAGAGCTGGGAGCAGGTGTGAGAGGAGGTGAAGAATCGGGTTTGAGTTTTCTCAAAACAGAATTACCTTCAGGATGCCTTCGCGCATCCCTCGGTGACCGGTCGGCTGGGAGATCCACGTGCGAGTTGTATAAAGATATTGACTCGGGCATGTGCAACGCGTGCGGTGCATGTCTGGCGGATTTGTCTTTCACTGACAATGAGGCGGGGAAAAGGTGAGAGCTGTGCCACGGCTTGGTGCTGTGCTGTTCTACCTCGGCAGGGAGAGGCACGTGCGAGGACATTTGATTCTAACATGTGCAACACCTGTGGGGCTTGCTTCGCGGATTCGAGCTTTACGGATAACGAGGCGCGGAAAAGGCGAGTCCTGGGATCGGGTGGCTTTTGAGGCTCTTAAAAGATTGTCCGGTGGTTGGCCTGGCTGGGAGGGCCACGTGCGAGTATTACGAGGATATTGACTCTAGCATGTGCAACGCCTGTGAACGGGTGACAAATGAGTCTAGTCTATCCAAAAGCCTGCTGTGGCTGGCTTGGCTGGGAGGGCCACGTGCGAGTATTACAAGGATATTGACTCTAACTTGTGCTTGCAAGTTAGAGCCTAACGCGAGTTAACTTGAGCTTGTAATACTTGCACGTGCTTCAAGGCACGTGTGCAACGCCTGTGAAGCATGTGTGGCCGATTCGAGCTACAAGGATAACGAGGCGTGGAAAAGGTGAGAATTGGGGGCGGGTGTGAGAGGAGGTGGTATTTTGGGACTCGACAAATCCTGGTTACAAGGCGGGGAAAAGGTGAGAGCTGGGAGGGGCTGTAAGTTGAGGTGGACGGTTGGCTCAAAAAAATCGTGGGTGTTTTCTGGGAGAAACGCCACAACCGGTGATTTATGAGTCGGCTAAAAAAATAGAGAAAAAAAAGGTGGGTGTTGTTTGGAAGCAGAGCCGCGACCGACCGTTTGTACTTTTAAACGAAGGAAGCTGTACTTTTGAAGGAAGCGGGTTTTCTCAGAGATAACTGACTGCAGCAAGTCGCCCCAGCTGGGAAAACAGTTTCAAGACCTCATAATATCCCAATGACATTCACCCCTCGACCTTCCTCCGCCCATCATTCCCGTGGGCAAGGAATGGAGCACTCATGTTAGCAGAGTGATCTTGCTCGGCCGAACTGTTTCTGGTTGAACTCCCGTGGGCGTTGTTGCTTGTGGCTACCAGTTCCCCACCACACCCTACGCTGTTTTCATTCACCCCCTTTCACCGCTTGTCTTTCCGCCGCCCATCACCTCCCGCCAGGTTCGTTCGCCTGCGCAAGGAATGGAGCACCCACCTGAGCAGAGTGGTCTGGCTCGGCCGAACCATGAAACTCAGCCCATTTCCCAAACCAAGGTATACATGCGCGCGCTGCTCTTTGTGCCGTGTTGTTCCCCCACCGCCTAACTTCTTCCTTCCTTCCATCTCCCCCTCCCACCCACCCATCCGTTCCGCTCCTCCTCTCCTCTCCTCTCCTCTCCTCTCCTCTCCTCTCCTCTCCTCTCCTCCCCTCCCCTCCTCTCTCCTCTCCTCTCCTCTCCCTTCCTTTCTTCTCCACCACTCCACTTCTCTCCCCTCTTCCCTCTCCCTTTCCTTCTCCCACTCCCACCTCCTTCCCTACCTCCCCTCTCCTCTGCTCTCCACTCCACCCGGTCTCCCATCACTCCCCCAGATACCAGGCCCTAAGAGCGGAATGGAGCACCCACTTTGCAAGGCGATCCCGAGTTGATTTTTGAGTCGACTCAAAAATCAACCCATCACTCCCCCAGGTACCAGGCCCTAAGAGCGGAATGGAGCACCCACTTTGCAAGTCGATCCCGAGTTGATTTTTGAGTCGACTTAAAAATCAACCCATCACTCCCCCAGGTACCAGGCCCTAAGAGCGGAATGGAGCACCCACTTTGCAAGGCGATCCCGAGTTGATTTTTGAGTCGACTTAAAAATCAACCCATCACTCCCCCAGGTACCAGGCCCTAAGAGCGGAGTGGAGCACCCACTTTGCAAGGCGATCCCGGCTGAACGCGCCGCTCTCCTTCACAGCGTTCCACGGCAGGTGGGTGGCCCAGCGGTCTTCTTCTTCCGCTCTCTTCTCAGCGGTGCATGGCATGTAGTGTTGTTCAGGCATGCGTAGCAGAGGGTGTGTGTCTGCTCAAGACAGGCAGGCAAATAACATGACCTCCAGGTAACGTGCCTTACGATCAGGGGTGAGTGGGATACCCACTAGTCAAGGCAATCCTGGGACGACGTTTGAGGCGCCTCAAAAGCCATGAGTGGAATACCCACTTGTCAAGGCGATCCTGGCTCAGTCGCCCCTCTCCTTGACCGCATTCCATGGCAGGTGGGTGGTTGGCATTGCAGACCAGTTATGAGACGTCTCAAAAGGGTGGTTGGCATTGCAGACCAGTTATGAGACGTCTCAAAAGGGTGGTTGGCATTGCAGACCAGTTATGAGACGTCTCAAAAGGGTGGTTGGCATTGCAGACCAGTTACCATGCCGCACGCCCATTACGTACCAACCAGGCCCTGAGAGAAACGTGGAGCACCCGTGGCAGGCTGGTACGTAATGGGCGTGGCCCATCTGGCAGGCTGAACGCTGCTGCCAATTGTGCAGCATTGGAACATCTCCTCTGCACGCTCCTGTTCATGCACGTACCACCATGCCTTTCAGGTACCGGGTTTTGAGGCACCTCAAAACCATGCCTTTCAGGTACCGAGTGGTGGAGCATGAACAGGACCACCCGGTTCCTTTCAGGTACCGGGTGGTGGAAGGGTCCTTCAGAGGGTAGCAGGTGGAGCAGTTCTGTGATGTGGCCAAGGGCGCTGGCAGGTTGAACAGTTTTGAGGCGCCTCAAAACAGGTGGAGCAGTTCATTGATGTGGCCAAGGGCACTGGCAGGTTGAACATTGCCATGCAGCTGTGGAGCCTCAAAGCATCTCCCATACACCCTTCTTTCCACGTCCCTGACACCCCTCCCTTCAGGTATCGGGTGAGAGTGTCCTTCAGAGGACAGCAGGTGGAGCGATTCTTTGATGTGCCCATGGACGCTGGCCGGCTGAACATTGCCGTGCAGTTTCCCTTGCATTCTCGCCCCTCCCTTCACATATCTCCCCCTTCAGGTATCGGTTGAGAGTATCATTCAGAGGGCAGAAAGTGGAGCCATTCTTTCTGTGATGTGCCCAACTCATTCGCTTGTCTCGTCACTCTTCTCTTTGTTTCACTTATCTACGCCCCTCTCTTCAGGTACCGGGTGAGAGTATCATTCAGAGGCCAACAGGTGGAGCGGTTCTTTGATGTTCCCAAGGGCGCTGGCAGGCTGAACGTTGCTGTCCAGTTGTGACGGGGAGTCCGCATGTGGTGAGACTGATGTTGCTGCGCCTGAGAAATAATCTCACCTTTGAGACGCCTCAAAGCGCCTGGAAAATAGTCTCATCATATGCGGAGCAGAGAGTGGCAGGCTGAATGCTTCCATTCTTGTGATGGCCGAAAAAAAGTCTCAAAAGAGTGCTTCCATCGCCGGCTGCGAGTTTGCCATCCCCTTGAGACGCCAGCGTATGCTGATAAGCTCTTAAAACATGAAAGGAGGGGGAAGGAGCTGCAACTACACCTTGCGAGCGTGCAAGCCAGTGTGGTACTCCACCCTCAGCCAGTTTTGTTCTTCGCCAGTCAACAGGCCTGTTGACTGCTCCAAACTACTACTATTCAATGATGCTGGTGGGATGTATGTCGCGGTTGCACGAGCGCCCACCACTATGCAGCAGCAGGGGCGCAGCTGGAGGGAGTAGAGCGGGCAGATGGAAGTAGAGCGGGCAGCTGGAAGAAGTAGAGCGGGCAGATGGAAGAAGTAGAGCGGGCAGATGGAAGAAGTAGAGCGGGCAGATGGAAGGAGCGGGCAGCTGGAGGAAGTAGAGTGGGCAGATGGAAGGAGCGGGCAGCTGGAGGAAGTAGAGCGGGCAGCAGGCGGTAGAAGAGCGGGCAGCAGGTGTGGGGGTGGTGATCGCAGGCATTCGAAACAACAGCATGCAGCCACATCACGGGCTAATTTTTAAAATCATGAATCCCTGGAGGGCTAGAGCTCACAGCTAGGTGAACTTTCTTCAGCAGCAGGTACAACAAGCACCCTACCTGATGCAGGATGTAGCCTGCAACAGCAGGGGCCCACAGACATCGGCACCAGCAGCAAATGCATCCACGGTTTCTAACAACAAGAACTGTTAGGCCCAGGCATGTACCGGTACCATCTCCTGGTGTTGGGCAAGCAGCAGCAGGTTGGGCAAGCAGCAGCAGGTTGGGCAAGCAGCAGCAGGTTGGGCAAGCAGCAGCAGGTTGGGCAAGCAGCAGCAGGTTAGGCAAGCACCAGCAGGTTAGCTGGCTCACCAGTAGTCTCGGGTAGTGTTAGGGCAGTGTCAGGGGACTGAGACACACTGCTGGTCAGCATCAGCAGCACCTCCAATTACTAATTCAACATACATCGCCTGTTCACTAACATGACAAGCAATGTATTCTAGGCTGAATGTTAACCATATGTTAATACAAATTACATATTCCGTACAGGTCAACTGACTCCTCTTTACTTGTTGGCCATACCTTGTCTGGTAACGATCTCTCTGAAATACAAGGGGACATCAAGCACTAGCCCAACCACATGGTCTGAACTGAACACAGAGTTGATTAACACATGAACTGTACACAAATCGGGAACTAGGTACGAACTAAACAAAAAGTGGTGTCAACTAGGCAAGTCAACTGTCACGGTAGGGAAAGAGAAGGAAATTCGCCATGGACCAGGGTGCAGAGCTGGTTGTAGTTGATTTGGTCCAGAGGGAAGGCTCTAAAGCTCAAAAAAGGTAGTGTGTACTTTGGTCAATGAAAAGGTCACGGGAGAAAAAGAGAATGGAATTCGCCATGGACCAGGGTGCAGAGCTGGTTGTAGTTGCTTTGGTCTGGCGGGGAGCGGAAATTAGAGGGGGGACGAAGAGCAGGTGGAGAAGGGGGGAAGGGTGGGGAAGGGAAGGTGGAGAGAAGATGAGAAGGGGGAAAAAATGGGGGGTTGGGGGAAGGAGGGAACATTAGATAAAGGGAGGGAGGAGGCTTGAAGTCGTGAATAAGATGAACGTTATTAGGATAAAAGCGAAATGGAGGGGGAACCGACATGTTCCTCAAAGTGCACGAACACGAAAGAAAGAAGACTGTCGATTGTTCGCCAACTGGTCTTCCCTGACATTCCTCACGGCGTTTTACGCCTGCCCTAAAACGTCATCGCGAGGCGTGAAAAGGAGTGCCAAACCGATCTCCAACATCGCCTCCTGAAAGAAACGGATGCGCGACTCTATGGCCGAGACGGACTCCAAAAAATAGTTGAAACGGGGACGTAGTTTACCGAAGTTATTTCCGAAAGCGGTCGACGACTCTTCGCGAATGGTCGTGTCGTTCTCGGGAACACCAATCACCTCGACGAATTGCGAGTTATCCCACGGTGACCGAGTCAACGCGCGGACTGTGACTGTAGCATTGTCACACGTCTGAGCTGTGATTATACCGGGGTCCACTCGCACCACTCTCAGGACTGTCCGGATCTTCCGACCCACGAAACGTCGCATCTGTTCTCCATTGACCATCGGAGACGGGTCTGACAAATCCATGGTTGTCGCTGTTCAAATCTAAGCGCGTCGCCTTCTATGATAATAAAAATTGAGACGGCAACCCTAAGTAAAGTCGAATCCTGAGGCCCTAGTCTCACACAGTCGGGATGAAAGACGCGTGTCAAAGGCGTTATGAAAAGGCGACGACTGGATCAATTCGACGAGGTGTTCCAAAGGAGAAAGCAGAAGGTGCGAAGTGGGAGACCTGAGATCGCCTCGCCTCGCCACATGAGCATTTGAATATTTGAAATCCAGAGGGAGCGAGGGGGTGGTATTTTGTCGTTTCAAACTCGACCCTGACGAACGAGTTCGTACACACGATCAGCGAGATCAGTTACCATGCCTAACGACAATTCGTTGGACGGTGGGATATGGTTGGCAGTGCCGTGAGCAAACACAGTTACGGTTCCAGCGAGAGTTGCGATAGGCAAAATTGAGTTTCAGCGACTGTGTCAGCAACTTGGTTTTGGAACATCAGCCAAAATCCTGACGTCGGTTTCCCTTCGAGGATCGAGATGTTTCACAAGATGTTCGTTTTGGGCGACGAGTGGTGATACTGCCGGGTTTTGCAACCTTGCTTGGGGTGGCATGAAACGAGTTGGCTTCAGCTTGAAGCTTGTTTTCCTTTTGTCTCGTGTGATGTGTCATGTCTGCCGAAGCGAGCGGAGGACGCCTGCGCAGCTGTGCCTTGCTGTAGGCACATCTCACCTTGCTTCAGTCACGATGCCTGTGCGAGCGACGTCAAAACTCGATTGTGCGGCCGTCGCGCTTTGTTCGGGAAAATACTCGACAAAGGCCTTTGATTGGTTACGACGAGTAACGAACCAGGCACGAACCTAGCGGTCAGGTTTCTTCTTGGTTTGTCTTCCTTCAGGGCGACGTCAGGTTGTACATTTCACGCACTTATGCAGTTCTTGTATCGTGGTTCAGAACGGTTCCACACGTTTGAAAACGGTTCTCAAGGGATCCTGACGGAACGAAGTTGAGCGTAGAGAAGTGCGGACTGGCGTCGCCCTCAAAACTGTATTTCTGCCGGGCCTAACCCCCAGGGCCCCCACCCCGCCTTGGCAATGTCGGTGTTGTTTGAATGAAGGCATTCAGGACGAAGCGCATCTACGAGCAGAACAGAATCCATTCTCTTCATCCAACCCTTGGTTTCAACCTCAACAAACGCTAAAAGTAGTTTTGCTTCAAAGAAAAGGTTTGCAGATTCGGCAGAAGATCTAAGCATTCCGCCAGCACGCTGGGGGAAATCGACACTTTCAACAGGTGGCTCAACTTCCGAAAACAAAAAAAACTCAGGGACCGCAACCATCGTTTTACCCCGGAAACTTTGGGTTCCCCTGGCTGTCATGGATGGAAATCGCCTTTCCCGCCCTTCGGGAACATTGCCGTCGTGTGGAGGGGTGTGAGATTGTGCTTGGCACGCACTGATTGGGTGGAACTGGCTCGATTTTGCATTTTCGTCCTCCTCCCCTCTCAGTCCACTTCTTCGATTCTCTCGCGCTTTTGATGGCTGCATTTGCTTGCGACGCCAAGCATCTACATTTGAACATTGCCAAGGCCCTGCATTTCCGCTCGATCATCTCTTGTGATAGTGCTCTTGAAGCTCCACAAGCCAGTAAGAAACCGCATAATTCAGGAAAGCCTTAGAAAGGAAAAGTAACACTGACCTCACAGTATGCACTTATCAAGGCAAACTCGTAGCTTTCTCTTCGTGCTGTGAATCGTCAGACAGAACATCATTATCCAATACTAACAATCATGGCGCCTCTTGCTCTGGGACTGGGAGCAGTGAAAATACTACCTCTCACGCTCCTCACCCTCGCCATTATATCGCATCAGATACATTCTGGTGAGTTTTTTGCACATGCAGCACAGCACTCACTGAGTGGCACGCGCCTCAAATCAAGCAATAAGCATAAACGATCGATCAAACGACTAGATGCTGGTAAGCAATGATAGGCTAGCATCCATGAGGGTCCCAGCCCAACTACTCTCGATAGTCGTCTCTGATACTCTCAGTGACTGAGACTCAGTCCTAAGTTTACATCGGACCCTCCAGCTTTAGCATCGCGAGTGATTCCTTCCCCATGCAATGTGCAACCCCCGTGAACGTTAGACCCAACCCCTCTCTTCCTGCACTACCGCCTCCTGCTCCCGCATTGCCGGTGATCCGCGCAGCCGCGGAGTCCGCGGGACTTCCGCCGTCGCCGTACGAGCGCGAGTTTGCGCAGTATCGCGGGACGGACGGGTTGCTGTCGCTCGACTATCTCAAAGCGCCGCACGCGTCGCACGGCGATGGTCGAGGCCGGAAAACTCTCGATCAGATATTTAAAGTCGTTTTCGTGAGTGCGCTCCCAGCTTCCGCTCCGATCCCCCTTCTTCCTCCTCTCTTCTTCCCCGTCCCTTCCGCGCCTTCCGATCCCGCCCGCCCACGCTTCCACCATCCCCCTTCCACCGAAAACCCCTTCAACTCTCCCACTTCCTCCTGATGATGCAGAGTATATTTGGAAATTATCAATATCCCTCCGTATTTTTAAACACTCTCTCTCCCTCTCCTCTCCCCCCCTCAACCTCCCTTCCTGACAGCTTCCCGCACGTTCTCCCACGCCTCCGCAACGCTCCGCATTTCCAACTTCCTTTCCCTCTCCTCCCTCGTTCCTCCCCCGCTCTCCCGTCCCCCACTTCCCCCTCCCCGCTTTCACCCTGCTGGTTTCTCCCTCCCCCACTTCCCCCTCCCCCTTGCGCCAGTGCTCCCCCAATCCCGGCCCCGCGGCCCCGCCGACTAGCAACCTCCTAAAGAACCCGCGATTTCAGGACGGCCTGTCGTCGTGGATGGCCTTCGGTGATTCGTCCTTACGACGCGCTCAGGCCGCGAACTACTCGTACGGCGTGTCGTACGCGCGGCGCGCGGAGTCCGCGGGGCCGGCGCAGATAATACGAAACCTGCCGGCCGCAGCGTATGAGCTCGCGATCTGGGTGAAGCTAGGTGCCGCCAGCGGGCCGGCCGTTAGAAGAACGGCCGGCTTGCCTGTCGCCGGCCGACAGTACGTGAACGCGATGGCGAAGATCGACGGCCAGTACGTGTGCATCGGCGGCGCGAACGCGCGGCCGTCGTGCTGGACGAAGGTGATTGGCGGATTCACGCTGCATCGGACGGCCAGCGAGGTCGCAGTGTACATCCAAGGCGCGACCGTCGGGACGGAGATCTTGGTGACGTCAGCATCGCTGCTGAAGGTGGATACGGCAATGTGGCGACAGCGGCAAAATGAGAATATCAAGAAGGTAAAGTCAGAGAAGGAGGTGGGGTGATGAGACTAGAGAGTTTTTACATGAGAATGCCGCAGAGCCTCCACCCAGCCCACTCTTCCCCTCCCTCCCCCCTCGTCCCCTTTCCCCCAGCACCGCCAGTAAAACGTCATATTACGAGTGCACGGATATGGAGCGGTATCAGCGCGTTTGCAGATCGACCAGGTGACGTCAGAATTTGCTTTCAAAGCCGCCTCCCCCGTCCTCTCTACCTCATCCCCTCTTCCCCCTTCCCCCCAGCACCGCCAACGAGACGTGACTCTACGAGTGCACGGAGAAGTGGCGGTATCAGCGCGCGTGCAGATCGACCAGGTGACGTCGGAGTTTCCATTCACAGCCTCCTGCCCTCTATGCTCCCCCTCCCGCTCTTCTCCCTGGTCTCCTTCCCCACCTTCCAGCACCATCAACGAGACGTGACATTGCGGGTGCACGGAGCAGGGGCGGTGTCAGCCCGCGTGCAGATCGACCAGGTGACTTCGGAGTTCCTATTTCGAATCCCGTACCCTCCATTACCCCCCTCCCCGGCGTCCCCTTCCCCCAGTACCGTCAACGAGACGTCACTCTTCGAGTGCACGGAGCAGGCGCGGTGTCAGCGCGAGTGCAGATCGACCAGGTGACTTCGGAGTTCCCGTTTGGAGCCAACGTTAATGGCGCAATCCTCTACGACAAGAACTACCAGCGGGTGTGTACGGGTTGTTGTGGGTGGGTGTGGTATGTGGTGGGTACTTTGAAGAGGATGTGTGCTGGCCTTGGAGTTCCCGTTTGAAGCCAACGTGAACGGCGCGATCCTCTACGACAAAAACTACCAGCAGGTGGGCGGGTGTGGGTGTGGGTGTGGGTGTGGGTGTGGGTGTGGGTGTGGGTGTGGGTGTGGGTGTGGGTGTGGGTGTGGGTGTGGGTGTGGGTGTGGGTGTGGGTGTGGGTGTGGGTGTGGGTGTGGGTGTGGGTATGGGTATGGGTATGGGTATGGGTGTGGGTATGGGTGTGGGTGTAGGTATGGGTATGGTATGTGGTGAGCACTTTGAAGAGAATGTGTGTTGAGCACTGTGTTGGCGCGGGAGTTGCCGTTTGGGGCCAACGTCAATGGCACCCTCTACAACTGCAACTACCAGCGGGTGAGTGGGTGCGTGTGTGCGTGTGTGCGTGTGTGTGTGTGTGTGTGTGTGTGTGTGTGTGCGTGTGTGCGTGTGTGTGTGTGTGTGCGTGTGTGTGTGTGTGTGTGCGTGTGTGTGTGTGTGTGTGTTAGCAGCTACTGACGGTGCGGGGTTAATGCTTGGAAGAGGATGCGTGCTGAATAGAATAATGTGAATGGCGCCATAATTTAGGACCGCAACTACCAGCGGGTGCGTGCGTGTGTGTGTGCGTGTGTGTGTGCGTGTGTGTGTGCGTGTGTGTGTGCGTGTGTGTGTGTGTGCGTGTGTGTGTGCGTGTGTGTGTGCGTGTGTGTGTGCGTGTGTGTGTGTGTGCGTGTGTGTGTGCGTGTGTGTGTGCGTGTGTGTGTGCGTGTGTGTGTGCGTGTGTGTGTGCGTGTATGTGTGGTGTATGTGTGTGCATGCCCTTGTGAGAGGATGCGTGTCAGCCCACCCACATGCGGATTGACCAGGTGACGTCAGAGTTCCCTTTTGAAGCCAATGTCATGTCAACGGTGCTATCCTCTACGACAAAAACTACCAGTGGGTGGGTGAGGGTGGGTGCGTGTGGGTGCGGGTGGGTACGTGCGTGATTAACACTTACCGTAAGTAAGGGAGGATGCGTGTCATCCCACATGCAGATCGACCAGGTCACGTCGGAGTTCCCATCCGGTTCGGAGCCAATGTGAATGGGAGCTATCCTCTACCACCGTATTGGACTACATTGTGACCCCATCTCCCGTTGAGCCATCTCCCTCGTTCTTCCCCGTTCCTCCCCAACACCTGCTCTCTCTCCTTCCCTGTTACCTCGTCTCTCTCCCTCTACAGTGGTTCCTGAGTTGGTTCAACTGGGTAATGTTCACCAACGAAGTCATACAGTTTTTTCAACAGAAAGGGCCAGAGCACACTAGACTACAATGTAACCCTTTCCACCCCGCGCTTTCTCTCTGTCTCCCTGCCATCTCTTCTCTCTCCCCTTCCAGTTGTTCTTGAACAGGTTCAACTGGGTAGTGTTCAACAAGTGGTATTTCAACGAGCAGAGCCGGGCGTTCTAGAGACTACAATGTGACAGACGTGCTGGTTAATTGGTTCACCCCTTCTTTCTACCCTCTTTTATCACCCCCCTCCACCCACCCCCTTTCACCCCCTCTTATCCCCTGTTACCTCTCCTCTCCCCCTCCACAGTGGTTCTTAAGCAGGTTCAACTGGGCAGTGTTCAACAACGAGGCCAAGTGGTATTTCAACGAGCAGAGTCCAGGCGCACTAGACTACAATGTGACGGACGCGCTGATTGGATGGTTCACTCAGAGGAACATCAAAGTGCGCGGACACAACATCTTCTGGGCTGTGGATAAATTCGTCCAGACGTGGGTCAAGGTGAGTCAACGCCAGTCAACGCTGGTCAAGGTGAGACAACGCACACCTCTCTGGTCAGGGCGTACTGGACTACAATGTGACGGATGTGCTGGTGGAATGGTTCACACAGAGGAACATCAAAGTGCGCGGACACAACATCTTCTGGGCCGTGAAGATGTTTGTTCAGACGTGGGTCAAGGTGAGTCAACAAAGTCAACGCTGGTTAAGGTGAGTCAGCGGACTACAATGTGACGGACGCGCTGGTTGGATGGTTCACCCAAAGGAGCATCAAAGTGCGCGCTCACAACATCTTCTGGGCCGTGGAGAAGTTTGTTCAGACGTGGGTCAAGGTGAGTCAATGTGGGTCAACGCAGGTCAAGGTGAGTCAACGCCATTCAAGGTGAGTACAATGCAAAGACGCATGAGCAGTGCAGTGACGCGCTACAGTACAGAGGCACGGTGCAGCACTGGGATGTCATGAACGAGCCTCATTGCCTCATTTCCCCTTTGCCTGCCGTTTTTCACCATTGTCCCTTCCCATCTCCCCAGGGCCTCAACAACCCTGGCTTATTTGCAGCGATGTAGACGAGCGTCCCTGCTCTCCCTCATACACTTCTCCTACTTTCTCTTGCCTGGCACTGGCAGGGTCTAAACAACATTGCCTTTTGGGCGGCCATGCAAAGGCGTATGAAGAGTGCAGTGGCGCGCTACAGATGCAAGGTGCAGCACTGGGATGTTATCAACTAGCCTCCCTCCCTCCCTCATACACTTCTCCTTTCTCTTGCCTGGCACTGGCAGGGCCTGAACAACAGTGCCTTATGGGCGGCCATGCAACGACGTATGGCCAGTGCAGTGACGCGATATCGAGGCAAGGTGCAGCACTGGGATGTGATCAACGAGCCTCTGCATGGCAACTACTACGGGCAGCGCCTGGGCGGCAATGTGCACTCGTGGATGTTTAAAGCTGCGCGGGCGATTGATCCTAATGTCAGGTTGTTTCTTAACGAGTACAACACTGTGGAGCAGTGCGACAGCCAGGTTAACCCAGAGATTTACCTTGAGGTACGTATGAGGATACGTGGGCAAGTGGAGGAGGAAAGAAAAGTAGCAGATTGGAGAGTGTAGTGCAGCTGTTCTTAACGAGTACAACACTTTGGACTGCTAACCCGGAGAGATACATTGGGGGGTGAGGTGGTTTCACCTGGTGCTTTGTTGGACTCACCGGCTTTTCTCCTAGTTTCGTCTGCTCTGTTTCAACCTCGTATTCTCGAAATGGCCACATATTCATTCATTCAACCCAGTCGCAATTTTGCTCTGTTTCAAACCCGCTTTGTTTGGATGGCCATGGATTCATTCAATTCAGTAGCCCTTTTGCCCCCTGCATTTGCCCCCTGCATTTGCCCCCTGCATTTGCCCCCCTGCATTTGCCCCCCTCCCCAAGCAGAAGGTGTGGAATCTCACGTCTAGTGGGGCACCAGTGACGGGCATAGGCGTGGAGGCGCATTACAGCGGGGAGCCGCAGCTGGTGAGTTGATATGCTGGGGGAATGGAATGAGTGCGGTGGAGTGGAGGTGCGTGCATTGTTCGATTTCACACAAGTCCAATCGGAGCAGCAAAGAGCGGACTATCTCGAGGCAGTGATGCAAGAGGCCTTAGCACAGCCCTCGGTGGCTGGCAATGGCATCATGCTCGATGTGCAACTCTCAATGTGCAACTCTCCCCTTACCATTCCCTACTTTTTCCCCTCCCTTTTTGTCCCATTTTCTCTCCCTTTCCAGGTCCGGTTGCAGCACGACTTGAACCGGCTAGCAGTAGCAGGCATGCCCATATGGCTCACAGAGCTCGATTTCACCCAAGTCCAATCGGAGCAGCAAAGAGCGGACTCTCTCGAGGCAGTGATGCAAGAGGCCTTTGCACGTCCCTCGGTGGCTGGCAATGGCATCGTGCTCAATGTGCAACTCTGTTTTGAGACGTCTCAAAAGTCACCTTGGTGGCCGGGATCGTGCTCGATGTGCAACTCTCCCCTTACCATTTCCTACTTTTTCACCTCCTTTTTCACCTCCTTTTTTGTCCCATTTTGTCTCCCTTACCAGGTGCGGTTGAAGCACGACTTGAACCGGCTAGCAGTAGCCGGCATGCCCATATGGCTCACAGAGCTCGACTTCAATGAAGTGCAATCGGAGCGGCAGAGGGCGGATTACCTGGAAGCAGTGATGCGGGAGGCCTTGCACATCCCTCAGTGGCTGGCATGGTGCTGTGGTCGGCCAGTTGTGCGACTTTCCCCGTACCCTTCCTTACCCACTCCTTTCACCTTTCTGGTCCCAATTTCTGAGTTCAGGTCCGGTTGAAGCACGACTTGAACCGGCTAGCAGTAGCCGGCATGCCCATATGGCTCACAGAGCTCGACTTCAACGAAGTGCAATCGGAGCGGCAGAGGGCGGATTACCTGGAAGCAGTGATGCGGGAGGCCTTTGCACATCCCTCGATAGCCGGCATCGTGCTGTGGTCGGCTGGGAGATCAACGTGCACGTACTACAAAGACATGGATCCGGGCATGTGCAATCCGTGTGATGCTTGCTTGGCGGATGCCAAGTTTGTTGACAATCTGGCAGGGCAGAGGTGAGCGCACAGAGGACGGGGTAGAGGGCAGAAGGGCATTTGGGTCATTGTACTGTGGCCGGCTGGAAGATTCACATGCACCTACTGTAAGAATATGAATTCCGCCATGTACAGTGCATGTGATGTGATGCATACTTGGCAAACGCCAAGTTTGACTTTTGAGTCGACTCAAAAGTCACATGCACCTACTATAAGAATATGAATCCCGCCATGTGCAGTGCATGTGATGTGATGCATGCTTGGATTGGCAAACGCCAAGTTTGTGAACAATCCGGCAGGGAAGGGGTCAGCTGCAGGTGTAAGGGTCCATAGTGGGGGACTGGGGTGTTGTGGAGAGGGGGGGGGGTGGGGGGGTTGGGGGGTGTTGGAAAGGATGAGAGCACACAATTTATGAGTCTGGGCGCTTAACATGTGACTATTCTCATTCATGCACAGAGCATCATTCACCCATCTTCCACCACCTTTTCCACCCTACTTACATTACAATTTTCCCCAGGTATGTGCGATTGCGGAAGGAGTGGAGCACACATCTTATAAGACAGGTTACTTTCAGAAGCCCGATCAAGTTTAGAGGGTTCCATGGCAAATATCGTGCACGCATCACAGTAAATGGGAAGCTGATAGAGAGGTACTTCTATGTGCCAAAGCAAACAGTTGGCCTTAATGTGGATATAAGAATATAGAATATAGTAGCCAAGGGAATAGTCTGGTGACTTCCTCGGTTGCCAAACGTTAGTCTGTGTAGACAAATTCTTGTTAATAGTGTACACAGATCCATAGTAAAAATTCAGAACTAATTTTTGAAGGGTGAAGAAAGCACCACTAAACAGTACAAATGTACAGTAAGCTATACTGAGTTAGCAAAATGCGGCTACTGTCCCTGCTTCCGCCCCCCCCACCCACGTTCCAAGGTCCTCCTCACCTCTCCCCTCCATACAATCACAGCTCCACACGAAGCGCGTCGCCAGGAGAAGGATGCGCCACGCGCTCCCGAATCCTCTCCGCCTTCCCTTCCCCCTTCTCTCCCTTCATCCCCATTTTCTCAAACAAGTCCCCAAACTGTGTCTGAATCTGCTCAAAACCTTTTTTCGCCTCCTCGTACCTCCTCCACGCTTCCTTTTTCACAGCTTCGGCCTGATCGCCGCTCTTCGTTTTCGCGGTTTCAGTTGCCTCGTTCGCAGCGTTCCACAGCTCATGCATGGAAGCTTCCGCCCGGTTGTACATGTCGCGCAGCACATCTTCCCCCTCGTCCGCTCCGCCAGGCCGGCGCAGCTCTCCCACCTCCCCCGTCGCGAAGCTCAGCGCCTCTTTCGCCGCCTCGTAACGCGCGCTCGCGGCTTCCGCCAGCTGCTTCAACCAATCCGCGCTCTTCCCCGAGCCCTTCTCCGCCGCCTCCTGCGCCTTCCGCGCAGCCACTTCCGCCTCGTCCTTCCGCTGCGCCACAAGGCGCAACCACCATTCCATCATCACCTTCCCCACGCGCTGGAAGTCCGCGGGCCCCGGAATTGCCGCCGCAGCGCCAGAAGCGGCGCCTGACACGGTATTATACGCCTTTGATCCCGCCGCCTTGGCCTGATCAGCTGCGAATTGGCCCGCGCCAGAAACACCCTCCCCCACGCGGCCCGCTGCGCCAGCCGCCGTGTCGTACGCGCCTTTCCCCGCGCTATACGCGCCTTCGCCCGCCTGCTTCACCGTCCCCGCCGCGAACTCACCCGCTTGCTCCACCGTGGCAGCAGTCCCCTTCGCCGCTTGGTTCGCCGCCTCGCCGATCCTCGACGCGGTGTCGCGCACTCCGCCAACCACCCCGCCAACCGCCGATCCAACTGCGCCAGTCGCGCGTTCCGCGCCCTCCTCCGTGACTTGCCGTCCCGCCTCCACCGTCGACGCCACGTCAGCAGCGCGTTCGCCTGCCCGTTGCGTAAGACCTTCACCAGTTTGCTCCGCGGCTGTTGCGCCAGCCTTTGCGCGCTCCTCCGCCGCTGCGCCAGCGGAAGCGGCAGTGTCGTGCATTTGTCCTACGATGTCCCATCCCACGCCCATGCCCTGCTCCGCGGCGTGCTGAAGGCGGTCCGCCATGGATCGCACGCGGTCGTACACGCCCCAGCCCGCCTTCCCCGCCTCTTCCGCGGCCCGCTGCCCGCCCGCCTTGGTCCCCTCGAGCGTCTCCCCCGCGCCTTCCGCCATGACGTCCGCGTACTCCTCCGCGCGCTGCTGCGCTTGTGCGCCCGTCTCTCCAGCGCGTTCACCCAGCTGCGCGCCGGTCTCCCCCGCACGTCGCTGTGCTTCCGCGCCCGCCTCCCCCAGCTGCTCCGCACCCTCGCGGCCAGCTGAAGCCGCCCCCGTGGCTGCCTTCTTGATTTTCTCCCACGCGCTTGAAGCGGCGTCGGATGCGGCGCTGGCTCCGGCTTCTGCGCGCTTCTCGGCCGCGTCTCCGCCCTTGGCGGCGGACTGGCCGGCCTTGGCCGCCGATTCGCCTGCCGCGTCTGCCGCCTCTGACCATTTCTCCTCCGCCTGGGCTTCAGATGGCGATCTGTACCAAAAAAAAAGCATCATACGGAGCCAGAATACGGAGTGAAGCAGCGAATGTAAGCAACGCACGAGCAGAGGGAGGCAAAATAATTTAGCATACACACTTACCTCTTTCCCATGCCTGTCACGCCCGACACCCAATCCGTCCAACTCCCCTCGTTCTCCTCCTCACTCCCCTCCTTATCCGTTCCAACGAGGTGCGACACGCCTGCGGCCACGGTCCGCGGCTCTGGCTCATCCGGATTGGCTGACTGCGAGAGGGGCGGCTCGTCCACGGGAACACCGCCTACAGGGTCGGTGGCTTTGGACGACACTCCGAAGACTGAGAAGGCGTTCGTGACGCGAGTGACGTGCAGCGCCAGCAGGAAAACCACGAGGAAACGTAGGAACGCCATCGCGAGAACAGGAGGAGACGAGAATGTGCTAGCCCGACGTGACCACAAACAGATACGACTGCCTCCAGGAACCAGAAACCAGCTTATGAGGGCAAAGAATGACAAATGCTGGAAGAAATGCGAGGAAAGCGATTCAGAAAAGCCAGAAAGAATGCTGGTGGTTTAGGATTGGTGCCAGAACACCAATTTCGTGAGCGAGATGCAAGCAGAGGGAATCGCAAAGGTGCGGCTCCACTTCATGGTGCACACGTGTCAGGAAGCGAGGAGTGTAGCCCCGCTGCTCCCTTTCCATGCGTTCGATTTATAAGAACGCGGCGCGCCACCGGAAATGCGAGAAATTGATGAATTTCTGTACTTCATCTGTACTTCATGTCTATAACCCAAGTACGGGCACCACCAGCTAAGCTGCTTGCTGCTGGCAATATGTACGGACTGAAAATGCTAATCAAATAAAGTACAGTTACAGTCAATGTCTATAATAATTTCTCTACCTTATCACTAACTAAATTACTGGCATATCAGCCAACTGAAGCCACTCCTCCCATGCCTCTTGATACTGAGAAAATCCATCCACGGCTTGTGCGGAAGCTTGTCTCCCTTTTGCTCTCCTCCCCTCCACTCCACCGCCTAACCAGCTGCCTAACCTGAATCTGCTTGATCACTTTGCTTTTCGAACCTGCACGGATAAGGAAGAAGCCGTTGTCAAATATACGGCGCTTGCCGTGGTTATAACGCTGACTTGGCACCTGCATTATTGGGTTGGCTTGTGATAGTGACGGAAAGGAGAGTGCTTGTGGGTCAAAGCTGTCGATGGTGATGCTGGTGGTACAGTCGCTGCTTCCGCTGCCACTGCTGCTGCTGCTGTAAAATACCCTATCCCCATCTTCATCCTCGTTACTGCTATCCCCGTTATTGCTGTTGCATTCCTGCACTTCCCCACTGTTTTCATTCGCTCCTGTTGTCAAAACATCAACGTCTTTCCCCGCAGGACAATCCCTCGCTGAGCCACTGCAGCTTTCCCGCCCGCTTGCGCTCGCCTGGACGCTGCTCATGCGGCCAATCAAAGTGACCGGACAAGGAGCATTTTCGGAGCAGAACGACGCAACGCGTCGCATGCGCGAATCGGCTGACGCGAAAGCATTCGCGGCGGCGGAGGCGGACGAAGCAGAGGAAGCGGGGAAGGCGGATATGGGGGAAGCGGAAGAAAGGGGGAGCGAGGGGAGGAAGGGGAGGAGCGCGGAGCAGTCGTGCGCGGGGAGGAGGAGGAGGTCGGCTTCGAGGGAGTGACAGCAGTCGACGAGGGAACGCGCGAAGGGGAGGCCTTGGCCGGCGGACGGCAGGCGAATGGCCTCAAAGCGAACCTTCTCTTCCGATCCAATGGCGGCGAGTTTCAAAAGAGCTGATCGCGATTTTTTATCCCAGTCGCAGAAATGATCGTCGAGCGGTAAACCAGGGACGATTACGGTGTTTTTCACCACGGCTGTCGCCTTCCCGCTTGGTGCGCTCGTCGGTTGTCGCAGCACGTCGCCCACGTCGCCGGCGCGGCGCTTGTTTGTGCAAGTCTGCGACGAAGACGTAACGTCGCCAATCGACGTCAGCGACGACGAGCGGGTGTGGCGATTGGCGCCGCCGGCGATCGCTGCGACGATTCTGTCGTCCGGTTGCTGGCCGCCGCGCAGCCACTGTGCGAAAGCGGTGCGACATTCGCGACAGCCGTCCAGTCCGATGACGACAGTTCGTCCCTCGCCAACACTGTAGATCGGGTTTAGGGGCGTGGACACAGCCAGTTTCCGCAAAGCGCTGCGAGCCATTTACGGCGAATCGGCACCTCTAGCGACTCGGCGGACACTCGCACGTTTCGACAGTTTCCGTAGGAGAATCGGTGCGCTGTGACAATATTGAAAGGGTGTTTGTCTTGAACCTTCAACTAAAACTCTTCAACACAGGGTTTTCGGTGTGAAGCAGGTCGAAGCACTCAGTCGACTATTAGTAGAAGCCGTGCGGTTTTCGTCCGTGAGCTTGAATGTACTTTATACAGACGACGCTATACTCTGGTTATCAGTGGGCACGAAAACAGGATCCTTGGGAATGAATGTTGCTTCCAAGTCCGGCCTAAAATACGGGGACGAGGTTAGCGGCTCTGATCATACCCATTCTCATTATAAGACGCGACGACTCGGAGTCGTCGTGTGGAGTGGAGCGAACGGAATGATGACACCGCACAGCACTCGGGTGAGGCGAGTTGAGGGAGCGCGGTTGTAACTCCCGTTTTCCAGTCTCGTCTTCATTACACCGTAGTACACCGTAGTACACCGTGGTACACCGTCGTACACTGTGCATACGTACGCCCGTCTCGGCATCATCGCTGACTCGAATCAGCCCGCTGGGTCACCTCGCCTCAAGCCTGGTTACTAAACGACGTCTCTGTGCATTAGTAGCGCTACATATGTTTGTCATCTGACAGCTGTATGCGACGTGGCTATCATCGTTACTTACGTTCCGTCCTCCTTCCCCCCGCGCCCTCCGCTCCCCGTCTCCTCGTCCTGTCTTATACTGTACTGTACTACAATACGTCCATGTATCTTAGGGTTCGTGAACTACACGTACCCCCTCGTCACACTTGGACATGACGAGTCAGTACGATTTTGTACAAATCTGCTTCCACCGGCTCGTGGTGGGCCGTGGCGTGGCTCCCCTCCACTCCCTGCTCTGCTCTCGTGTGCGTCCAGTTTTTCCCCCTTCCTCCCGGCGCTTTTCCTGTCGGCTTCTCCCCATATCCATCCATCCATACCCGCTTCTGCGGTCTACTACATACACCCGTCGCCACACCCCACACAGACAGCACTGCATGGAAATTACCAGCCCTCCTAACCGCTCCCCGAAGAGATGGAGGAGCACAGTTGACTGGAAGGATAACGGAGCCTGTGATGTGACTGCATGACCCTGTGATCTGTTTCCACCCCCGATTCCCGAAACACAAGCCGAACTTCTCCCCCCCCGTCACTGCCCCTACAGACAAAACATACCATTCCCTCCACCCGCCTTCTGAATCGTTTCCCTGAAGAAAAACCGCCCCACCCTCCGATTGCGCAACGAGATGCTTGCGCCAAGCTCGGCGACGAAGGGGGAGAAAGCCACCCAGGTCGAAGCAAAAACCATGCATACATGGCAGCGATGTGCAGCATTGGGTTTTTTATACGGGCCATCATATAACATTTCGGAGTTTTCACGAGCAGTCACGGCGCTATCACGAACGGTCATATGTTCCGCCAAATCTATCACGAATCATCACACGGGTATCACCAGTCGTCACTCACTTTCACTAAATTCTATCAAGAGTAGTCACTCTCGATACTTTGCTATAACAAATGAACTTTGTCATAATTTCGCTGACCCGCCCTCAAACACTATACTGATTCGGGGCCATATTTCGGCTTGCGGGTTTTTATCTTGTATACGCGACCATTTTGGGTGCAAAGATGCATGGTTACGTTAAGAACGACATAACACACTTTAATATAAAAAATCTAAGAATGTGAAAGCACATAAATATTGCTAGAGTTCACAATTTAAAGTATCTTCCTAAATGTTTAATGATATGTAATTTTTTATCTCACGATCGTATATAATACGTTCTGTCAATTACAAACTATATCTTGGGAAGATGAGTCAACTACTATGTATGTTTCATGTATTTACATTATACAAATAAATTATCCACAATGCAACATCGAGAAGAAACAAAAATGTAACTTATTGTTACGAATCTGATTGGGTGTTTGAAATAGAAACGCTTTATCAGTGTTTACGAGGTTCGTTTCTTCTCCAATGGTTGCTAAAGCTTGTTCTAGTATTGATAGTTAGTATTACTACATTATGGTGAGATTATTCTCATTCATATGTTCAATCTGCTGTATGACGAAATTTAATTTGTACATTCCAAATTATGGCTGTTTAACATCTTGAGAGACTTTCAGAAAGATTCTATGAATTATGAACTCCAGCAATATTTATATGTGTTCACATTCTTTCATTTTTTTTCTAAAGTACGTTACGTCGATCCGAACGTAACCTGGTGAGTTTGAACCCAAAATGGTCGCGTATACAGGACAAAAACCTGCAACCCGAAATATAGCCCCGAAATCTGTATAGTGTTTCAGGGCGGGTCAACGAAACGATGACAAAGTTCATCTGTGATAGCGAAGTTTCGAGTGTGACTACGCGTGATAGAATTTAGTCAACTCGTGTGACGACTAGTGATACCCGTGGGATGATTCGTGATAGATTTGGCGGAATATGTGACCGTTTGTGATAGCGCCATGACTGCTCGTGATAACTCTGAAATGTTTTATGACGGCCCGTATAAAAACCCTGCAGGATTTCCATGTCCGTTTGTTGAGCTTTGTCGTCTGGCTGCATGTGGTTCCCCATGGCGATGACCCCAAGTACATAACTCATAATGCTGCACAGTAACCACTAGCTTTCGTGAAGTCGTTCGGCTTTCGCAACGAGTCAAAGTTTTCAGGGTGTGGCGATTGCATTGCCATCGCCCCTGTAAAAGCCTATGGTGTACGGCTGAACGATTTTGGGCAGATACAATCCCGCCATGAGGCATGTGGACCTGTGTGACACCTTCGCTGTGAGGTTGTCGCCAATTTCGCGAATTGCCGACAGACGGAGACTGCGTACACAGTGTTAGGGCAATGCGACACTGAAGGGAACCGCGGGATTACAGTTCAGTACCTGACGTGTCACATCTGTGCATGGCAGGACAACGCCCCTAATTAATGTTACTGTACACAAATAAATGGAAACAATGGTAAGCCACAAAAACAATTCGCCCACTGAGTTCCAATTGTACTCTATACAAAAAACACATGATAATGCTACATATCATTTGAAGGCCTAAAATACGTCAGTCCAATTGCTCTTTAACAAACCCAGTACACATCCAGGTCGAAATCAACAGGGCATTCACTGGCGTTTCTTAGGGGGCCCTTTCTTCATCATGATGCCCACTAACTCGGCCAAATAGCTGTCTTCTGTCCACCACTCAGGCTCCTTTCCTGGAAGCACCTCTTGCGAGCACAATGTGAAGTTGGCACGTAGGAGTCCCTACATGACAAAGACCGATAAGAGCAGACATGGGAGACGGGAGGGGCAAGAACTGTAAGAGGGCAGACACGGTAAGACGGTGAAAGTCGATGAGAATTGTATGCATACATGCACAAAAATACGAAGTGTATCAGCACTGCAGGGAGGTTTGAGCTTGGAGGTTTGAGCTGCGAGTGGTTCGCATAAACCACATGAGAGTTCAAATCACTTCAGCATGGAATCAAAAGAGGTTGAGCCTGTTAAGTAAATAATTAAAGAATCCGAAGAAAAAGGGGAGTAGAGCACATACATGGAATGGAATGGTTCAGGTAGGCCACACTGGGAGTAAAATGACTCAAGAGAAGTGCAGTAGGAGGAGAGAGGGGGGTAGGATCGTGGAAGCAGGAAGAAGGAGCAGAGCACATACATATTGAGGCGCCTCAAAAGAAGGAGCAGAGCACATACATATTGAGGCGCCTCAAAAGAAGGAGCAGAGCACATACATATTGAGGCGCCTCAAAAGAAGGAGCAGAGCACATACATATTGAGGCGCCTCAAAAGAAGGAGCAGAGCACATACATATTGAGGCGCCTCAAAAGAAGGAGCAGAGCACATACATATTGAGGCGCCTCAAAAGAAGGAGCAGAGCACATACCTGGAAATGGTTCAGGTAGGCAACATCGGGGGTCAAATGCACGCCGCCCTCCAGTGGCTCTATGGGGCGATGCACCTGCAAGGAGGGCGGATAGGAGACAAGGGGAGAAGGCATGGGGTGAACGCATGGGCGTGAATGCGAGGGGAGTAGCAGGTATGGTTAAAACGATTTACGCTAGTTTTTGAGAATGGGGCTGCGGCTGCGGCTCAAAAACCAGCTGCGGCTTCTTCAAACACTCTCCGCCCTCCAGTTGTTTGAAGAAGTGTTTTGAGACGTCTCAAAACACTTCTTCAAACTTGTGCTTGCCTCTCTGCGTGCCCACCTGTTTGAAGAAGTGTTTTGAGACGTCTCACTTCTCAAAACAAAGTGACTTTTGAGTCGACTCAAAAGTCACCTCCTTCAAACACTCACCGCCCTCCAGTGGCTCTATGGGGCGCGGCGATGCACCTGCAGGGCGGGCGGATGGGGGACGTGAGGAGAACGTGTGGAGCGAACGCGTGGGCACGAACGCGCCGGGATCAGGTATGGGTGAAACACATGCCGCTCCTTAAAACACTACCCTCCCTCCTCCCAAACGCGCCGGGATCAGGTATGGGTGAAACACATGCGGCTCCTTGAAACACTAACCTCCCTCCAGTGGCTGCAAGGGGCGACGCACCTGCAGGGCGGGCGGATGGACCGTGGGGGGATTGAGTGAGGTGCATGAAGACGCGGGGAATGAAGGTGGGGGGAAATTTCCTCAGATTCGTAAATGCTCCAGTGGCTCTATGCGGCGATGCACCTGCAGGGCGGGCGGATAGGAGACAAGGGAAGATAGAGAGGGGTGAATAAGGCGCGGGGAATGAAGACGGGGGCGATGGGGAGACACATGGGCGATTGGGAGTGGAGGCATCAGGAACGGGCATAGGGAATAGGCATGGGATGAATGAATCGGCAGGAGATATAGCCCGCACCAGTCTCACCTGCACCAGTCTCACCTGCACCAGTCTCACCTGCACCAGTCTCACCTGCACCAGTCTCACCTGCACCAGTCTCACCTGCACCAGTCTCACTGCACTCTCACCTGCACAGCCCACACTTGTCGTGGGTCAACCAGAAACTTGCGATGGCCGTAGAAGTTGAGGCAGTGGGTTGGTTTGTACCCCATGTGACATGTCCTTCTCCCTGTGCTCACATGAATCAATACATCTAGAGTAAAGGTGTCTCACCTGCACGGCCCACACCAGTCGCGGATTCACAAGGAACTTGCGATGGCCGTAGAAGTTGAGGCAGTGGGTTGGTTTGTACCCCATGTCCTTCTCGCCCACACAGTACACATGCGGCCAATGAAACCGCATCCGCTGAATTGGGAGCGCGAGAGCGGGAGTAGGGGGTCTACAGTACTCCACAGACCACCACACACTCCCGAACGTGATAAAAGCCGACCCGTTATGCTGCATAAGGAGGTTATGCAGGGACCCTGCAGTTACGTCCACTGGTTTCGGCTTGGCGTGCCTTTTCCGTTTTTTTCTCCGCTTGCGGCCGGAGGGCGTGTAATCGCCCTCTCCGTCTGTTTCTGGCTCGGGCGGCGGGGGGGGTGGCGGCGCGATGTACAGTAGCTCGTCGAAGTCCATGAACAGTACCCAGCGGGCGGCGGAGCGGAGACGGTACATGCAGTCGTTTAGGGTTAGCACGTTTTGTTTGTTCTCGAATGCGTATGCGCCGCGAATGTCAACTATTTCCATTATGTTGGCAGTTACAAACGGGGATAGAACCTGGGGATGGAAGGAAAAAAAGTGGGTTTGGACCGAAGAAGGGAGGATAACATTAGTTGAACCAAATGGAAAATCCTCTCAAGGCCATACACATCGAACAGAAAATGAAGGCCTTGAATTGAATCAAGACTTAAGGCCGACCCAGCCCACCATAGTCTTTCAGGCGACGCAGAAACTCAACGGTGGGATTTCAACAGCACCACCTTCTCACATGCACCACCTCACATCTCTTATAATCCATAACAATCTTCTCACATGCACCACCTCACATCTCTTATAATCCATAACAATCTTCTCACATGCACCACCTCACATCTCTTATAATCCATAACAATCTTCTCACATGCACCACCTCACATCTCTTATAATCCATAACAATCTTCTCACATGCACCACCTCACATCTCTTATAATCCATAACAATCTTCTCACATGCACCACCTCACATCTCTTATAATCCATAACAATCTTCTCACATGCACCACCTCACATCTCTTATAATCCATAACAATCTTCTCACATGCACCACCTCACATCTCTTATAATCCATAACAATCTTCTCACATGCACCACCTCACATGTCTTACAATCCATAACAATCTTCTCACCCTCACCCTCCTAAAAATATCGTACACAGAACTGATTCTTTTAGTCGACTCGAAAAAACGCTCTCACCTTCATAATAGTGTCGTCCACAGAACCCCCATCGCTGAGCACAAAGTAGTCGACCTTGAGGTAGTGATAAGCCACCTGGGGGGTATAGGGATGGGGGTATAGGGATGGGGGAATAGGGATGGGGGTATAGGGATGGGGGTATAGGGATGGGGGTGTAGGGATAGGGGTATAGGGATGCGGGTATAGGGATGGGGGTGTAGGGATGGGGGTATAGGGATGGGGGTATAGGGATGGGGGTGTAGGGATGGGGGTATAGGGATGGGGGTAAAGGGATGGGGGTATAGGGATGGGGGTAAAGGGATGGGGGTGACTGGAGGAGTTTGTTGAATGGCTTGCGAGTCAAACAGCTCTTAAGGTGTTTCAAGGGCCCCCCCTTATCACGGCGCCCCCATCACTGAGCACAAAGTAGTCCACCTTGAGGTAGTGATAGATAGACCACCTCAAGGAATGGGGATAGAAGTGGCCGCAGGAGTTGGGTTGGGTGGCGTGGGTTATGATTCAGGCAGCTCTGGAGGCGATTCAATGGGCTTCTAATCTCCTTGATGTAGAGCACCTTCAAGGTCCCTTGAATCAGCTCAAGAGCTGAGCACAAAGTAGTCGAACATGGGGAAGGAGCAGAAGGCCAGCTCGTACTCAAACTGCTTGGGATAAGTCGATTTTTGAGTCGACTCAAAAATCGACTTATCACACATGGGGAAGGAGCACAAGGCCAACTCGTACTCAAACTGCTTCCCCTTTCTGCCTTTGCAGGGAGTTTTTGAGAATTCTCAAAAACTGCCTCTGTATTTCTTTCAACCTTTCTCCGAAGATAGGAAGACCCCTATTCTCGCACACACCCCACGCACACACCCCACGCACACACCCCACGCACACACCCCACGCACCTGCAGCCAGCCACACATGTAGCGATGAGGGATTCAAATCGCGGTACATGGGGAAGGAGCAGAACGCCAGCTCGTACTCACCACCGGCCCTTGCCCCCTGTTCCCTGCCCCCACACCCATACCCCACACACACATACCTGCAGCCACACGTGCAGAGTGGAGGGATTCAAATCGCGGTACATGGGGAAGGAGCAGAACGCCAGCTCGTACTCAAACCGCTGCCCCCTCCTGCCGCCCCAATGCTGCAAGCCGTAGCCTTGTCTGTTGTGCGCTTGGGTGGCGTTGCTTGGACTGGAGTGCGCAATAGGAGAGTGAGTCTGGGCGGGTGAGTGAGCTGGCGTGCCTAGGTGTGTGGTGGTGTGTGATTGCGAGTGGGAGTGTGTGGGGAGGAGGGAGGAAAGAGCAGATGCTGGTGCGGGTGGCTCGCTGTAGATTGGCACATCTGTGCGGTCTGTAGGGGGGGAGGAGGGAAGGGGAGAGAGACAGATGGAGTTTATGGTATTAGTGCAAAAAAGAAGAGCACATAAACCGGGAAAAATAAAAGAAAAGAATGAAAAGAATAAGAAGGGAAAAAACAGCATACACAACTCTACATGGAGATAATCGATATTGAATCATGACAGTGCTGACTTTTGAGGCGCCTCAAAAGCTGAATCACGACGGTGCCGCCGCCATCCCCTGTGCTTTCCACTGCCAGTTTGCATTTTGAGTCGACTCAAACGCCGCCATCCCCTGTGCCTTCCACTGCCAGTTTGCAGTCGTGTGTTGCCGTCTTGTACACCATCGACGCCCGGTGCTCTCCAGTGCAAAAACCCATATCCTATTATGTGTGAAACCCATATGTAATAATATAATAGTATAAAATAATATGTAACCAGGCGCAGCACGTACCAAGCTGAATCATGACTGTGCCGCCACCGTTCCCTGTGCTTTCCACTGCCAGTTTGCAATGGTATATAGCCGTCTCGTACATCAATAAATGGTGCTCTCCAGGGTAAATTCCCCTCAGCCTGCCCGTCAAATGCCGCCCGTCCCGCCCGACCCAGAAGCAGTGGCCGAGCTGACGTGGCGTGGACCAATGGGAACGTGAGGAGGTGGGAAGGAAGAGGGAAAAGGAAGGGGCGAGAAGAGACAGACATGGGAAAGATATGAATCAATCATACCCTTCTCACTAACCCACTCCCCTCCCACTCACCCACTTCCCTTCCTCCCTTTTCCTGTGAGACACTCACCCCATTTTTGAGGCGCCTCAAATATCGAAACACTTACCCAATCCTCTGCAGTCTCCCTCGTAGTAAGTAAAAACAACCCGATCGCTGCAAGCTCTTTGACTGACATGACAGCCAATACCCTCTTCATGCCCATTCTGTTAAATCCAACACTCACTCATCATTCCCTTCCCGCACACTCACCCCATCATCTCCAATCTCTCTCATAACACGAAGGCTCATCCCAATCGCTGCGAACTCATTGGCCGACAGCCAATACACTCTTCATTCTCTCTCTCTCTCTATCACATCAATCACCCACTCATCTTTCCCCTCCCACTCTCACTCACCCCATCGTCTGCAATCTCCCTCATGACACGTAGGCTCATCCCGATTGCTGCGAATTCATTGGCCGACAGTCGGTACCCGCTGCGCTGGACGAATCGCGGCTGCCCGAGCGCCGCGAGCGCGCCAGGTGGCGCCTCCTGATAGGCCCGCTGCAGCAGCGAGTGACGTGTCAAGCAGGGGTTGGTGATGGAGTTGTTGTGGTCGATGTTGGCCCCTTCCACGTCAGCATCTGTAGTGTATGATGTATGTATCAGATGTTTGAACGAGGTGACGGACGGAGGAGTGATTAGTCCACACAAGAGTCAAGTCCAGATTGAGTAGTGATCAGATGTGTGAAGCGCACAACCCTTTACGCACACTACAGTTCTCCTAAGGGTCAATGTTGGCTCCCTCCATGTCAGCATCTGTTTACAGAAGAGATTCAAGGTGAAAGAGAAGGGGATAAACACAACCAACAACGGGATTTCCCCTCCCCCCATGTAGAGAGGGTATTTTTGAGACGTCTCAAAAATACCCTCTCTACACGAAGTGAAAGAGAAGGGGGTTAACATGACTCACAAGTTTTCCCCTCCCCCCTTCCAAACCGCTTCCGCTCTTCCTCCCCCTTCCCTCGTACCTGTGCGCAATCTAGTCCGCGCTGTGCTAAGATCCACCTTAAAGCCCTTCGTTATGGCCCAATTCGCCCCTTGCCCCTCCCCTTCCTCTTCCCCTTCCCCCCTCCCCTTCCTCTTCCCCTTCCCCCCTCCCCATTTACCTGTCCTTAGTCTAGTCTGCGCTATACTGAGGTCCATCTTAAAGCCCTTCGCCACGGCCCACTTTCCCCATGCTTTACGTACTTCGTTTCCCCCTTCCTCATTCCCCCCTCCTCCCCTCCCCCCATTCTTACCTGTGCGCAATCTAGTCCGAGCTGTACTAAGGTCCATCTTAAAGCCCTTCGCCACGGCCCCCGCAATCACCGCCGCCTCCACCTCGCTGCTCCACCTCACTCCCCGCAACTCCCCCCCCATGCCCGCGCCTGCGCCTCCCCCTGCTCTTGCACCCCAAGCGCCCCCCGCGCGCTCCTCCTCCGCGCCTCCCCACACCTCCGCTTCGACCGTACGCCAGTTACCCGGACTGCGCCCGCTCATTATAATCAAGAACACTACAGCGGGGATGAAGATGAGCAGCAGCAGGCGCCACGTCGAACACCATTGCCGAGTCGCGCGGCCCTTAGACGACACTAATTTCGGCGGCGGCGCCATGGGACCGCCATTCGCGCCCCGGCCGTACCCCGCGCCGCGGCGATACGGCGGCTCGTCTGACATGTAACCGTGTAACGGCCCGTCCGAGCCGTACCCATCTTCCCCGCTGCGTGCAGCGCGCGCGTACGGTGGAGGGCCCGGGCCAGCGGAAGGTGGGTAACTTGGCCCGTAAAACCCGGCGCCGGCGGGGGGAGGGCCGTTGGCATAGGGCGGGAACGGAGGCGGTCCGTGGGAGTAAGGCGGGCCTTGCGGGTACGGCGGGCCTTGCGGATAGGGCGGACCTTGCGGATAAGGAGGGCCTTGCGGGTAAGGGGGGTTATGATACGGCGGCTGGCCCGTGTGGTGCGGAGGAGGGTGCTGACGTGGCAGTGCGTGTTGGTGAAGAGACGGGTGCTGAGAGAGGTCTGGCTGGGAAAGGGGGCGCGACGGCGGGTTGCTCGGGCGGGACTGACGCGCGGCGGCGCCGCTATTGCTGCCGCCCGTGTTGCTGCTGATGCTCGTTTTGCGCTTTGGCGGCGACATGACTGTTGAACAACTGCAGCACAAGGAGGAGACTACTCACATGTTATAAAAACATTAATGATAAGCTTGCTTAAATTTTAAACGTGTCGATGTAGTATAATGGTCAGTATCTCCGCCTGTCACGCGGAAGATCCGGGTTCGATCCCCGGCATCGGCGATTGTGATTTTCTCTCTGAAAGCTATCCCCCTGCTGTCCAAAGCCACTTTCTACCTACATTTGTTGGCTGCAACTGCTGATTTTGATATACCTCCTTCCTGACCCCTTTTTTCTGCACAGTAGGCTCTTCCCTGAGATTTTGCGCTGACAGCCATGCAACCATGTCAACCATCCATGCACTGGCAACCGTGCATCTACGCGCTGACACACCGATGAGCCGGACCAGATGGCAATGACAAGAAAGTACGTCGTTGCTGGTGGAAGGAAGAGTCGCCTTATGTGTCCCTAAACGAGCCGCCTTAGGCGTCCTCCTGAAAGTACCATGCACGAATTGCACACCCCATTGCTGTAGCATCTGTGATGAGCAGTTTGATAAATGAATCATGCTTCAGATTTTAGCATAAGATATGCCAGTACAACTCTACATGTAGCTAGTTGCTACATTCCCTAGGTTATCTGCTAGAACTAATGATGCCTTTAGGCATCCTGAAAAGCCCATTTCTGATCACCAGTGCTTAGCAGGCGGGTGGTAGGAACACCACCCCCTCTTAAGCCACGGAGAATCTGAACCTATCCAACACCACCACCAGCAGCAGCAGCAGCAGCAGCACCACCACCATCACCAGTGTGGCTCACAGCTGGATGCTAATCTTCGCCACGCCTTGTGCATTTGGCACGTGGAATGTTTTTTCGACGGTCTGCCCGTTGACCTGGAAGCGAGCGCGGTAGGTGCCGTGGAAGCCCTTGAATGCGAGTGGCTGCCCGGGAGAGATCTTGGCGTTGAGGTGGGTGCTCCACTCCTTGCGTAGACGCACATACCTGTGTGCGTGAGAAATAAAACAGGATGAAACGAAATGATCTGTGAGGTGCGTCATAACATGAGGGGGAGAGGGAGAGAGAGGGAGAGGGAGAGAGGGAGGGAGTGCAAGGGTAAACGGACGGCGTCTTTCTCGTACCTCTTCCCCAGCTCGTTATCTACGAAGTTAGTATCCGAGAAGCACGCCTCGCACGGCTTGCACATGCCGGGATCCACGTCCTTGTACTTGTCGCACGTGGCGCGCCCCGCGGACCAGTTCACGATGCCGTGCACCGCGGGGTGCGCGAACGCCTCGCGCATGACTGACTCGAAGTAGTCCGCGCGGATCGCGTCGTCGGGCACCTTGTTGAAATCGAGCTCCGTCAGCCAAATAGGGATGCCTGCCACTGCCAGCTGGTTCAGATCGTGGCGGAGACGCGCCTGCGGGGAGAAACGTGGTGATAGAGAGAAGAGCAGACAAGGTATGGTGATTCAAGGACCCATGTATTGAGTGCGCAGGGTAGTTTTGAGGCGCCTCAGTTTAGCTTTGAGGCGCCTCAAAACCAGACGGGGAATGGCGATTCAAGAACCCATGTATTGAGTGCTCAGGGTAGCGGAGATTGAGTGCTGATTGACTGATTGACGTTCCACTTCCTCATCTCATTCATATTCCATATTGTTCCCGGTCCAAGAATTAAGATCCACTTTGTTCCCAGTCCAAGAGAATGTTAACTCACCGGCTGGGGTTCCTTGCTGTAGTGCGACTCGACGCCGATCCCGGTCACCGGCGCGCCTTTTGTCGTCATCTGCCAGACTTTCGCGAGGTAATACTCCGGATGCGACACGCCGTCGCACTCCTCAACGGTATTATAATCATTAATAAAAAGCTGCGCCTGGTTGTCGATTGCTGACGTGGCCTTGTACATCCACTCGTGCACCTGCGGCCCGAGGCGGTCCGCGAAGTAGTTGCCGTGAAGCGGCTCGTTGAGAACGTCCCAGTGCTGCACCTGGCCCTTGTAACGGGTTACCGCATGGTTCAGTCTTCGCTGCATCGCCGCCCACAGATCCTCGTCGTTAAGGTCCTGGAAGGTGGAAGCAAGTGGGGGGTCAATAGGTGGGGGGGGGAGGGACGGGTTGGGAGAGTGTGTGGGGGGGAAAGGGAAGGGGAAGGGCTGAAGAAGGGGAGGGTTGCGAATTCCAGGCGGAACGGGGTGAGGAAGGGCGGGGAAAGGAAGCGGATGCGGGGAAGCGGAGGGCTTGAGGCGGGAAGAGAGTGAATGATGGATAGATGGGAGGGGGGGCGAGGGGGAGGGGAAGAGGCAGGAAGCGGGGCCTCATGGTCTTGTAAAGGGTACGAAGTGTAGCAACGCTCACCTTGACCCACGACTGCACGAAATTCTCGACTGCCCAGAACAGGTTGTGCGCGCGAACGTTGATGTTTCGCGCACGGAACCAGTTGGTCATCGCGTCTGTTACGGTGTAGTTCTCTTCACCCTGCCGATACCCCTCGTTAAAGTACCACTTGCCCTCGTTATTAAACACAGCCCAGTTGAAACGGTCTTTGAACCACTGTAGGGAAGGGAAAAGAAAAGAAGAAGAGGAGTGGAGGGAGAGGGTGAGTTGTTGTGATGTGCTTTTCGCAGCTGTTCGCGAAGGTGAAGGCTAGCATAACGAAGCTCATGCGTTACCCTCTACAAATATCGGCTACCGGTCGGAAATCCTAGATTTTCTGTTTAAAAAACGAGCTGGTGCTCGCCGCGCAGATTCTATCCCTTATCTGTTCCAACCTGCATACCTTCTGGTAGTTTTTGTCGTAAAGGATCGCGCCGTTCACGTTTCCCCCAAACGGGAAATCCGACTGAATCTGGTTAATCACCACGTCCACAGTCTGCCCGTTATTGCCGGTCACCGTCAACGACACGTCGCGCATGCGATGCTTCTCGATGCTCGCCCGCTGCTGCGCCAGCCATTCATCCTTATCAACCTTTCGCAACGACGCCTGCGCGATCCAGATCTCAGTCCCCGGAGTCGCGCCTTGGATATAAATACTGGCTTTATCCAACGGGTTATGTAACGTAAATCCGCCCATGAGCTTTGTCCAGCAGTTGGACTTGGCGATCGCGCCGCCGATGCACACGTACTGGCCGTTAATGTTAACGTTCGCGTTCACGTACTGCCGTTCGCCGGCGTTCAGCCGGACCCAGACGATCATCTCGTACGACGCGGCCGGCAGGCTGGAAACGCTTTGCATCGGGCCGGAGTAGGCTTCCGAGCGATTTGTGCAGACGCCGTAGTTTAAGCGGGTGTCTTTTACCGCGTACACTGACGACCAGCCGAAACCCTGCCATGGCTCGATGCCTTCCGAGAACTCGCCATTCTGGAAGAGGTTGTTCGGGAGCACTTGCTTCGATGGGAGGGCAGAGCACTGCGGGGCGCAACGGGGGAGAGAATCACGAAAGGGATATAAGCGTGGGTGAGAACCTCCGCTTCCAGACCCGAAAGGCCTTGGCAATAAGACTGAAACATCTGGCTGGTTCACGAAGACTTTCGTCACTTACGAAGACAACTTCAAAGAGGTTCTCCATGGCCTTCCTTCCTCTGATTTTGTCGCCATCGCCGCCTTGCTTCAGGTAGTCGAGCGACAGGAGTCCGTCAGGCTGCCGGTACTTGGCCCATTCGTGCTCGTACTTGGATGTCGGTAACCCAAAATATTCTTCTGCGCCAACTAGAACGACCGATGCGAAAACTAGAAACAGTAGCGCAGGGAGCGCTGACAGCCGAACTGGACCCATTTTTAGTGCAGAATGAAGAGGCTCGCAGGTGCGAAAGCGGCTGGATCGAGGAGAGGATGATGTGCTGATGTCCTCTCCAGAAGACTAGCTAGAAAGGGGTTTCGAATATGTCGATTGAATTTCGGGTGGGTGAATGCTGTGAATTTCAATGTGGGGATTCAACGGGGATATTGCGACATTTGAATTGTATGGTATTGGCGGCTCGGGGATTCTTGACGAGGCGACTCGGCGAAGGGGGACGGAAACTAACTTGCGAAGGAATAATCAAGAAAGAGAGGGTGTCGGTGATTGGTGGATGAGGTTGCGAATTGTTGAGCGAGTCGCTCAAGCTCGCATCAATTCGCGACGAACGACGGTTGTGGGGAAGGTAGGGGCAGGAGGAGCGACAAGTAGTTGCCAGCAACGTAGTCATTTCATCCCGATCAGGGCTATTGCTAGGATTTTTTATAGCTCGGACGATCCGTGTCCCTGTGACAAATACCCTGTAAATTACGAGCCAGCTGAAAAAAATCCTTCACGAATCCGGGTTCGAGCCAGAAAAGGCCTGAAAACCACCTTACCGGAATCTCGCGGGATGGGGTATTGCTCGTGAAACTCACAGTGGGTGGCACGAAGGCTGGGAAGGTTGGAAATTAAAGAGCGGCGCTAGAGGGGGGGAGAGAGACTTTCTGTGGACTTTAAAAGATTTATATGCATGGAGGAGTACTAATAACGTCAACGTAGTACCGGAAATCAAACACCTGGAGGCCCAACCAGGAGCGAAGCTAAGGAAAATTAACTGAAACTGGCCAATGCGTTGTACACGGGGAGAGGGAGGGGATGCGAGGCAGGTCGGGGACTATAAAAGTGTTCTAAATCTATCCGGGTCCCCGCGAAAACAACCCGGAGTTCCGAGTGGGCTCAAAAATCACCCTTTAGTTTTACGGGCTGGTCCGAAAATCACCTTGTGAAAATCAGGGTTGCTCTAAAAAAAACCTTATAATTTCAGTCAAAACAGGGTAATTGCCTTGATAACATAGGCCCTGATCCCGATTCATCAAAGTTGACCAAACGACTGGCGCCAAACCATTTGGCGAAATCTATGCGACAAACGTATGGAAAGGTTCCAAGAAACTCGAGGGGAAGGATTTCGTCGCAAACTTCCGAGTTTGGCGCGGCGACGCACATATCAACTGACGACTGTTGATATGTCGCAACGAGCCTTTCTCCCTCGCCAGGAGGGGTTCTGACACACGGCGATTCGATGGTTGATTTCGCAATTCTCGTACTCACCTCAAACCCGCCAGTAAAAAGTTACACACTCCGCTGAATTTTTCCAACATGTTGCATCTGTTTGAGAACTCAAGGCAGGTTCAGCCCTCCCCAGATGCTGCCTGACTAAAACCATATGGCGCAATTCTACTGCCGCCCTAGCTGCTCTTGCGAGTAATTCGTTTTAGACAGGCTCATCGAAAATCCTGGCACAGAACTTCACCTGTCCACTGAATCCATGTGATTATCTTGTTTCCAGTTTCCGCACAAAGCTTTTATTGTCAAGTTTACATTAAAATAGCATGTGTACATTTCAGCCGCTCGTCAAGTAAGGTAACACAAATCGTTGCAATTTTTACAAAAACACCATTAAGTGCCGGGTCAAACTGAAATTAAAGCCACCCAGACTGCTGCAGCTCCAGCCAGAAATGTGGCAATGTACGCTAGCATGACAACAGTGGTTTCCGCCATTCCTGAGAGCTCTAAGTGGTGGTGGAAGGGCGACATGCGAAATATTCTCAAACCCGTGCCTGTGATCCGCTTGGTGAGCTTGAAGAATGAAACCTGTGTCGCGAAAAGGGATAGAGGGTAGAAGAATACATAGAGGGTAGCGCGGAGAAGATTCTCAAACCCAAACCCATTTTACCTCCAGATGTAGCGCAGTCCACCAGTAGGGACGGCAGATGTACCTACCTGTACCGAAGCAGCAGCATCTGGGATCACCTGGAGTAACACGGTTGTAGCCGTGGCAGCTGTAGCGCGTGGTCCACCTGCTGCACCTAGGAGTATCCATCTGTACCGAAGTCAGCAGCAACCTGGTTTGCCTGTAGCACGACCAACATGGTCTTGAGGAAGAAAACAGCCGAGGTGAAGAGGAGGGGGAAGAAGGCTGACAGCTGGCTGGCTGGTGCTGGCAGCCATGGCAGTGAGACCTTTCATCTGTAGCAAGACTGACACCGTTACCGGCGCACCTGTAGCAAGACCGAAACAGGCTGATGCGATGAGGAGGGAGGGACAAGAGGCCGGTGGTGGTACTTGGTATCACACGCATCTACCAGCGCACCTGTGGCATGACCGAGACGGTTTCGAGGAAGAGAACAGCAGATGCGATGAGGACGGGGGAAGAAGACTAACAGCTGGCTGGTGGTGGCAGCTTTGGCAGTGAGACCTTTCACCTGCAGCAAGACTGACACCGTTACCGGCGCACCTGTAGCATGACCGAAACAGGCTGATGCGATGAGGAGGTGGGGAGAAGAGGCCGGTGGTGGTACTTGGTATCACACGCATCTACTAGCGCACCTGTAGCATGACCGAGACGGTTTCGAGGAAGAGAACAGCAGATGCGATGAGGAGGGGGGGAGAAGAGGCCAGTGGTGGTCCTTGGTATCACAAGCATCTACCAGCGCACCTGTAGCATGACCGAGACAGTTTCGAGGAAGAGAACAGCTGATGCGATGAGGAGGGGGGGAGAAGAGGCCGGTGGTGGTCCTTGGTATCACAAGCATCTACCAGCGCACCTGTAGCATGACCGAGACGGTTTCGAGGAAGAGAACAGCAGATGCGATGAGGAGGGGGGGAGAAGAGGCCGGTGGTGGTCCTTGGTATCACAAGCATCTACCAGCGCACCTGTAGCATGACCGAGACGGTTTCGAGGAAGAGAACAGCAGATGCGATGAGGAGGGGGGGAGAAGAGGCCGGTGGTGGCAGCCATGGCAGCGAGTGCCACCCCGAGAGCCAAGGAGCCCGTGTCTCCCATGAACACTGCCGCTTTGTGGCGGTTGGTCACGAAGGCAACGAGTGGTGGAGAGTGGTGGAGAGTGGTTGCGAGTGGTAGTGAGCGCCGGCCCGAGAGCCAAGGAGCCCGTGCCCCCCATGAACACTGCCGCCTTGTGCCGGTTGTGGTGACGGCAGGGTTTACCTGGAGGCACGGCAGGTGAACCTAGGTGTATTTACCTGCATCGAAGTCAGCCGCAACTGGGCTTACCTGTAGCATAACTGAGACCGTCTCGAGAAAAAAGACAGCCGATGCGATGAGGAGGGGGAAGAAGAGGCCGGTGGTGGCAGCCATGGCAGCGAGCGCCGCCCCGAGAGCCAGGGAGCCCGTGTCCCCCATGAACACTGCCGCCTTGTGCCGGTTGTGCGCTAGAAACCCCATGCACGCCCCCGCCATCGCTGCTCCGAATGCTCCCATGGCTGGTGGGGATGGGGATGGGGGATAAGAATGGGGATGGGAGATGTGGATGGGAAGGCTAAGGTCCACGGGCAAATGCACTCCCAAGGTGCGAAAGAGTTTCCGAGGTGCAAATGAGTTCCCGAGGTGCAAATGAGTTCCCGAGGGTGCAAATGAGTTCCCAAGGTGCAAATAAGTTCCCAAGGTGCAAATGAGTTCCCAAGATGCAAATGAGTTCCCAAGGTGCGCAAATGAGTTCCCAAGGTGCAAATGAGTTCCCAAGGTGCAAATGAGTTCCCAAGGTGCAAATGAGTTCCCAAGGTGCAAATGAGTTCCCAAGATGCAAATGAGTTCCCAAGGTGCGCAAATGAGTTCCCAAGGTGCAAATGAGTTTCCAAGGTGCAAATGTGTTCTCAAGGTTCATACCAGGGTAGATGGGTAAACATGCGATTGCCATGGCATGGCAATGAATGCAATAGCGGTGGTGCCGGCTGCCAGCCCATCCAAGCCTTTTAGGCCACCAGTGTGGTTGCCCAATGCCCACACCACCACCTAGTTCTGAAATGCCTCAAAAGCTGTTACTATGAGGACGTACCAGGGTAAATGGGAAGGCAGGCGATGGCCATGGCAATGAATGCGATGGCAGTGGTGCCGGCTGCTAGGCCATCCAAGCCATCCGTGAGGTTGACAGCGTTGCTCATTGCTGCCACGCAGAAGACTGTCACAGCCACGTACCACCTGGATGAGAAGCGAAAAGGTTGTCGGGAATAAAAGGATGAACTTTTAAAGGGTACAAACTAGTGTGAGGTTGACAGCATTGCTCATTGCTTCCATACAGATGACTGTGAGAGAGAGGGACGTACCACCTGGATGGAGTTATAGGGCCTAAATGCCGAATCTACGTGAAAGAAGTAGAGTTTTGAGTTCAGACGTCTCAAAACACCTGGATGGAGTTATAGGGCGTACATGTCGAATCTTATAACGGGTACAAAACTGCTTACATGGTCGTACCACCAAATGATACTGCTGAGACATGAAGGGTCACGATATTAGATACAAGGGTATAATCACTCTGTAGTGTAGTGATGTAATCACTCACTCTAAGAAGCTGTAAAGCTTGGCACGATTCTATGGGAGGAGCCAGCGGAAGGGACTATGTCAACGTCAGAAGACATGGATGGGTGTGGGTGGGTGACTTGAGCAGTGAATAGAGAGAGGCACACACACATACACTTGCGATAGGAACTTGTAAGAAATCGTACCTGCCAAAGTACCATAGACCGATTGGCTGTGGAAACGGGACCAGATTCTTCCTGAAACGCACGAGATACAGTCAAAAAGAGGGATGGATGTTGCGGGGCGGATGGGGGATGCGGAGGAACCGTGAGAGTGGGAAAATAAAAGAAGGAGCAGCAGGAAATACGCCGTATGCACATAATAAGATAGTTCAAACCGTGGGCCAGCCCTGCTCTCACACCTGCAGAAAATTTACAAGATTTTGTGAACAATGAAGAAATTGAGTGACCCATGCAACAGGGTCACATGCAAAGTGCGTATGTTTAAATATACATAAATATGTACATATAAATAAAATAGTAATGAAATAATAATATCAGTTATAGTAATAATAATAATAATAATAATAAAACGAAAAAAACAGACAAATGGAGAAAGACACATGCAAAAGAAAACACAAAAAACACTAACGAACAGACAAATGGGGGGGAAAAATTGGAAGCAAGCCATACATGGAGTAGGGTGATTGCAGGTTTGCCCCGTGCAGCCAGTAGCTGAGTGCCAGACCTATTGCGACCTGAAAGAAAGGACGGAGCAGAAGAGTAGGAATGACTGAGAGGACGTGCAGTCAGTGACTGAGTGCCAGGCCCATTGTCACTGTCGCCAATGTCACTGTCGCTAATGTCACTGTCGCCAATGTCACTCCCTCCCTGGGGAGGTAGTGTAAGCTGAGGGCCAGGCCTACCTGTGTGCTTCCTTACCTGTAGCCCGAGCTTCCCAATCGGGGTAAGTCCCTAGTTATGCTTTTTCACCAGCGACAGCCCATCGCCCACTGCTTGCTCCCACCGCCATCATCACCAGTGTCGCTGCTGTCACTTCCCCACATCACCATCACCTCCACCTGTGTGCCCTCTTACCTGTAGACCAAGCTTCCCCATCCGTATGAGTCCATCCATAGTTGTGTTTCTTAGCAAGAGACAACCCATCATCCACCGGTCCCACCACCATTGCCACCGTCACTGCTGTAACTCCTCTCCCTCCCTCCTATGATCGTGCTCTACGTATCACCCACCGTTGAATGAATTTAGATGACTTTTGAGTCGACTCAAAAGTCAGCTGCTGTAACTCCTCTCCCTCCCTCCTATAATTGTGCTCTATGTATCAACAGCCGTTGAATGCATTTACTGACCTGCAGCCCAAGCTTCCCCATTGGGGTAAGCCCCTAGTTATGCTTCTTAGCGAGAGACAGCCCATCATCCACAGCCCCCACCGCCATCATCGCCATCCTCCCAGTCGCCACCCTTCCGCCCTCCTACCTGTGTCCTGTGTAAGGGCGCGTGTCTTTTGGTGTAGATTGTCAAAGTTCGAGCCTAGTACCGCTTTGTAACGTGGCGACACGTCTCTCAACTGTATCCTACCGTGTACAACCTTTCTACAAGTTCGAACTTTGACAAAAGTTCGACCTCAAGGACACGCGCCCTAAGCCAAGCGTGTTTTGAGACGTCTCAAAACACTCCTTCCTGTGTGCTGTCTCACCTGTAAGCCAAGCTTCCCCATGGGAGTAAGCCCATAGTTGTGCTTCTTAGCCAGCGACAGCCCATCATCCACAGCCCCCACCGCCATCATCGCAACCGTTGCCGCCGTCACTCCAGCCAGCTCAGGCGGACTCCCAGTCGCCACCCTCGCTACAAGCACACCCAGCGGCACGAAAATCAGCCCCCCCATAGTGGGCGTCCCCGCTTTAGTCACATGCGTCGCTGGGCCCTCCTCGCGCACCACCTGCTGGGCTTTAAGCGAGCGCAGGAACGGGATGGCGATGGCGCCCGCGTATGCTGACGTGGCGGCGGCGGCGAGGAAGGGGATTGTGAGGAAGAAGGCGGCGAGGGGGCGGCGGATGAGGCGCCAGATGAAGGAATCGACTAGGAGCAGCGTTGAGAGGAGGGCGACGAATAATAGAACTGAGATGATCCGGCCGTGGGATATCCTGCATGGAGAAGGGGACGGGTGTGCGGATGGGGGGGCAAAGCACACAGGAGGGAGGAGGGGGGGGAGGGGGGGAAGGGGATGAGACGCAGGATTGTGAGGAAGAAGGCGGCTAGGGGGCGGCGGATGAGGCGCCCGCCAGATGAAGGAGTCGACTAGGAGCAGCGTTGAGAGCAGGGTGACGAATAATAGAACTGAGATGACTCGGCCGTGGGATATCCTGGATTGAGAGGAGAGGGCGTGGATGGGGGGACAAAGGACGAAGGAGGGAGGAGGGTCGAGAGGAGGGAGAGGAAGAGGAGAACTGATATGACCCGGCCGTGGGATATCCTGGATTGAGCGGAGAGGGCGTGGATGGGGGGACAGCAAAAGCAGGCGGAGGGAGGGAGGGCGGAAGGGGGGAAAAAGGGACTTGTGAGGAAGAAGGCGGCTAGAGGGAAGCAGTGGGGCAAGAGGAGGGGGCAAGGGGGAGGAGGCAAGGGGGAGGGGGCAAGAGGGAGGGGGCAAGGGGGAGGGGGCAAGGGGGAGGGGGCAAGGGGGAGGGGGCAAGGGGGAGGGGGCAAGGGGGAGGGGGCAAGGGGGAGGGGGCAAGGGGGGAGCGGGGAAAGAGGGAGGGGGCAAGGGGGAGGGGGCAAGGGGGAGGGGGCAAGGGGGAGGGGGCAAGGGGGAGGGGGCAAGGGGGGAGCGGGGAAACAACGGGGAGGGAGAGCAGAGGGGAGCGGGAAACAGAGGGACGGGGGAGGGGAACAGCGGGGACGAAGGGGGTTAAAAGGCGGGTATGGGGGCGGAATTAAGAAGCTATGAACTAAGTAAGAAATTAGGAACTTATCTCCACTTAAATCCTCTTCAAAAAAAAATCTCACCTCATCTTTCGTCTCGTCTCTTCCTCACTCTCCGCCGCTCTCTCCGTATCCTGCGCTTTAAGCGCCGCCGACCCCACCGCCTCTACCCCTTTCTCAACCTCCTTAGCCGCCGACCCAAGAAGCTCCGACGAAGTTTCCTCCGAGCCGCCCAATTTGAACTTCATCCGCCGTCCGTTCACGCCGAGCCGCTCCTCCGGGCCGGCGCTAAGTTCGTCAAACGCGTCCCCGAGTGACACGTCAGCAGTCGCAGCGGCCGAGCCGCCCAAGCGGTGAAGCGCTCCGTTGCCGGAAGAGCAGAAGGCGCTCGTGTCCACGTCATCGCTGTCGTCGCCGTCGCATGCCTGATGGGAGTGAACGACGGGTTGAGCGACCGGGTGAGGGCGAGGCGGGATCAAGGCAAGGGGCGCGAGAAGGCAGGGCGATCAGACCCGCGAGTAACCAAGCTTGGCTTACCTCTACTTTTGAGGCGCCTCAAAAGTCCTATCTTACCTCTACTTTCTAAGCGCTTCGGAATTACGAGGTCCAACTATATGTCTAACTCTCAGGCGCCTGAAGGCCGACAATAACGTCTCTATTTTAAACACCTAAAACTTACAAGGCCCACTTTAACGACTAATTTTTTTTAGGCGCCCCGCGCATAACTGATTTCTGAGTCGACTCGAAAAAACGTCTAAATACGGCGGAAGAGGCTGGTGCCTTGCAAATTTTGTTAGCGCCTAAAAAGTGGCTGCGTCTTAAAAGGCTGGTGCCTTGCAACTTTTGTTAAGCGCCTCAAATGGGTGGTGCCTTAAAACAACAACTGTTACGCGCCCCTTGCCCACCTTAACGTCGAGGCGCGGCGTCGCCGTGGATGGCGGTCCCCTGAGCTGGAATCGCAGTATGGCCGACCTGTCGCACCCCGCGGTCGCACGGCGTCGCACGATTGGCTCTGCGAGAAAGCGTCGCGTCGCACGGCCGTATGCGAAAGCATCCAAGCCGCTGCCACTGTCGCACAGCCGTAGCCTCGCGCGTTCTGCTTTTTTACCCGACGCTACGTTTGTCGTCATCGTCATCGTCGGTTTTCCTGTCGTCCGCAAATCAGCGAATCTCCGTACAGTGCGCACTGTTGAAGCCGTCGATTGCCCATTTGGCGCTCTACAGGAGGTGATCGCCCCCGTTAAAGTCGTCCCACTGAACCACCCCGCTACTGTCGCCTCAGCCAGCATCGCGTGTGTTGGATAAAAGTACTAAGTAGTCTGCGCCAATGAGTTCTGCTGACCGTTCTAAAAGTAATAAGTAGTCTGACCGCGCCTTTGCCTAAAAAAAATCGCAAAAGCCCTGACGATATTATTCCAAGTCTCTCAAAACTTAATCGCTATCTCACTAGTGCTCCTTGCTGCTTCCTGTCCCATCTACGCCTCATCGTCAGTCAAGTTGAGCGAGAAACTGTGACAATCACTACGCTTTTATAATCCCGCCTCCTCGACACGCGTTCGAGCCGACTTACTTGCGAACTCGATTAGCGCCTGCTTTTGCCGCTTTAGTACTCTCTTGCGCGATTTGGAGCGACGGTCGTCACGAACAGCAGCTCCAGGCGAATGAAGCAGCACCACTGCCGTCAAGGATTACGCAGCTGAAGTAAGAGAGGGTTAGGCTGCTGGAGAGAACGCCTCGAAGATTGAAGTGAAAATTCAACAGAGTGGTGATCTTCCTCTAGTGCACATCTTCTAGTTTTTCCTACAATGGTGGCCCAAGGTTTGGATTCAGCTGCTTGACACGAAAATTTGCTGCCAGTTTTGAAAGGGGAGAGGGAAATCCCCTGAAGAAGACGTGGTACCGAAGTTTAATTCCATCGAACCGTTCTGGAAGCGTAAGAATCGCAGGAAATCCCTGTGCAGAAAGGAAACCAAACGAGCTTTCTCTGTTGCCACGAAACCCAAGGCAGAGCGGGAATGCATGAAGCAAGCCAGCTAGGATTCCTGCGGGCAGGATACCTCCGTCAAAGCGGATTGCCTTCATAGTACTGCACCCGGGGTCTGTTCCACGTGGCATATGCCAATTAGAATGTTTCATTCTTGCCGCATCGTCATGCTGCCATCGTGCGGCGGCAGCAGCCTGGTGCCGGGGGAGTGCGCCACCACCAACTGAACCAAACCAAACCAAACTGGATCCGACGCTTCCTGGGGCTGCAGCCGCGGCCGCGGTGCGATGGTGGAATCTTATCGAAGCGCGGGCAGGGAATAAACGATTACAACGGAAAATGGCGCAGAGTGATAGGTCGAATCGATCTGATCATGCCATGTGCCTCTCAAAAGATGAGGGACTCGTCCAATGCGGCAAAAGGGGAATATTCTCGGTGTGTGCCCTTTCCCGCTGATGCAAGGGAAAGTTCGATTTGATATCTTTCAAGAGGATCCACTGTTGTGTGGAGCATCAAATTTCCGCAGTATAGGCGCTTAGTTACGTAGTGCGGTAATATGGGTTAAAAAAAAGGCTCGGGGCGTTCTGATTTTCATGAACAGCGGCTCCAGAGTAGAACTGCGTATTCAAGCTACCGTTTGCGGTGAACCTCGAGCTCTAGCCCACTTCATTTGGGGATCTACCAAGGCAGCAAATCGACGATGTTAATAGTACTGCGAACCTTAACAGTTACGTTGCGTGAGCATGATCCAAGTAGTAAGCAAGCACACCCAGTCACATAACAAATGCCGAATCAAAGGAGATGTAAAGGGGCGACAATGACGTCAGCTCTCAAGCTTCTTCGCAAAAAGCTTTCTAAAAGCAGCATTAGAATCAAGTGGAGCATCACCATCTCCTCCTGCCTCCCCATTCGCCTCTCCCCCTCCTCCCTCCCCTCCACCATCCCCTTTACCCGCCCCTTTCTCCCCTCCACCCACTTCCTCCCCCTTTGTCCCCCCTTCGCCCCGCTGTCCTCTCCCCACACCACCCCTCCCCCCTGCTCTCCCCCCTCCTCTTCCCCCTACCCTCCCAGCCACACCTCTCCCTAGAGCTTGTCCCACAGCACGAGGCATGGCGAAGGTGGGAGAGCCAATCAGCTGCAGCTGACCTGCTCGCCTCGCACTAGCTGACAAAGGCTGCAGGCCACGGCCTCCCCGCCCGCCTCTGCCGCCCCGATTGGAAGGATGGTAGGCTGCAGAGGGGGAGTGGAGCGGCGGAGGAAAGAGAGGAAAGACAGAAAAGGGAGAGGGCGAGTGGGCGGGTGGGAGGGTATATTAACTACTAGATTTGGTATCTCTCCCGCACCACCGTATATAATGTACAACGTGAGAAGGAAAACTCGTCACTTACATTTGATAGAGTGGCCGATGCGCCACAGAAACCCCTACCGTATATCTAAAGACACTACAACGGGCCGTGAACTTGTAGCGTAAAAAATAACACCAAGTCATGAGGAGGAGTAACAAGAAATAACAGCCCTCACCTTCCTCCTCTGCTTCATCATGCCCTCCCTTCCACCACCCCTTCCTCGCCCTCCTCCTCCTCCCCCTCCACCCCCCCCCCTCCCCCTGCCCCCCCCCTGTCCTTGTGCCCGGAGGCATGGCTGGGGTCCGATTTCTTGATGGACACCTGGCGCCCTCTCATTGGCGCCCTGTTGAGCTTCTCTGCAGCTGCCACCGCCTCTGCACTTCCCAATTCCACGTAGGCAAAGCCCTGAGAGAGGACAGATGGAGAGTGTAGGTGGGGACGGGAAGAGAGAGGGGGGAAGGAGTGCAGACATGCATTACAAGTAGCTCCCCCCTGCCACCGCCTCTGCACTGCCCAGCTCCACGTAGGCAAAGCCCTGAGAGAGGACAGATGGAGAGTGTAGGTGAGGTAATGAAAGTGAGGGAGGAACGGGGTGGAGACATGCATTACTAAGTACCAGTAGCCCCCCCTTGCCACCCCCTCGGTGACTCTTGAGTCGATTCAGTCACCTGGCATGACGCTTTGACATGTCAAGCAGAATCAGTCAATATTTTAGTCGACTACAAAATCGACTTGTCACACCCTGCCATCCCCTAGGTGACTTTTGAGGCGACTCAGTCACCTGGTGAGACGTTTTTGACGCATCCAGCCGAATTTCCACCCCAGCTGACATGTGGCACTCGAGTTAACAGCCAAATGGCACTGACAGGTGGCACTCCGCTTGACTGCCACGTGGGCACTCACCCTGAACTGCCCAGTGGAGTGGTTGAATTGAACACCACCCTCACATCCCGTATCTCGCCACCCTCACTGTCATGTGGCACGCACCGTACCTGCCACGTGGCACTCAACCCTATAGCCACGTGGCACTCAACCCTATAGCCACGTGGCACTGCCACGTGGGCACTCACCCTGAACTGCCCAGTGGAGTGGTTGAACACCATCCGCACGTCATGTATCTCGCCACAGTCCTTGAGCAGCTCCAGGATCTCGTCCCGAGTCGTCTGGCGGTGAGAGAGAGGCAAAGAGAAACAGGCGGGTATTGAGCCAGTTGTACTTCAATTGGTTTGCTGCGATCAATCCCGAATTCCACCACAATCCTTCAGCAGCATCCTTATCTCGTCTTGACTCGTCTGGTGGCGAGAGAGAGGCAAAGAGAAACAGGCGGGCACTGAGCCAGTTGTACTTCAATTGGTTTGCTGCGATCAATCCCGAATTCCACCACAATCCTTCAGCAGCATCCTTATCTCGTCTTGAGTCGTCTGGTGGCGAGAGAGAGGCAAAGAGAAACAGGCGGGTATTGAGCCAGTTGTACTTCAATTGGTTTGCTGCGATCAATCCCGAATTCCACCACAATCCTTCAGCAGCATCCTTATCTCGTCTTGAGTCGTCTGGTGGCGAGAGAGAGGCAAAGAGAAACAGGCGGGTATTGAGCCAGTTGTACTTCAATTGGTTTGCTGCGATCAATCCCGAATTCCACCACAATCCTTCAGCAGCATCCTTATCTCGTCCCGAGTCGTCTGGCGGTGAGAGAGAGGCAAAGAGAAACAGGCGGGTATTGAGCCAGTTGTACTTAAATTGGCTTGCTGCGATCAATCCCGAATTCCGCCACAATCCTTCAGCAGCATCCTTATCTCGTCTTGACTCGTCTGGAGGTGAGAGAGAGGCAAAGAGAGAAGACGCAAGAGACAGACACAAGAGATAGTCGTCTTCTCTTGGACGACGACTATCAGCACAGTAAAAATCCAAAATCCTTCAGCAGCATTATCAAAAATCCAAAATCCTTTATCTCGTCTTGAGTGGTCTGGTGGTGAGAGAGAAAGACACAAGAGACAGAAGCAAGGCAGACGGACAGGCGGGTTTCTGAGACAGAGACCCTCTCCAAATGGCTTGCAGGTATCAAATCCATTCCTCATCCATTGCTGTGCGATAGAATCAGAACAAGAAGGAGCTTTTCTTGAGCCGTGTTTTGAGTCGACGAAAGAAAAGGAGCCTTTTTTTTAGTCGCCTCAATAATCTGATTCGTTGCTGAGATGGAACCAGAACGGGAAGGGACTACCAAATACTGACCAGCAGCACTGAATAAGTTAGTAGGCTACGACTCACACTAAGATCCAGGTTGGAAAGAAATACAGTATTCTTGTCCGTGAAAAACCGCCCCTGCTGCTGCCCCTGCTGCCCCTGCTGCCCCTGCTGCCCCTGCTGCCCCTGCTGCCCTCCCTCCTTCCTCTCTGCCTCCTTCTCCTCCTCTACATGCTTTTCCCCTCCCTGCTCCAGTCCCTCCCCTGCGACTTCCATCTTCTCTTCCCCCTCTTCCGCCTTCTCCCCCTCCTTTCCTTTCTCACCCACGGTCTCTTTCCCTTCCTCTGCCGAACCTGCCTCCCTGCCTAACCCCTCCTTCCCTCGCCCCTGCCTCTTGTCAAACCCTAATCCCGGTCGCTGCCTCTTCCCTCGGTCTCTTCCCCCAGCCTCTCCCCCTTGCTCCCCACTTCCTCCTCCACCTCCTCCCCCTTCTGCTCCTCCCCCCCTCCCCTTCTCTCCCCTTCCCCCTCCCGCCTTGCGCTTTTGCCCGCGCCCTTGCTCCACCTGCTGCTGCTGCTGCTCCTGCTGCTGCTGCTGCTGCTGCTGCTTCTGTTGCTGCTGCTGCCGGTGCTGTTGGTACAGCTGCGCCTGATCCTCCTGTGCATGATATGCTGCTACTTCTGCCAAGCGCGGGGCCACCTGAAGGAAGATTTGAAGAGAAAGGGAGGGCGGGAGTAGAAACAGCAGGAAGGGAAGGAAACGAGCGAATGCTGTTGGTTCAGCTGGGCATGATCCTCCTGTCCGTGGTAACTTTTGAGTCGACTCGAAGGGACATTCAAGACTTACTTTTGTCAATGCATAACCGTTTTGACATTTCGACGTTCCTCTGACAAGCGTCGCAGCTCGCGTCCTCCTGACCAGCATATGCCCTCCTTCGAAGCCAGTCCTCCCTAGAGAATGTCCTTGCACTAGGCGAGTTGAAGCATCCTTTCATTGACCGTACCGCACCTTATCTGATGCGAGATCGAGGTCCCCAAGTGTTTTTTTGAGGCGCCTCAAATTTCGCACCTTATCTGATGCAAGGTCGAGGTCGCCAAGTGCTCCCCACTCCCTCTCGAACCGGATCCAGGCTGAACACACCTCCTGCATGCGTTGAGACACATGGAGGGAGAAAAAACCCAGTCAGGCACACACACTCAGGGCACAAGTGGCTTTTGAGTCCACTGACAAGTCACCTAGTAGTGTTCCCCAATCCCTCTCGAACCGGATCCAGGCTGAACACACCTCCTGCATGCATTGAGACACAGGTAGGGTCTCACACTTGAAAACAAAAAAATCAACACAGTGCAGACGCGCATACATATGCATGAAAGAACATTCATCCATGAGCGATTGTTTTCTAGCTACAGAAATTGTTAGGCGCCTAAAAAGCAACACCATATACCTCTCTGCCTGAGGGTGAGTCGAGTTTCCGGCTGTAGCAGCGGCGAAAATAATACATGCAACGCACCTTAAAGGAAGCCCCCGACCATACCTCTGTGCCTGAGGGTGCGTCGAATTTCCGGCTGTAGCAGCGGCGGACGATAACATTTTGTAAGGCGCCTAAAGAGAAGCCTCCATACCTCTGTGCCCGAGGGTGAGTCAAACTTCCGGCTGTAGCAACGGCGGAAGACTGACCGTGCCTGGTTGTAGCACCCCCTCTCCGTCTCATACTGAGTGAAGCCCAGCCAAGCGTGGTGAGAGGAGCCGCTGTTGGGGAGAGGGGAGGCAGGAGGAGACAAGCAAGCATGGGCTGGGACAATTGAGTGGTTACGACAGCTCACAGCATCCCCTCTTGGTGGCGAACTGAGTGAATCCCACAAGGCGCGGTGAAAGGAGCCGCCGTTGGGATAGGGGAAGAGGGCGTGTTGGGAGGGGAAACATGTGAGACTGCGATAGGATTCAGGAGGGGGACAAAAACAAGTGCGTGTTGGGAGGACTTTTGAGGCACCTCAAAAAGTCGAGACTGTGGCAGGACTCAGGAAGGGGACAAACAAGGGCGTGGTGGGAGGGGTAACAAACAAGGGCTTGTTAGGATGATTGACTGGTTAGAAGTGGTTAGAACACACTTGTACGGCAGGGGCAGCAGCAGAGGCAGGAGCGTGAATGGATGTTCAGGTGATAAAAGAAGTGTTTTGAGACGTCGTCATGCTGCTGCTTCTCTAACACGTCTTTTATAACGTAGCAGCAGCAGAAGCAGCAGGAGCATGAATGGATGCTCAGGTGATAAAAGAAGTGTTTTGAGGGGTCATGCTGCTGCTTCTCTAACACGTCTTTTATAACGTAGCAGCAGCAGCAGCATGAGTGGATGTTCCGGACCCGAGACTCACTGCTTCTTCACGAATTGCTCCCAGATGGCCCTTCCAGCAGCCCCCCGCCGCCCCAGTTGCACCTCCCCCAGATACGCCCTCCCTCCCCTCCCCTGTGCTCTCCAGCTTGTACTCTATACATGCGAAAACACAGGCATGATACTCACTGCTTCTTCACGAATTGCTCCCAGATGGCCCTTCCAGCAGCTTCCCCTGCCGCTCCAGTTGCTCCTGCCCCAGATGCCCCCTCTCCCCCCCCTGCCTTCTCCAGCTGGCATTCAATGTGCGCCTGGTACCCTGCCAGATGCAGTTGTGCTTGCTGGTGGTCGGGGAAATACGAGGCCATGAACTCCGATGCTCGCTGCAAGAAAGGGTGGGCAAGGTGGGGAGGGGATAACAGGGGAGAAACAGGTGGGGTGACTTTCAATGTGTGCCTGGTACTACGTCAGGTGCAGCTGGGCTTGCTGGTGGTCGGGAAAGTAGGAGGTCATGATGTGCTGCACGCTGAAAGGATGGCATGGCAAGGTGGGTGCACTTACAACACAACAATCGAAACACATGTCATACCGCTAAGGCTGCACACAGGCACAGGGTGGCTACCAGCTTTGCCCTTTCATCCTCGCTGGGAGTAGCCCCTTTGCAGGCTCAGGAGGAGGGGTCTACTGCTTTTATCACACCCGTTCTGCATACCTCAAAGGTTGCTCGCAAGGTGGCTACAAGCGCCGTCTTTTCATCCTCGCTAAGGACAACCCCTTTAGCAGCGCCCTTGGAGGGTTCAGGAGGAGGCATGAGACGGCGCCTCAAACCGTCCAGGCGGGTGAGAAAAATGTCAAAGTACTGGAATGACGGAGGAGGGGGAGGGTGGGGGGGGGGGGGAGAAATGGGGAGGGGAGGAGGTGAGGGAGGGTGGGTGGGAGACTAGTGAGTAAGATGTCAGGTGAATAGGAAAATTCCATCCATTGCCGTCCATCCCTCCCATGCTTGCCATCAGAGTACTTTGACGGCAGGTGAGGGATGGGAGGACTTCTAAGACGTCTCAAAGAAATCGTCTAGTGAGTAAGATATCACACTACTGTGACGGCACCTGGGGGGATGGGAGGGATGGACGACAAGGGATGAAAGTTTCCTAGTCAACAATAAGGCAAACAACTAGGTGGGAAGTTAGGTGTGCCGTCCCGACCCGACTCTACTGTCCAGCCCGACTGCTCAAATCATGAAAGAGCAGGTAAAAGGTGTGCGCGGCGAGCAGGTACATTTGAAGGTAGGTAAGTCAGGGATTTATGGTGCGTGCCGAAACAAAATGATAGATATGTATGTGCTGATTAGAAGAGTTGCTGGAAAGGCAATCGAGCTACTTTACGTTTCGCAACGTTTTCAATTTCCTATCGCCCACGTGTTTACCACGCCTGAAGACGTGAAACTTGTACTTTCTGTGGCAAGGAAGGAGGAACAAGTGTATAAGAAAAACGACCGGTGGAATGCGCTCATTGACGCCCTCTCTCACTCTCCTCATCTCCAATGAGCGCCTTCTGCCAGACATTTTTCGTATCCACCTCAACTTCTTTCCTTGGCACAAAGAATACAAATTCCACATCTTCAGGCGTCGTAAACGCGTGCGCAACAGGAAATTGAAAACGTTGGAAAATGCAAGTACCTCGGCTGTCTTACTAGCAGCCCTTTTAATCGGAATGGTTCTTAGTATTACGGATGCATGTGTTTTTTGTGATCTCAGCACATATATATCTGTCATTCTGTCTCCGTATGCACCATAAATCCCTGACTTACCTATCTTCAGATGCACCTGCACGCCGTGCACACCTTTCACCTGCTCTTTCATGATGTGATTAGCCGGGTCGGGATGTTAGGCAATGAATTTTGAGTTGACTCAAGAGCCATCCAAGTGGGCAAGGAAAATGTCAAAGCACTGTTGCAGCGACAGGGTGAACAGGGCGGGATAAACGACAAGAAACTTTAATTTTCCTAGTCAATAGTACAAGTTAGGGGTGAAGTGGGACAAATGACTTTTAAGGCCCCAGGCGGGTAAGAAAAATGTCAAAGTACTGTTGTGGCGATGGGCGAACAGGGCGGGAGAGGGGATATGTAAGATGCGGTGATTCCTGAGAGTGCAGAGAGGAAAACACTGTCGTGGCAATGGGGGGACAGGGCGTGAGGTATAAATAGCAAATAGCAGGAATTTTTCATTGAAAAGCAGGTAAAAATGAAAGCAGCGAGCGCGGTGAGAAGAGAGGAAAATGACAAAATATTTTGACATTGGTGGTGGTAGTAGGAGGATAAACGAGAGTTTTATGAAAGGGAGGACTCACCTCATCTGCGGACTGAACTCCAGAGACAAGGGCCTTCTCAAAGACCTGCATAGCCCAGAGAAGAACCAGATGAGAATGTGGAGAGACACGGAGGGAAAACGCAATAGATGGTATTCTAGGCATTATATACAAATCTATATTTATACGTATATAAAACCACATTCATGACAAGGCCTACCTCTGCCACGTCAGCATCAGCAGCTCCCAATCGCTCAAGAGCAAGCAGATAACGCGTCCAAAGCGTGCCCACCCACGGGCAGTTTCGGGCTGCGCGGAAATAAACTGAGCGCACAACAGAAGGCACCTGGAGAAAAAGAGCAGTGAAGAGAGAGAAAACAGCAAGAAGATTAAATAAAAAATCGCCTACAACACGGTTGCTTACGGAAATAGCTTGTTTGTAAATTTTATAGACCGCCACACGTGTAAAAGACTAAGCTAAGGTACGCAAGTGCCTTCAATGCATTTTGAGCTGTAGTCAACCAGATTAAAATATTTTGAACATGCATTCATGCTAAGCTTATGGTCAACCAGGTCAGCCGGGTCAACACATTTCACACCACACGCACCTAAGCTTATGGTCAACGAGGGCAATGTATTTCTGCTACACGTCAAACACCACCGTGGAATGGTCAACCAAGTCAATGCTTTCAAACTCAACCCAAAAACACACCCACTCACCTTGAGCTTGTGGTCAACGAGGTCAATGTATTTCTGCCACACGTCAAACATCACAGGCAGCGCTGTGACCGCCCTCTCATGCATGGCCTGCTGACGTGGCATGTCACCACTGGCTGCCTCCAACGCCAGATACTCCTGGGAGAGAGGTGGGAGCAAGGAATGGGGAGGAACAGGGTGGGGGAAGGGGGTGGGGAAAAGGGGGCGGGGGAGGGTGGGTTTGGGTTGGAGTGGTTCAGGGGGCGAAAAAGGGTAGGACAAGGGGACCGAAAACAATTGAACCATTGGAAAATGATAAGGGATAATTATGTGACCATATAAAGCACATGACGACACCATGTATGCCTGCATTGTCTTAGCTGCCTTGCGATAAATTATGAGTTGATTCATATATATCATGCACATGGCGATACCATGCTCATGGCGATACCATGCACATGGCGTTACCATGAACATGGCGACACCATGCACATGGCGATACCATGCAAATGGCGATACCATGCACATGGCGATACCATGCACATGGTGATACGATGCACATGGCGATACCATGCACATGGCGATAACATGCACATGGCGATACCATGCACATGGCGATACCATGCACACGCGATACCATGCACATGCGATAGCATGCACATGCGATACCATGCACATGCGATACCAAGCACACATGGTCGTATCACACATCGCCATAACCGTGTACGCCTGCATGAGCTCATCCGTCTTGTCGAAGGTAGGAACCGTGCGACTCTCACCACCTCCCACTCCCCCTCCTCCTCCTCCTCCTCCTCCTCCTCCTCCTCCTCCTCCTCCTCCTCCTCCTCCTCCTCCTCCTCCTCCTCCTCCTCCTCCTCCTCCTCCTCCTCCTCCTCCTCCTCCTCCTCCCCCTGCCGCCGCAGCACCCCCCTCTTCCTCCACTCGCCTTTTCTCCCCTTCCAGCTCTCTCTACCCTCGCCTCTACCCCCCTCCGTTCCCCCACCATCTTTTCCGCCTTCAGATACGCCGCCTTGACACTTCCTGGAAGCTTCTCGACGGCAGGCGACGACTCGGAGGAGGGTGTGAGAAGCTTCTCGCCGCCTTCCTCCTCCTCCCAGGACAGGTACGCCGCCAGCGTGACAGGCAGCTGCAAATGAGGCACCGCCAGCTGGCGATGGAACAGCCCTCGCACCCGGGCGGCCTGCTTCGTCTTTTCCTCCTCCTCTCCCTTCACTCCCCGCAGAACCTCCATTTCGAATCCCCTGAAGGTCCCCCAGACAGATGCGCCCTCCCCCAGATGCAGCCCGACCTGGGAGAGAGCTTGCTCGGCTGTGGACCGGAAAAGCTTGAGACCGTCGGGGGTGTGTGTGGTGATGGCAGGGTGGTGGGCTGCGAGGAAGGCAAGGTATCCCTGCCAGAGGGAAGGTGACTGGGGACGGAAAGGGGTGGAGAGGGGTGGAGAGGAATGATAAAGAGCTGCAGGCCGCAGGGGGTGTTTGTGGTGATGGCAGGGTGGTGGGGTGCGAGGAAGGCGAGATAGGCCTGCCAGAGAGGAGGTGACTGGGGACGGAAAGGGGTGGAGAGGGATGGAGAGGGGTGGAGAGGGGTGATAAAGAGCTGCAGGCCGGTGGGGGTGTCTGTGGTGATGGCGGGGTGGTGGGGTGCGAGGAAGGCGAGATAGGCCTGCCAGAGAGGAGGTGACTGGGTAGGTACGGAGGGGAAAGAGGAGAAGGCAAGGCAGGGGAGGAGTGGATGTGGCAGCAATAGGGAAGACAGGCCCGCCTGGTAGACACTGCGAGAGAATTGCGAAACGGAATTGGAGGGAGGAAGGTGAGAAGAGTGATCGAGGCAGTGATTGAGTGAGGGACGGAGGGGGAAAGGGAAATGAGGGCACGGGCGAGGGCGAGGGGGAGAGAAGGAGGAGGAAAGAGAAGGGGGCCGGAGGTGAAAGGGAGGAGAGAGACTCACCACATACTCCTCCACGCCACGCTTGTACAGAGCTTCCACCTTGGCCACGTCAACATCTCTGCGGGTTTCGTTTCAGCGCACAATGAGAAACGGATAGGATCCCAAAGAAAAGCACAAACTGGAACGATGAGACTGAGAATGAGATGCGGAACAGAGTCAGGAAGAAACGTAGACGGGCGTGGGTCCTGTACAACTGGGTGATTCAAAAATGGATTTGTTGAAATTTTTAGTGTGCTGTCTACTAGGTGGCCGGTGTGAGAACAGCGCGATCATAAGCCTGATCACATTGCACTGTGCAGCAGGCAGCAGGCAGCAGGCAGCAGGCAGCAGGCAGCAGGCAGCAGGCAGCAGGCAGCAGGCAGCAGGCTGACTGAAGGCTGAAGGGGCACTCTCACGAGGCAATGAGGCGTGTCTCGTCGTGAGCCCACTGCTGCCACATGGCAGGTGAGAGCGGGAAGAGCGCATTCATCGCCTCTCGTGCGCTCCTCAATTCCTCCAGCATGCTGCTGCGGCGGAAAAGAGATATCAGCTGAGACAAGGGTGCCAATAAGCGGGACGGAGGGGAGGAAGGAGCGGGGAAGAGGGTTGAGAAGTCGAGACTCCCCGAGCCCACTGCTGCCACATGGCGGGTGAGAGCGGGAAGAGCGCATTCATCGCCTCTCGTGCGCTCCTCAATTCCTCCAGCATGCTGCTGCGGCGGAAAAGAGATATCAGCTGAGACAAGGGTGCCAATAAGCGGGACGGAGGGGAGGAAGGAGCGGGGAAGAGGGTTGAGAAGTCGAGACTCCCCGAGCCCACTGCTGCCACATGGCGGGTGAGAGCGGGAAGAGCGCATTCATCGCCTCTCGTGCGCTCCTCAATTCCTCCAGCATGCTGCTGCGGCGGAAAAGAGATATCAGCTGAGACAAGGGTGCCAATAAGCGGGACGGAGGGGAGGAAGGAGCGGGGAAGAGGGTTGAGAAGTCGAGACTCCCCGAGCCCACTGCTGCCACATGGCGGGTGAGAGCGGGAAGAGCGCATTCATCGCCTCTCGTGCGCTCATCAACTCCTCCAGCACGGTGCTGCGCCGCAGGAGAGATATCAGCTGACGCAAACGGGCACGAAATAGGGGGTGGAGGAGGGGAAATAAGGGGGTTGGTGGGACGGGGGAGAAGGGGGGTTGTGGAAGGGAGGTAAGGGAAGGGAAGGGGAAGGGGAAAAGAAGGGGAGTGGCATGAGTCGTCTTAACTCTCAGCGCACTCATCCGAATTAACACACAAGAAACAGAGCTGACGACCAGCCATTGACATGCGTTTGGCGTGGTTCTTGAGGGCTGACGATTAATTATGGCTTTGCGTATGTCGTGGCCGTGACCTATTCTCGGGGACACTCGTCAGTGGCCAGTCATTTTGATCCACCAAAGATCCCCAACTCTCAGTTGCTATTACCTTCTTAATGCAGAAACGCCTTAACTCTGCGTTAGTTCCCTAAACCGAAGGTTTGTCTGGATTGGCTAAAAACGTGCACATACCTGAACGTGTGCCTGATAGTCGTAAGGATTCGATGCGATGCGCGCCTTGACTTGGTCAATCAAAGCCTTTCGCTCCGCCTCCTCCGCTGCCTCTTTCTCATCCTCGCTATCGTCATCCTCGCTATCATCATCATCGCTGTCCCCATCCGAATCCTTTCTCGGGTCATTACCCGCATTCTTGCCGTTACCACCTTCATCTTGCTCTGAATTTGATTTCCTGGAATCGGGTTCTTCTGCCATGTCAACGTCACCACCATCACCTGCCTTCTCAACGGCTTTATCGTCGTCACTGGCCATGGCGCGACGCCTGATGGAGAAAGGAAGAATGTGTCACAGAAAGCATTGAATGCCAACAAGATTTCTTTGTTGCAGAATCCATCGGATGAACCATTTCCGTAAGAAAAATCTACAGTCTACATGGCAGCATGCTTTCAAACTAATATATATAAATAAATATTTATATTTAAACAGAATATTAGTTTCCTAGATACTTTAATACTTCATGAGCAACTAACATAAAATCTGGCCTAAAATTATGCAAGGATGGAGACGTAGATTATGCACCAAAAAAAAATTTATGCTACACAACGGTTTGGCAAGTTAATTTGATATGGCCGAGCGTCAATTTCTGTAAGTTATCTTCAAAACACATTATACTGCCTGATACTTGAACTAGACTGTAACACCTTGGCATCTTATCTTGTCGCTGTCGGTGGTGCCTGGGTTCGAGGGTTGTGGATCTGGGGTTTGTTAGGTAGGGTTTGTCACTGGCATTTGGGGTTTGGATCTCAGCGTTTCGTCGCCTGCAGGTGATGTTAGACATTTTGCCGAGGCATTGGCGTTTTAGCAGTCCCGCGAATTGCGGGAGTGCTGCCTGCGCTTTAGCGTTGATGAAATCGGCAAAATTGTCGTCAATCGAAGGTGATTTTTGACTGTTTTGATGCTTGACGAAGTTAAGTGCGTTGAGACGTTAGACCTCGTGTTTGTCGGACGAGCTTACCTGCATTTATTGCAAATAGTAGTTCACCCTCTGAACAGAGAGGAAAAAAAAAAATTCCAAGCGTTTACCGAGGTTCATGCTCGTATGATGCAGCGTTTGCTTCCTCCCAGGATTTTAATTACGTCATTCCATAGCTCGAGCACGTTGCTGTCTTAGTACCTACGATAGAGTGTTAAAACACGGGAAGGAAGCGCGAAGGGCTTTCAGGAACGTTGCCAACGCGAGAGAAGTAAAAAAGCGGTGACCTCGGGTCTGCAGAAGCGGAGAGAAAGATAGGCCGTGCGGTCAAGGCAGTGGATTATGTGAAGACAGTTGGTGAAGGCGCGGAAGTTTCTTTTGCGTTTATTGAAGGGACGATTGAGGGTGGGGGGGGGGGAATTCTGTGGAGGAAAATTCCCAAAGCGAGGCCCCGTTAGTAGCAGACCCGAAATTGATGGAGTCCGTAGAGAAGCCGCTGGAGGATGTGATTAATGCGAACGGGGACGGTGCTGCTGAGGAGTGTGGCAAGCAGGGTGACAATGGCGAGAGTATCCGAACGGGGGAAGATAGAGCAACGGAGGGTAAGGTTGAAGCGGAGAAGCAAGGAGAACGAAAAGAAACGGGGGAAGGCAAGAAGGAGGTTGGAGAAGGCGAGAAGGGGACGGAAGATTCGGAAGGGAAGGTCTTACCTGGGGGAGGCTCCAACTTGAAAGAGGATGGGCCTGTTAAAGCGGAGGGTGAAGCGGAAACGCGGGGGGATGCTGCTGCGACTGCAATGGAGGTGGATAATGAAACGGGGGTAACTGCAGCAGGAATGACTGAACCGAAGGTGACTGAAGCAGAGGGGACTGAAGGGGGAGTGGCTGAAGCGGAGGGTATAGGGAGGGAACAGGGTTTGGAGTCAGGAGGGGCAGCGGAGGGTGAGAATTTAACAAGAGAGAAAAATAAGGTGCAAGAAGGTGTTGAGGGAGGAGATGGGGTGGAAGGAGCGGGTGCGCAAGTAGAGGTATGTGGGGTTGGGGAGGAGGAAGGGAAGGGTGACAAGGAGAGGAGAGACGATGAGGAGATGGAGGGAGATGAAAGCAGAAAAGGGAATGGGGACCTGAAAAGTGAGAAGGATGGGGAGAAGGGTGCGCGGAAGGATGAAGGGAAGGGTGAGGGGAAGGGTGAAGGTTGCAGTGACACTGCCAAGGAGAGTGATAACAAGGGTCCGGGGGACGTCGTATCTGTGACTATGACGAATGGTTCAGTGGAGGATGGAGAGGAGAGAGGGGTGAAGGGTGAACGGGGGGATGGGAGCTGCGATACAGCCAAGGAAGCGGAGAAGGAAGGAGCAGGAAGGCAGGAGGAGGCGGGGGAGGAGGGTGGGAAGGTGGAGAAGGAGGGTGGGAAGGTGGAGAAGCAGGTGCAGAGGGGAGAAAAGATGGAGGAGGGGGGAAAAGGGGAGGAGGAGAGAGAAGATCGGAGAAGTGAGGAAGGTTTAGTGGAACAGCAGGCGGTACAACTAACCACTGACGCGGATTCTGTTGTAGCTTCTGGCACTACTGCCGGTGCTGCTGCGACAGATGCTAATGCTACAGGTGCTAATGCAACAGATGGTAATGCTACAGGTGTGAATGCTACAGATACAGGGACTAATGTGACAGGTGCTGATGCTACAGGGGCTTACGCTACAGATGCTTATGCAACAGATGCTAATGCAACAGGTACTGATGCAACAGGTGCTGATGCTACAGGTGCTAACGCTACAGATGCTAATGCTACAGATGCTGATGCAACAGGTACTGATGCTACAGGTGCTGATGTCACTCGTACTACAGATGCCACTGATTCAGATGCCGATCCTGCAACTGCTATTGCTACTGGCCCTGGTACAACAGATATCACCGCTTCAGATGGTGCTGCTACAGATGCTGGTGCTGCTTCAGAAGCTCATGCAACAGACAACAACAGTTCGGACGCCTCAGCTGACCATGCCCGTCCTGCTGCACGCCCAGTGCCAGATGCTGTCGAGAATCCTCGACAACACCCCGCCCTCACCTCTCCTGGTGCCCCCCCAGTTGCAGCAGCAGCAGCAGCAGCAGCAGGGGAAGGAAGCACAGGTGCCCGTGGCAGCGGAGCAGCAGCTGATGGACCTGCGCCTGCTGGCGCTGCAGAACGCTGTGCTGCCCGCGCATGGGGAGGGAGGGGGCGCTGAGGAGAATGCAGCAGTGTTGACCGAGCCAGCAGCACCAGCAGAGCAGCAGCAGCATGAGGTTATGGAAGCAGATGACCCGGCAGCAGCTGAGCAGCAACAGCAGCAGCATGAGGGAATGGAAACAGAGGTCCCGCCAGCAACAGCAGAAGCAGCAGCCGCCGCAGCCGCCGCAGCAGAGCAGCAGCAGCAGCAGCAGCAGCAGCAGCAGCACGAGATGATGGACATGCGGCTGTTGGCAATGCAGAACGTGGTGCTGGTGCAGGCAGCGAACGAAGAGGAGGAGATTGACGTGTTAGAAGTAGACGAGGAGGAGGAGGAGCAGCTCAAGAAGCAGATGGGCGTGGGGGAGGGCGGCCCTGTAGAGTACATGGTGCTGGGGGGAGCGGGGGAAGGCGCGGAAGGGGGAGTTGGGGGGGTGTTGGGGGGAGGAGGAGGTGAAGCAGGGGTGATGGGGGATGGGATGGTGGGAGAGGGGCAGGGTGTTGCGGCTGCTCCTGGGGTTGCAGGTGCGTTGGTGCCAGAGCACCTGTCTGGTGCTGCTGCAGGTGGAATCGCAGGTGCTGGGGGTTGGGTGCGGTGATGGGAGGTGTGGCAGGCGTGGAGTCTGGTGGGGCGGCACTTTCAGTGGTTCCAGGTGGTGGTGGTGAAAGTGGTGCGGATGTAGCTGGATCAGCTGTAGCGGGATCAGCTGTAGCGGGATCAGCTGTAGCGGGATCAGCAGGTGTTGGGTCAACTGTGTCACGAGATGATGACATGGTGGCTTCTACCATCCTCGGTCTTCTGCCCTCTCTTTGCCCCTCCACCCCTGCTACTTCTGCCCCTGCCGCTGCTGGTCTCACTGCTCCTGTCGCTGCTGCTGCTGCCTCTTCTGCGGTTCGTGCTGCTGTTGCTGGTGCTGCCGTTGCAGGTGGTGCCAGTGTTTCCACCGCCAGTGGTGAGGTGGTACGCACCACGCAAGAGCAGCAGCAGCAGCAGCAGCAGCAAGGGCAACGGGGGGAGGAGAGGGCACTGGGAGGTCACGCCACTGCCTCCTCGCCTGAAGGACGGACAGGAAAGAAAGGGACAGATTCTGAGAGGGAGTCGCAGCAGAGCCAGCAGCAGCAAGGGGGGATGGGAATGCGGAAGCGGAAGCAGCAGCAGCAGGGGGATGGGGACGGTGCCCCATCTCCCTTACACGAACCCTTTGACCCCGCCTTCCCGGCCTGTAAGCTCCTATCCTACTTCCCGTTCATCTCCTCCCTTCTCTCCCCTTCGCTTTTACCTAACTCCCTCCCACCCTCCCTCCCCGTCGCACCCCGTCGTCCTCTCCTTCCCTTCAGCTCTTCAGGGCATCATTCAACGCCCCAGCCATTGCGCCACACACCTTTTCTGATGAGTGTCACAGTATCCTCCGCTCTCCCACCCTTTTGAGAATTCTCAAAAGTGATTCCCAGCCATCGCACCACACACCTTTTCTGATGAGTGTCACTGTATCCCCCACCCTCCCACCCTTTTCCCTCCTCCCCACCCTTCCCCACCCTTCCACCCTCACCCCCTTCTCCTTCTCTCCAGCTCTCTTCAGTGCATCATCCAGCGCCCAAGCCATCACACACACCACACACCTTCTGATGAGTGTCTCATCAGCCTCCACTCTCTCACCTTTCCCCCCCTCCCCCCTCCCCCCTCCCCCCTCCCCCCTCCCCCCTTCCCCTCCCCCCTCCCCCCTCCCTTCCAGCCCTGCAGGGCGTCACTCGCCGCACGCGCCATCGCACCACACGCCCCGCCTCCCGCCTGCCCTTCATGGCACTGGACGGCCACTCCTCCCCGCTCTCCCCCCCCACCACCGCTCCACCCCCCACCGGTCACCCTCTGGCCCCCTTTGTTGGTCGCTTTTCTCTACTTCCCATTCATTTCCTCCCTTCTCTCCCCTGCTCGGCCCCGTTGTTCCCCTCCTCCCTCCCCCCAATACCCGCTGCTGGTCTGGTCCCTCTTCCTCTTCAGCCCTCCAGGGAGTTACTCGCCGCACGCGCCATCGCACCACACGCCCCGCATCCCGCCTGCCCTTCATGGCCCTGGACGGCCACTCCTCCCCGCTCTCCCCCCACCACTCCACCCCCCGCTCCCAACCCCAAACTCAAGCCCAAGCCCAAAACCATGCAGCAGCATCATCCGTTTCCTCCCCTGCTGCTGCTCCTGCCACTGCCCCTGCTGCTGCTGTGCCTGCTGCTCTTCCTCCGGTGGCTTCTCCTGCTGCTGCTGCAACAGACAGCAAGGAGGGCGTGCTTGGAAGAGGAAGACGAGGTATGGTTGGGGAAGGTGTGACCGGGGGAGGTGTGACTGGGGGAGGTAAGACTGGAATATGACTGGGCTACGATGGGGGTATGATTGGGGAATGGTTGGGATATGACTGAGGGAGGTACATTTGGGGAGGTACTTTTGGGGGAGGTGAAACGGGAGGGCGTGCATAACATCTGTGCTCTGTCTGTGGCATGTCACCTCACTGCATTGCATTGCATGGCATCTCAGCTCCGTCTGTCCCTCATCCAGCTTGTTGCATTACATTACCTTGCCCGATTCCCAACCCCGCCCATCTCTATCCCACTCCCTTCTGTCTCTCTCCCTCCCTCCACAGGCTCTGTGCCTGATGCACCACTGGAGGCTTCACCTCTCAACGGACCTGCCTCGGTACCAGGCGAGGGCTCTGGAGCAGCAGATGCAGGGGAGGGCGCGGGGGCAGGGGGAGCGGGGGCAGGGGACGTAGGGGGAGCAGGGGGGGCAGGGGGGGCAGGGGGGGCAGGGGAGGGTGGTGCCCCGGCGCCTGCTTCTGCGCCTGTGCTGCAGGCATACCACCGGAGACGACAGGAGCAACCACTGAGTGAGTACAGGGGTGCACAAGGGTGGCAGGGCGGATATGGAGGACAGGGAAGGGCAGGGGGGCAGGGGGGGGAGGGGAGGGTGGTACGCCAGCCCCTGCTTCTGAGGCGACAGGGAAGGGCAGGGGGGAAGGGGGATGAGGGGAGGGTGGTACTGCAGGCGTACCACTGGAGACGACAGGAGCAACCTCTGAGTGAGTGTGAGGGGGGGATGGGGGCATAAGGGGGGGGGGGGGGGGGGGGGGGTATCCATGCTAGAGCTGCAGGCAAGGCACAAGAAGTTCTGGAAATTCTGGAAGCTGCAGGCAAGGCACATATATCTCGTTGGGAAATTCTGGAAGTTCTCAAGAGTGGTGGCGCCTGAAAGGGCGCCAATTTTCCTGGCTTCATCTCCCCCCCCCCCCCCCCCCCCCCACTTATGTTCTTTTCTTTCCCCATTTCCCCCTTTTCCCTCCCTCAGTCCGCTTCTCCATAAAGAGCCTGTCAATGCCGGAGCTATCAGCCAATGCTGTCTGTCCGCTTCCTCCCCCACCCCCATCCCCCCATCTGCAGTCCGCTTCTCCATAAAGAGCCTGTCAATGCCGGAGCTCTCAGTGTGTCTGCCTGAGACTGCTTCTGTTGGTGCGCTCAAGGTGCGTATTCAATTCATGCTCTTGGCTCGTTACAAAACATTTTACGAAATATTTATGTATGTGTTGTTATGATTGACACTTCTGCATCTCGAAACGAGCACGTTACATGGCTTGCGCATGGTGTTACAGGGTAACTTACCACTGCACGGCTATCTACCTTGCTTCCTTCCCTCCCCCTTACATCCCTCCCTTCCTCTCCACGCCCCCCTGCCCCGTCCCAGCAAGCGGTAGTTGAAGCAGCTCTGGCCTCTTTTGGAAACGGTCTCCGCCTGCGCATGGTGTTACAGGGTAACCGCTGCACGCACGACCAGGCCTCGCTAGCCGACGTGGGTCTCTCCCACGCGGCCCTCCACCACCAGCAGCAGCAGCAGAAGCACGCCGCCGCCGCCTCCCTCAGCTTCATGCTCGACCCAGACCCAGTCCTCCTCCCCCCACCCCCGCCTACTCCTCCTCCTGCCGGCGCTACACACCCGCTGCTACAGCCGCGGCTACAGCCGCTGCGAAACAGGCGGCAGCAGCGGCGGCGGCGGCAACGGCTGATCCCGATCCGCTGCTGCTGCTGTCGCCGCTGGCTCATCCTGGGGATCCATCTCTTGCTGCTGCTGCGGCGGCGGCAGCGGCGGCGGCAGACGGTCCACTCGTGTCTGCTGCATCGTGAGTTTGCTGCTTTCCCCTTGCTTGCTCTCCTTGCTTTCTCCTCACTACCACCCGCCACGTCCCCACTTCTCTGCTGCTGCTGTCGCCCCTGTCTTTTAGTTTGTGGTGTCGTGTGAGTTACAAAACATTTCTGCCCAACTAAAAAACATTTCCCTCAGGCGCCTCCATTCTACTTCCCCCCTTCATTACTTTAACCTCCCTTCCCCTCCTTCCCCATCCCCTCCCCCTCCTCTGTGCTCCTCTCCCTTCTCCCCCTTTTCTCCTGTCTACCTCACACCCATCCCTCCCACAACACCAAATCAAGCATTTCAGCTAGCGCCGCCTCCGTGTTTGGTAGCCTCCTTGTATCACGCTCCTTTCTTCTCTCTTCATTTCTTCTCCTCCCCTCCATTCCTCTCCCTCCTGTCTTCCGTTCCTCTCCCCTCCCTTCCCTTCTTCTCTCCCCCCTTACAGCCCATCCCACTCGCACCCCTCCCACAACACCCGATCAAGCATCGCAGCAGCTGCCGCTGCCGCCGCAGCCGCCGCAGCAGCAGCAGCAGCAGCAGCGGCGGCAGCAGCAGCACCAGGCAGCACCCGTAGGCACTCCAACCCGGCCACTCCCCTCCACCACCCATCCTACCTCTCCCCTTCTCACCTTTACGCTACCTCCTCTGGCCCTCACACCCCCGCATCTGCCCCCTCTGCTGCGACCACCACCACGCCGACCACTCGACAAGCAGCGGCACAAGCTTTGGCGGCGATTCGAGCGCAGACAGAGCAAGAACCTGGGGACGGGGCGGGGGGAGGGAGAAGCAGGAGGAGGCGGAGGAATGATGATGAGGATTACCAACAGGGGGAGGAGGAGGAGGAGGAGGAGGAGGAGGAAGAGGAGGAGGATGAGGAGTATGAGGACGATGAGGGGTTTCACCTGCCGTTTGGGCGGTATTCTAGTAGCGGGAATGCTTCTAAAGGAGCGCATTCCGGCGCTCTGATTCTCCACCCATCCGTCTCAGGAAGAGGCAGAGGGAGGGTCCGGGGGGGAGGGGGAGCAGGGGCGTTGTCATACCCGGGAAGAGGAGGAGGGGGAGAGAGTGGGGCGCTGGTGTTGCATCCGCACCAGCAGCACCTGCAGAGAGGGGGGGTGGGGGCGGCGGGAGGGGCGATGATGGTGCATCCGAGGGCAAGGGGAGCGGCAGGCTTGCAGCTGATAGAGCAGAGGAGGAGGATCAGGCGGCCGTTTACTGTGAGCGAGGTGGCCTCGCTGGTGGACGCCGTTGAAGTGCTGGGCACCGGCAGGTGGGTGAAGGGGGAGGGTGGGTGTGGGTGTGGGTGTGGGTGTGGGTGTGGGTGTGGGTGTGGGTGTGGGTGTGGGTGGGGGGGAGTTGTTGTCTGTTTGGGTTGATTTGGGTTACGCCTGGAGGCTACAACTCATAGAGCAGAGAAGGAGGATTAGGCGGCCGTTCACTGTGAGCGAGGTGGCCTCGCTGGTGGATGCTGTAGAAGTGCTGGGCACTGGCAGGTGGGTGGTTAGGGAGAGGGTGGGAGAGGGTGGGTGTGGGTGAGGGGAAGTTACTGTCTATGGCTGGGTGGGCTGACTTGGGTTCCACCGGGGCTGCAGCTGATAGAGCAGAGGAGGAGGATCAGGCGGCCGTTCACTGTTGGGGAGGTAGTGGCCTCGCTAATGGACGCTGTAGAAGTCCTGGGCACTGGCAGGTGGGTGAAGGGGTAGGTTGGAAGTGGGTGGAGGGGAGTCGCCGTCTTTGACTGGTTGGGTTGACTTGGGTTCCATGGGGGTTGCAGCTGATAGAGCAGAGCAGGCGGATCTGAAGGCCGTTCACTGTGGGGGAGGTGGCTTCTCTGGTGAACGCTGTCGAGGTGCTGGGCACTGGCAGGTGGGTGTGGGAGGGGGAAAGATGGGGGAACAGGTTTGGCGGGGTGAGATGGGGGAACAGGTTTAGGGTTGAACGCTGGCGGGGTGAGATGTCTCAAAACTATACTTTTTCCGGGTGTCTCGAAATCTGCTGTTTCTCACTCATGTTTGAGTGTACTAAAAGAGGCACCTGGGTGACACAGCCTCTCTGAGGCACCTGGGTGACACAGCCTCTCTGAGGCACCTGGGTGACACAGCCTCTCTGAGGCACCTGGGTGACACAGCCTCTCTGAGGCACCTGGGTGACACAGCCTCTCTGAGGCACCTGGGTGACATAGCCTCTCTGAGGCACCTGGGTGACATAGCCTCTCTGAGGCACCTGGAGAGGGAGGAAGGGGGGTTGGCGAAGGAAAGCTGCATACCAAGGCCGCAAAAAAAAGGGAAAGAAGTTGATTAGGAAACGAAAAAACATAACAGAACATGCATTTATTCTTTCCCCAATTTGAACCCCACTAACTCGCCTGTGTGTTGCAGGTGGAGGGATGTGAAGCTGAGGGCGTTTGCCACGTCAAAACACCGCACCTATGTGGACCTCAAAGTCAGTCTTGCTCTCACCTATGTGAACTAAAATCCCTCGTACATTATGATCCCCTCCAAGATACACTTACAGCAACTGTTTGGTGCTTATTCTACATTCTCTTTCACTGTTGTGCTTTCTATTCTTTTTCTTCGGCATCTCCTTTTCTTTTCTCCTTCTCTAATTCTGACCTGTTTTCACACCCCTCCGTGCACTCATTAGGACAAGTGGAAGACTCTGGTGCATACGGCCCAGATCGCGCCACATCAGCGCAGGGGGGAGCCGGTGCCACAGGAGCTGCTGGATCGAGTGGTGCAGGCGCATAGCTACTGGCAAGAGCAGCTGAGAATCCAACGCGAGGAACGAGACTCCTAACCACCGCTGATACTACTATCAGCCTAATTTAGTTTGATCCTTGTGAATGAGTGTTTTGTTACAATACCCGTGAGTAATAAGAGAAGACAAACGTCTCTATTGTTTCCTATACGAATGTAAGCATCAAAAGCATTGATAAGAGCAGCTTCTTGTAAGAGCATATTTGTTGTGGTGGTGCAGAACTCATTGATTTTCCATTTCTGCTGAATTTGTGTTCGTTAGCTTTTGTGACGTATACTAGCTTCTTTATTCCACCGAGAGTTGACCAAATAGACCCGATATAAGCTTCAGTTAACGCAACAAAAGGTCCATTACGCCACACACCAAGTCAGCCGAAGTCAATAAAAGCGTGCCTAGCCGACATTTACCTTACAGTACAGACAGAACCCCCAAGCCACGCCGCACTCGGCGGGAGCAGTAAAACTTCCGGAATGCTAAGCAGATCACCTTTATTTTGCTCAGAGCGTTCTCTTGTCCTCCTTGATTTTGATCGACAGAAGTACCGCCGCTCTCAGATACTAGCAATGCGTGTACTGATGACTCTTCTAGGTCAAACACGCATGACCTCCTACTAGGAGGATCCTCGCCGAGGAAGTTAGTAACGCGTATTCCGATCGTTACTCCCCGTCTCCGAGTCCGCGACGCGACTCTGCTGATGGCGCGAAAGCATAGTTTCGCCACGTCAGCCTTCCCTCCATCCGTCATGTCGACCCTCCCTACACGCCCTTCACCCATCCTAACGGCCGTCTCGTTCCTCCTACTGCTCGTCGCGGCGTCAGCACAACCAGACGGCTACCCGGTAGTAGAATACCCCGACTGTCCGATTACCGGCCTGCGCCCCGAGAACATCGAGCGGGCTTATGTCGAGGCGTCTAGTAACGGAGCAGCTAGGATCGGGGCCGCCGTGTGGCAGCGCCGGTGCGCGATGGAGGACAACATGACGTGCTGCGGGCTGTGCGGGGGGGAGGAGCTCGCGCTGCGCTACATCCGATCCAACGTCTCTCTCGCGATACAAGCCCTGGGCGGCAACGCTACTGCCGCTGCTCTTAAGCTCATCGACCTCGCCAACCCGCCCTCGGTGAGTGTGACTCGTTTTGCCGGTAGGGCAGCACCGCTACCGCTGCTGCTGCTAACCTCATTGCCCCATCAAACCCACCCACTGTGAGTCTGCGGGTGGGCTGGGGGCTGTGCGGGGGGCTGTGCGGGGGCCTGTGCGGGGGGCTGTGCGGGGGGAGGGGGGAGAAGCTCAGCTCGCGCTGAGATACATCCTATCCAACGTCTCTCTCGCGATACAAGCCCTGGGCAGCAATGCTACCGCTCCAACCCACCCTCTGTGAGTGTGCAGGCAGTGAAGTGGGCCCCTATCAACCCTTCCTGCCCACCAGGCGTGGGAAGCCGTGCAGGAAGGAAGGGTCTAAGAGGCTTGCAGGGTCTCTGCTCACGTGATATGAGTAGGCTTTTGAGATGTCTCAGAAACTTACTGGTTCCACTTGCTCGTTCCACTTGCTCGTTCCACTTGCTCGTTCCACTTGCTCGTTCCACTTGCTCGTTCCGCTTGCTCGTTCCACTTGCTCGTTCCACTTGCTCGTTCCACTTGCTCGTTCCACTTGCTCGTTCCACTTGCTCGTTCCACTTGCTCGTTCCACTTGCTCGTTCCCCTTGCTCGTTCCCCTTGCTCGTTCCCCTTGCTCGTTCCACTTGCTCGTTCCACTTGCTCGTTCCACTTGCTCGTTCCACTTGCTCGTTCCACTTGCTCGTTCCCCTTGCTCGTTCCCCTTGCTCGTTCCACTTGCTCGTTCCACTTGCTCGTTCCACTTGCTCGTTCCACTTGCTCGTTCCACTTGCTCGTTCCACTTGCTCGTTCCACGTGGCTCACATGCCTGGCAGTGGGCTCACATGCCTGGCAGTGGCAGTGTGCACATCTGCTCGAAATGGTCATGTGCGACGCCTTCAATCTCTCCTTCAATCTATCCCTCTCTGCTCCTCCCCTCCTCTCTGCTCCTCCCCTCCTCTCTGCTCCTCCCCTCCTCTCTGCTCCTCCCCTCCTCTCTGCTCCTCCCCTCCTCTCTGCTCCTCCCCTCCTCTCTGCTCCTCCCCTCCACTCTGCTCCTCCCCTCCTCTCTGCTCCTCTCACCTCCCTCCATCCAGGCATGCGAGGCCTTGCAGGGCTATCCTCTGTGCGCGCATCTACTCGAAATGGTCATGTGCGCGGCCGTCTGTGACGCAGGTATGTCCTCCACCTGCACTTCTTCCTCTCCCTCCTCCCCTTCCTCTCCCTCCTATCTCTCCTCTTATCTGGTCAGCCCCCATCTGCTCGAAATGGTCATGTGCATGGCCGTCTGTGACGCAGGTACCACCACCTATCCTCCTCTCTTTTCTCTCCCTCCTCTCTTTCTTCTCCTTCCTCTCCCTCCTGTCCCTTTGTTCCCTTCCTGTCCCCCGGGTCCCTCCTCTTTCTCCTATACCTCCTCGTATCTACTTGAAATGGTCATGTGCACTGCCGTCGGTGGTGCAGGTGCGTCCACCTTTTTGAGAATTCTCAAAAAACATCCACCTTTACTCGCACTCCCTCCCTCCTTTTCTATTGAAATCACTTTTGAGTATAGCCGCCGTACAATTCCCTCGTGTTTTGAGAATTCTCAAAAGGTACGTCCACCTTTACTCGCACTCCCTCCCTCCTTTTTCACCTGCTTTGGTCACTCATAGTGTTGCCTTCTCTGCTTCTGTCCTCTCCTGGGTTTTTTTCCATTTCTCGCTTTGTCGCTTCTGCTTTTCTCACACACAGACACGGAATTCGTGGTGGGAGCTGGTCCTACTATCACCGTCTGTGACGGGCTCGCAGAGAGGCTCAAGGCATTCTGTCTCTCAGAGACACAGGCGTATCAGAGCAGATTTTTTTAGTCGTCTCAAAAATGAATCTCGTCACTCAGAGACACTGGCGTATCGGAGCAGCGATACATGCAACACCTGCAGCACCTGCAGCACCTGCAACACCTGCAACACCTGCAACACCTGCAACACCTGCAACACCTGCAACACCTGCAACACCTGCAACACCAGAGAAGCGATACCTGCAGCACCTTATTTTGCTCCTTCTGTCTTCCCCACACCCTGCCTGTCTGTCACATCCTTGTGGCTTTTCTCACGCGCAGACACGGAATTCGTAGTGGGAGCTGGTCCTACTATCACCATCTGCGACGGGCTCGCAGAGAGGCTCAAGGTGGAATGTGCGGGAACGCTGTGTGAGTGGCGGCCTTGTGAGTGGGTGCTTGTGAGTGGGTGCTTGTGAGTGGGTGCTTGTGAGTGCATTCTTGTGACTGCCTGCCTTGTGAGTACCTGCGTTTCCTGCCTTTCCTGCCTCCCCCCCCTACTTCCACTCCTCAGTTGGTCGCATCGCCACCACCATGGATGCATATTCGTTCACCACCGAGGTTGTCACAGCCATCGGCAGAAGCCTATTCGGCATTCCTTCCTTCGGCAGAAGCCTATTCGGCATTCCTTCCTTCACGGCTGTCGTCTCTTTTTCGGGAGGGGTGTGTTGCCACCTTGCGCCGTGACCACCTTTCGTTCTTTTCCTAAAACCACCTGCTTCACTTCACGGCATCCCTTCCTTCACATCCGCTCATCAGGGGTGTGTTGCATCCTTGCGATGTTACAACCTTCCTTTAACGGCCATTGTTTTAAATTTCCCACTCACCCTCCACTTCCATCCCCTCGTTATACCCTCTCATTCATCAACTTCTAACTCGTTCACATCTCTCTCCTCTTTCTCCCTCCCTCCCTTTCCCCCTCTCTCCCCTCCCTCTATGACCCACCTACCAATGATACCTTCCCTCCCACCACCATTTGTCATGACCCCTTCAGCCTCAAACCCACCCACTGCCCCTCAAGTCCCTTCCCCTCATTCTGCCCCCTCATTCATCCACTCCTGACCCATTCATCTCTCTCCTTTTCCTTCCTCCCTCCCTTCCTTTCCTCTTCCCTGCAATCCACAGTGCCTCTACGGCCCACCAACAGATGACGCCTTCCCCCCCGCAACCATCTGCTGTGATCCGTTCAACCTGCACCCCTCCCAATGCCCCCCAAGCTCTCTTCCCAACCCCCTAACCGAGCCAAACCCAACGTCACCACTCTCACCACCACCACCAACCTACCTCGACCGCTCTACCTCTAACGCTTCCGGTCTTGACACTTATATCGAGGATTTGAACCGTAGTATCAATGTGTCTAAGTGTATGGCTGCTGAGCCTTATGCTTACCCTCCTTTGCCTAATCCATCTAACCCCAAGCCTCCTGTCCTGTCCGTTTCCTCTGAGCCTCCTCAGCCACTCAGTTTCTTCAAGCCTTTCCCACATGTGACACATACCGTCCTTTGTTTAGTCACTGCAGGGTTTTTCTTTTGGATTCTCATCCGCTACACCTTTTATTTACGCAAGGGATTGCATAGAGCACCAATTATGAATTGTAACAAAGTTGGTGATGCTCTGGTGGGTTTGTCTGGCAGGGAGTTAGGTGGATACATGAATAACCGTATCCCCTCGAATAGGAGCGTGTAGGGGCTTGCAGTACACTATATGCCATTTTCTGGGTTGCAGGCGATAATTAAATACGTTATAGCCCTGTGGTTTTCAAATAACATCAAATCGAACCGAACTGCAACGCAGTCCCATCTCCTAGGCCTGTTGCGGTTTCCATGCGTGCATTGCATGATTCACCTCCTTTTGGGAGGTCTCAATAGTCGGTTTCCATGTGTGCATGCACTGCATGATTCACCTCCCTTTTTTCTCAGATTGCTTCTTCAACATTCAACAGCACCACCCAACACATGCTGCACTGATTCCGCATTGCTAGCACCTATTGAACATTGCAGAGGGGTAGTAGGTAGTAGGTAATCTCACATCACACTCTATGGTGAGTACGGGCATGCTCAATCAATCATCCCCACTTGCATGGGGTATCATAATGCCTGATGTAACGCCTCCTGGTTGCCACTATAGTTGCTTATTGAACAATACGGTGTGTCAATTATAGGAAGAGAAAAAGTACCAAGATCCGGTGGTTGTCAGGACTTTGTCTATTGGTTGCCAATAGCCAGAGCTGTGCAGAGCAGGCCGAACACCAGGAAGGGCTGTGCGCTAGCCTGCATGCCATCAATTGGCAAGGGGGTGAGGTGAGGACGTGACGAGGAGAATTGGAGGGGAGTAATGGAGAGAGGGGGTAAACAATACAAAGTCATGTGAGCCATTATAGCTTTTGACAAAACCAGAAGTTTCCTGCTGCTTGCAATTTTCTGTACCTATCCCGGGTACTAGATTTTCAGTAACTTGTCACTTTCTGCGACTCCACGTTACCTGGTATTTGACATCGTTCTTCATGGGATCAGGCAGGAAGTTTTGAGTCGACTCAAAGCTGTGCGCTACCCTACTCCACGCCACGTTACCTGGTATTTGACATCGTTCTTCATGGGATCAGGAAGGAAGTTTTCAGTCGACTCAAAGCTGTGCGCTACCCTACTCCACGCCACGTTACCTGGTATTTGACATCGTTCTTCATGGGATCAGGCAGGAAGTTTTGAGTCTTAAAGCTGTGCACTACCCTACTCCACGCCACGTTACCTGGTATTTGACGTCGTTCTTCATGGGATCAGGCAGGAAGAGGGTGAACTGCAGATGCATCATCACAACAATGTAACAAAACACACAACAAGACAAGCAGTGCGGGAGAATATGAACATAAAAGACTCTGAGTTCACAAAAGACTTAGGCCGTGATTCTGAGTCCATTCAAAGAGAAAGAATGAGCTATGGATGAAACGTTGCAACACAGCATCACAAGAGCAGCGTGAAAGCGCATATGAGCATGTGTTCAAATCAAAGCGCCTCTCAGTACGACACACAAACAAACCGGAAGGAAGGAGGGGCCAATAATCTGGCCAAGAACTAAAGGAGGTGCCACAAACTAGAGACCATTGGACTAGAGAAACATCCAGGCACCTCAAAAATCAATTTAGAGGCATCTCAGAAGAGCTAGACCGAGTGACAAGAGGTTTGAGGAATAGAGACCTGGAAGAAGATTTGGGGAGCAATGAGGCCGAGAAGCACCAGCCCATAGATGGTCTTGCCCGTGGCGAGGAGATAGCCTGTTGGGGTGGGCAATGCGAGGGAAGGAGGAGAAAGGAAGGAGGGGCAGAAAGAGATGGCAGAGGGAACGGGTGGAGGAGTGAAGTGAGCCTAGGAGTGGGGATCAAAGAGAGCAAGAAGCATGAGTTCTCTCTATAAACTGGCCACAGCATTTCAGCATGCTGCTCACCTGCCGCAACAGTTTGCTGAGGAATGTCAATGCTCGCCACAAATTGATGTCTACAACTCGAGATCAAAGATGCTTCTATCTACTTTTATATCACAAAGAGTTCATTACTATCTAACCGCCCTTCACCTGCGACAGATAGCTGAGTGACATCAATGCTGGCAACGCAGATCCACTTGGCTGTATCCACTCCGAACGCCACTGGGAGGGACTGGAGAGGGGCAGGTAGAAGGAGAGGAGAAGGGAGAGGGCAGACAGCTGAGTGACGTCAATGCTGGCCGCACAGATCCACTTGGCTGTATCCACACCTAATGCCACTGGGAGGGACTGGAGTGGAAGAAAGGGGGAGAGGGACGGGAGCCAAAGAAGAGAGCGGGAAGGGGGAAGGGTTTATAAGGCCACAGACCCACTTGGCTGTATCCACGCTGAACGCCACTGGGAGAGACTGGAGCGTGGTACATTAGAGGCGAGCAATGAAGGAAGGAAAACAAAGGTTGGGGGAGAGGGGGGGGACGCAGGGGACGGAGGGCAAGAAGGTGCAAATGCTTCCCTCAAACCATCAAACTACCCATCTGTTCCCGTCAAAACCTGATGCCTTCCACCCATTTGCAGTCCCACCACAGTCCACCTGCCCCCCACCGCGCACCTGCCCCCAGCACGCACCGACTCCCCCACCACGTGCCTGCAGCCCCCACAACCCACCTGCAGCAATACTCTTGAAATCGTTCACAATAGCAATGCCCAGCTGCCATTGCAGATGCAAACACCTGTGCACCCCACCATGCACCTGCCCCCACCTGCCCCCAGCCCGCACCTGCCCCCATCAGCGCATCAGCACGCACCTGCAGCCCCATCTTGCGGTCGCCCTCAATGCTCTTGAAGTCGTTCACAATAGCAATGCCCAGCTGCCAGGGGAAACGGTGGGGCGTGTGGGGAAAGGGAGTAGGGATCGGGGGTGGGAAGAGGAGGGCCGCTTCTGAGACAACTTGTACCTTACAATAGCAATGCCCAGCTGCCAGAATAAACGGTGGGAAGAGCGGGTAAGGAGAGAGTGAGCAGCAACATGGAATTGAAGGTCAAAAGCGCGCTTGGTGCTACTACAGCTGATGAGACATGGCTCGGTTCTGGGTAAATCATCACCCCAGTCAAAAGCGCACGTGTTGCATTGAGAGATTTAGCACCCGAAACAACACACACACACACACACACACACAAAACCCAAGACTTATAACTTTACACCTTACCCCAGCGATACTGTAAAGGAGAGTGAGCACCACGACGTCAAAAGTAAGCGTGCCAAAGAGAGCTTGGCCCGCCCACCTGCCAGGTTCCCACACACGCATGAGGATAAGGACACGAGGCCGTGAGGAGGTGTTACAGAGAGGGAGTGAAAATAATAGGCACAGGAACTCATAAGCAGTGTGGCACAGGGGCAGTGTGGTACGGGTGCAGTGTGGTACAGGGGCAGTGTGGTACAGGGGCAGTGTGGTACAGGGGCAGTGTGGTACAGGGGCAGTGTGGCACAGGGGCAGTGCGAATCCTGGCAACATACGCACTGCATTGTGAGGCACCTCTTGAAAAACAAACATCTGTGTGGGTAATTTGCCAGGGAGGCGAGATGTAGCTGGACCTGAGGATGTAGTGCCAACCTCAGGGCTCAGCATGAGCTCTTTTTATGAAGCTCACTTTGAGAAGAAATAAACACCTGTGGGTGAAAGAGACTCACCAGGGAAACGAGATGTAGCAGGACCCCCCAGACATTTCAAAACTCGACTTGCCAGGGAGGCGAGATGTAGCAGGACTCCAAGATGTAGTGCCAACCTCAGGGCTCTGCTTGAGCTCTTTTTGTGAAGCTCGGTCTGAGAAGAAATTAACACCTGCGGGTGAAAGAGACTCACCAGGGAAGCGAGATGTAGCTGGAACCCAAAGCATAGTTGCCGATCCAGCCGCTCTGCTTGAGCTGCAGAGGGTGCGAGGGGAGTGAGCGTGGGTAGTGGAGAATGGGAGACGCTCGAGTAGTGAGATACACTGCAATGCAGTGCTTCGCGGAAATGCTATCTGAGGCGCATAAAATAAGAAGCAGAGGAAGAAAAAAAATGACTTTGAAGTGATGCTATGCAATGTGGTGCTTTTAGAAGAGGTCTTAAAAAATCTCAGGGAGTGCAGTACACAGGAGCTTTATCTTTAGCGGAGGGTGTTTTTGAGAATTCTCAAAAACACCCTGCAGCATCAGGGAGTGCAGTGCACAGGAGGTTTATCTTTAGAGGAGGAAGGGAGTAGATGTATGAGATGAGTGAGCTGATTTTTGAGGCGGCTCAATGAGCACAAGGGGAGGAGGGGCTCACCTTGAGAGGAGGCGCGGAGTAGATGTATGAAATAAGAGAACCACCAGCGGAGAGAGCAAGTAGAATGGGGAAGTCATGACCCGCCTGATGGATGTGCATGGAAAAACGAGGAGGGGGATGATGAAGAGGGACAGGGTTTGGAGAGGAGGGACGGGAAAGTGGACCGAGAGTTACGAATGGTCGATAAGGCGAGTAGGATGGGGAAGTATGTTTCGCCTGAAGGAAGTGGATGAGAGGACAGAAAACAAACGGCAAAAAAGGAGGTGAACGAGCCGAATGAGGAAGAGACACAAACACAGATCTCTGCGAATCAAGGATGACGAGTTTAAGGCACAGCATGCACAAAGAGACAGTGATGTGTGCCGCAGTCAATGAGCTACATTGCAGTGCGTATAGAGGCTTTGGAAGATCATAAGTATATTGCACCTTGACCCACCCATATCCGCTAGAGGAATACTCACCCAGACGTGTTTTGAGACGTCTCAAAACGCCTTGTCCCACCCAGATCCGCTAGAGAAACACTCACCCAGACGTCAAGGCCATAGGCCACTCCCATGGCACTCAGCAGCAGAATCCAGATTTGGGCAATGACCTGCGTTCAAAGCAACGGTGGGACAGATTTTGAAAAAGGGAACGATGGCAGACAGTTTCTTTTGTCAACTTCAAGTGAGTTCAGAGTAACGGTGAGACGGATTTTATTGAGTTGAACGCTGGTAGACACGCTGGTGGCGCACTCAAGAAAAAAATCTGCTATAGCCATGGTTTTGTAAGCCTTTCAAAAGAGAAACAGTTCTCCCTTGTAGTACGAATGATAAGTCTCACAGAGCATGCTAAATGATTCATTCTTCAGATTCGCGTTTCAAGTCCCATCAATACATTTACTTGCACCCGCCCGGGTATCTCATCCCAGCCCAGGCACGCGACTCACATCGCTCTCGGAGATAGCACCCGACGGGATGGGCCGGTTGGGCTCGTTGATAGCGTCAATCTCGCGATCGTACCAGTCGTTCATGGTCTGGAGGAGAAGGGGGGAGAGGGAGAGGGGGAGGGAGAGAGGGGTGGGGGGTGAGTGGGGGAGGGAAAAATAGGGGGGATCGATTGAGAGGTAAAGACGGATGGAAGAAATAGGGGACATGGGAGGCATTCTAAGACAGAAAAAACTGAGCTCTTTACACTCGTTGATGGCGTTGATTTCTTTTGTGCCAGGCACAGGCACTTTGCGCGCATCGATTTTTTTTTATGAAAGGGTCCAAAAACCTATACGGACGCACACAGACATGGAATATAGCCTGTAAGGAGAAAATGGAAAGGAACCTTGTTCTGCTACGAGAGGAAAGAAAAGAAAAGAAAAGAAAAAGAAAATATGAACGGACCTGAGTGTAGCCAGTGAGGAGCGGCCCAGAGAGGAACATGCAGACGACGGCCATGGACACGTCCTTGAGGGTCCATTCAAAGTTGCCTGAAAAGACACGTGAGGAGTTTAAGGCCAACGCGTGTGAGATAGGTTCAGTTACTATTACAAGAATAAATACGCCATTGATCCGTGAAACTTTTTTTCCGACCGGCTCATGAATGTTGCATAACGAGGATAAGAATGGACTGAGCCGGGGAGAAAACCGGATCGGCGTCTGCATTTCCTGCGTTACCGGATAGTCCCTTGTTCATACGAAACTCACTCACCAGAGGCAGCAGCACCGCACAGCACACCCCAGATGAGCGGGACCCACGTGACCGGCTTGGTCAGCTGGAGGCGAATCTTCCAGATGTCCTGAGATCAAGAAGAAGAAACAAATGATGGATCCGGGTAGCGCTACTCTAAAACGCGATGAATGCGGAAGGATTTGTAGGGAAAACACGATCAGCCAGTGATACCAGAGCATCAGACTCGCAATTCGTGCTAATTCAGAAAGAGATATAGTAAAAAAACCTTACATCTTCCTTGTTGCCGCCTCGGATTCCCAGCAGCTGACGGACGGCAGAGTCCCCTTCTTGGGACGGAGCAACATCAGGAACCTTTGTATCTGTGTGGAAGGTGCATGAAAAAATTAAGACAAAGAATGCCGAATCATTCACTCAGAAACGAAAGCACACAGCATCGGCAGCTTCGGACGCTGTTCACCATGTGCGCAAAAGCTAGGAGAAGAAAGAAAATGGATATACGCGAAAGTTTCTTAAAATTTTTGTACGGGAGTCACGCGATAACATATAAATGGTGAAATTCTGTAAGACTGGGATCCGCATTAATCAGTGCTGGGAGAATGTGTGCAGGCAGCAGGTAATACCTGACTTCTTGTCAGTTTCTGATGAAGCGACAACGATCGTACGGCCAGCGTTCACAACAGTCCTCTTCTGCGCTTCGGTGGCCAATCTCCTGCCGCCAAGTGGCAATCTCAGACTCGAAGCGCTAAGACTGGCGCGAACCGCGCTCTTTGCGGACGCATTGCAGGACGCAGCGCGTGACACTAGGCAGTGCGACTCGAGAGAAGTCTGGAGGAGGCTAGCGGAAGCCATCGCAAAATTATATGAACGACAGACGCAAAATTATCGACGGATGGCGTTGTCCTTTGAGGTCTTCAAATGAAGGTTTGCTTCGTAGGAACCTCTTAGTGATGCTTGACCCGTTGAATTCCTCCAGCTAATCTTCTCCTGAAGCTCAGATGAGGTTCTTGAAGAATCTCCGCTGTTGGAGGAGTCTGGTCAAGACAGCTCTGCTTCTGCTCAAGCTTGCTTGGGTTGGCATGAGCTTGCTTCCTGGAGCGAATTTCCTGGGCTAATCCGTCTGGCTAGAAGGCTTGGCGGCAGAACCAAGGCCAGCAAAATTGGACATGCTGACAGGAAGGTGGCTGGGTTGCTGTAACGAGGGATTGCGTTTGGGTGAGGTCCTAGAAATTGGAAGACTTCTGGGAGCCATGAGCGTGAATTTGTTACACGTGGCATCCTCACGTAGCGTCAAATCCACCGTGTTCATCCTCGAGAATGTCCATACTATTAGAAGCTTCGTTAAATTTTCAGGAGGTTCACAATAGACCAATATGATGCACGGCTAAAATCCACAGTGAGACATGTAACAGCTGCATGGTTATTCGCCTATTCGTTCAGTACGCTGCTGGTGACGTAACGACGATCTTTGTCGAAAAAGGCTTACCTTCGCTAGACCTTCGCCACCTCCCTTTCTCAGCCGCCATTTTCTTGGTCGGCGCATCCCTCACCACCGCTCCCCTACCCTACCCACCAGAGTCGCATCGCTGCAAAAGTGCTAGCCGGTTTCGCCTAAACGCGTCCGCTGACTGCGAAACAAAGTTACCTTTTCGCCGCGTAAAGCCTCGAAACTCCCTTGCCTGCTCCAGCACCGCCTTTATCGAAATTCATCCCCGTTGTCTTGCAACTGCCCTCCCTCTCTGTGCTCTGCAGACACGGCACAACCGACATTAGAAAGTAAAAGACGCCGACGACCATTTCGACGACCTCAGAAACGCTTCAGTTCCGAACTAAAAAAGCCAAGCCATCCTTCGTTTCAACCCAAACCTTGCTTGCGAACCCTGCCGCGTCTTTCTAGGTAACATATTCCCGCAATCGACCCTCATTAGTCTGTTTACCTCTGCGAATCTTTCCTCACGCGCCGCGATGGCTAGTTCACGAACCTTACTTGTACTTGGGATCATCTGCGTCGCTCTCTGCGTGGTTGGCGCGACGGCACAAGCGAAGCCGAATCCTACCAAGGCGCAGTTGAAGGCGGAGCTGAATAAAATGGCGACTACCATCACGAAACGTTACCCGCAGTATGCGAAATACGCCAAAGACATCAACAAGTACATCGGCCTAGCACGTAAGCGCTTCATTATCTGCATATCACCACTTCGATGGAATAACACTCGCGAAATCGCGATCTTGCTGCTGCTTATGTCCTGTTGTCAACGAAAGTATACCTATCGTGAGCAACAGGAATTCTCACGATTTATGTTGGAATTCTCCGGATCCTTTTGAGATAAAAAATCCCAAGCAATTCTCCTTCATTCTGCTCCTTCACACTTTCCTTACTCCCCTCTCCTCCCCCCACCTTCCCCTGTCCTCCCTCCATACCCTTTTTCCCAATAATTCTCCCCTTGTCCAGTAAACTCCAAATACGACTTCTCAGCCCTCGCGGACGCCACAATCCTCCTCCCCAGCAACACAGAAGCCGAAGCCCTCACTAAGAAGCTCCCCGTTAAAAAGGCCAACATCCCCACCATCTACAACATCACGGCGTACCACATCATCGCCAAAAAATATACCGTTCCGAATTTCAAGGCCTTCAAGCAAGCGCAGCCGCTCCGTACTCAGTTAAAGCAGGCTCTATACAAGATCTCGGCCAAAGGTGCGAACGTCGTGTCGTTCGCCAGGGGTCCGAAAGCGCCTGCGGCTACATGGACGACAATCAAGATCACGAGGATTTACTCCGGGCCATACTTCATTGCTCACGGGGTGGATAAGGTTGTGATCCCCTTTGGCACGAGGTTGCCCAGGTAGGAAGCTACAGTAATTCTGGAAACAAGTAAAATTTGACATAATCTCATGGCTTATAAATGTAGTTGAGATGCGTTGACGTCTGTCCAACCTCTGGAAAAGAGCAGTAGTCATCGGCCTACTTGCTGTCTTTCCGACCTGAGATAAGATGCCTGATATGTACAGGGCAGCAATTCCATGTGTTTCACATCAAAGGCTGTTCTTTATATGTGAATCTCTCTCGGCATATTTACATCTTTGCCAGAACCGTGCAAACAAAAAGCTTCCAAATCTCATCTACTCAGCTGTGCTCTGCAAATACCACTAGCTGTGCTTTCCAAATACCACTAGCTGTGCTCTCCAAACTACCGTGTTGTTGCTCAACCCCAATTTGGGGTTATTCATTCCTAAATACTATACATTGGAGTCGTCGTGATTTTGTGGACCTCTCTTATACACACAAAAGATGCCATTCCAATTAGAAGAGCTCTAACCATGCAGAGATGGAAGTGGCATGATGACGAGACGAGTGAAGTCGGGGAAGATTTTTATGAGCCAACAGATAGGGCCAACCGCACGAGATTTGTAATGAGAGCCAACTGAACTGAATTGATGTCACTCGAGAGATTTGAGCATGCGGAAGAGGGCTGCTGCTTCCCTCACTCGCGAATACTCGATACAGAATGCCTGCATCTCAATGAAAAGCGCCTCCACTGCCACATGGAAAACAGGGTTGCAGAATGACATTTGTATAAATGTAAATAATTGGAAAAACATACTAGTACACATTTGGGGAGGAATTCAGACTTGGCACTATTGAGGTTGTGAAAGGAAAGTCAAATGCCGTGGCTTGAACATCAGGTATGTTGGCATAAGAAATAATTTCTCCGAGGGTGTATGTACCGTTGATGATGTTATCGCGAATGAGACTCAGTAAGAAGATGCAGACAAACCGCACCAGACGGTTCTGCGTGCTCTTATCCTGCAGGTGTACAGATGGGTTGGGTTGGGTTGAGACCGAAAGGGCATACTCTTTCACTCCCTCAACTCACAAAGGGCAGCAGACTGACATGGGACACATGCACTGACATGGGACACACGCACTGACATGGGACACATGCACTGACATGGGACACATGCACTGACATGGGACACATGCACTGACATGGGACACATGCACTGACATGGGACACATGCACTGACATGGGACACATGCACTGACATCATGAGGAAAATCAACACTACCATCTCATAAGTACAAACTTATACGCTGGAACAATATATGTGCAATAACAACAAAACCACCCACCTTGGTTTCCTCGCAGCACTGCATGCAGTGGCTGGCGTATGAATGGATGAAGTCACGAGGCAAGTCACTTCTGAGAACTAAAAAAACGACTCAGATATACCGTGTGACCCACCTTGGTTTCCTCGCAGCACCGCATGCAGTGGCTGGCGTATGAATGGATAAATAGGCCGGAGCTACTATCGCTTCGATACAGTACTAGGAAATACCAACCTTCACGCACTTGAAGCACCGTGTGACCCACCTTGGTTTCCTCGCAGCACCGCATGCAGTGGCTGGCGTATGAATGGATAAAGTCGGGCGGCAAGTCAACTGCCTTGGCCACCCGGCTCACGACCTCGAGCGAATGCAGGGTGAGGGGCAGCTGAGACAACACCTCCAAATACCTGCAGTTGGAATGGTGGGAGGGTGAAGTAACAAGTCAAGTCAAGACGGAAAGGAAGGGGAGTGGCAAGTCAACGGCCTCTGCCACTCGACTCACGACCTCGAGCGAATGCAGGGTTAGCAGCAGCTGAGACAAGACCTCCAAATACCTGTGGTTGGAATGGTGGGAGGGTGAAGTAACAAGTCAAGTCAAGACGGAAAGGAAGGGGAGTGGCAAGTCAACGGCCTCTGCCACTCGACTCACGACCTCGAGCGAATGCAGGGTTAGCAGCAGCTGAGACAAGACCTCCAAATACCTGTGGTTGGAATGGTGGGAGGGTGAAGTAACAAGTCAAGTCAAGACTGAGAGGAAGGGGAGTGGCAAGTCAACGGCCTCTGCCACTCGACTCACGACCTCGAGCGAATGCAGGGTTAGCAGCAGCTGAGACAAGACCTCCAAATACCTGTGGTTGGAATGGTGGGAGGGTGAAGTAACAAGTCAAGTCAAGACTGAGAGGAAGGGGAGTGGCAAGTCAACGGCCTTTGCCACCCGGCTCACGAGCTCAAGCGAAAGCAGGGTGAGGGGCAGCTGAGACAACACCTCCAGGTAACTGAAAAGGGGCAGTAAGTGTAACAGCAGCAGCAGCAGCAGCAGCAGCAGCAGCAGCAGGGGTTGCGGGGCAACAGCAGGGGTGGGGGAGTGGCAAGTCAACAACCTTTGGCACCCGGCTCACGAGCTCAAGCGAAAGCAGGGTGAGGGGCAGCTGAGAAAACACCTACAGGTAGCTGGGGGTTGAAGGAAGTGAGAGGAGCAAATTACAGACGGGAATGAAAAGTCAAGTTGCAAGTCAAGTGCTGGGAGTGGCAAGTCAACAGCTTTGAATAACTTTTTGACATTTCTTCCATGGCCCCCTACGCTGTCAAATCAAAGGTGGGCAGATAGCAGCATGCTCTGTTGGCCGACTATTGATGAACCCAAATGGTAAACTAACTTATGAACTAAGCTGGGCAAGAGAAAGTACGGAGTATGGGGAAATCACTTTTGAGAATTCTCAAAAGGGAAAGTACGGAGTACTTTTGAGACGACTTTTGAGACGACTTTTGAGACGACTTTTGAGACGTCTAAAACTTAGCTGGCAAAGGGAAAGTACGGAGTATGGGGAAATCACTTTTGAGAATTCTCAAAAGAGAAAGTACGGAGTATGGGGCCCCCATCGCTGCTTACTGAAAAGCGGGCTGCAATGCCAGCAGCACAGAGCGAGAGCACATCCAGAAGCAGCAGCACAACAGCAATTCACGTTCTTTAGTCGCCTTTTTGAGGCGCCTTATTTAGGCGCCTTTTTGCGGCGCCTTTTTGCGGCGCCTTTTGGAGGCGCCTCACAAACATCCAGAAGCAGCAGCACAGCAGCAATTCACGTTTCCTATTGAGGCGCCTCAAAAGTCACTCACAGCAGCACTTCACATTGCCATGGCGTTTTCCATTCCATCCCTTCTGCCACTCCATTCCACCCCCCTACTCTCGCTTACTGCCATTCCAATCGCACCCCCTATTCCTGCTTACTCGAATGCAGGCTGAGACGCCAGCAGCAGAGTGAGCGCACATGCAACGACGTCAGGGTTGTTTTCCACTAGGGGCTGGTGGGAAAAGGCAGGGAGGGGAGAGGGAGAGAGGACAGAGGGAGAGGGAGAGAGGACAGAGGGAGCGTGAGAGAGGACAGAGAGAGCGTGAGAGAGGACAGAGGGAGCGTGAGAGAGGACAGAGGGAGCGTGAGAGAGGACAGAGGGAGCGTGAGAGAGGACAGAGGGAGCGTGAGAGAGGACAGAGGGAGCGTGAGAGAGGACAGAGGGAGCGTGAGAGAGGACAGAGGGAGCGTGAGAGAGGACAGAGGGAGTGACAGGGAGAGTGGGAGGGAGAGTGGGAGGGAGAGTGGGAGGGAGAGTGGGAGGGAGAGTGGGAGGGAGATTGGGAGGGAGAGTGGGAGGGAGGGCGCATGAATTGGTGGAAAGAGGAGGGGTTGTGTGGCTAAGGCTGAGACACAAAGGCGGACAGGGTTAAGGCACGTTCCAAGGAGGGACGTATATCAGCAGGGTTAGCAGGTACAAGCCACATGTTCAGATGAGAGACGGACTGGCGGAGAGAGGATGGGCTGATGGGGCAAAGGCTGAGACAAGAGGCGGACGGGGTCAAGGCTGCAGGGTACGTACTGGCAGGGTTAGGGGGTGCAAGCCGCAAGCTGAGATGAGAGACGGATTGGTTTAAAGAAGACTTTTGAGTCGACTCAAAAGGTGACTTTTGAGTCGACTCAAAGTTCAAGGCTGCAGGGTACGTACTGGCAGGGTTAGAGGGTGCAGACCACACGTTGAGATGAGAGACGGATTGGCGGAGAGAAGAGATAGGAGCTCCTGTTGGGGTGTTGGTTAGTGGGAATGAGAAGGGGGGTGAACGGGTTTGCGGGTGGTGCAGGCTGCTACCTAGCTGAGATGATTTTGAGAATTCTCAAAATCAACCTAAAAAAAAAAGGCTGGTAGCTGAGATGAGAGACGGATTGGCGGAGAGAAGAGCGAGGAGCTCCTGTCGTAGTATTGGGGGTGGAAGAAAAGGACGTAGAAGGGTGGGCGGGGGGGGATTTGGGGGGGTGGGGGGTTGTGGGCGGGGAGAGGGGGGTTGTGGGCGGGGAGAGGGGGGTTGTGGGCGGGG